GACCAATTCTATGATAGGCTGCAGTCAATCGTCGAGAAGTGTCCAACAAAAGACCTGACCATTATGATGGGAGACCTAAATGCCAAGGTTTGAATGGACAACACCGGATATGAAGAGATCATGGGACGACACGAACTGGGAGAAAGGAACGAAAATGGTGAGAGATTTGCAAACCTATGTACCTTCAATAAACTGGTCATAGGCGGGACTATATTCCCACATAAACGCATACACAAAATCACATGGACTTCAGCGGATCACCTATACAGAATCAAATCGACCATATCTGCATCAACCAAAAGTTCAGGAGGACGATGGAGGACGTGAAAACAAAGAGAAGAGCTGATATAGCATCAGATCATCACTTGCTGGTCGCCAAGATGAAATTGAAACTCAAGAGGCACTGGACAACGGGGAGGACAATATCCCAAAAGTTTAATACGGCTCTCCTTCGGGATGATGACGAACTCAACAAATTCAATATAGCCCTCAGAAATAAGTTCCAAGTCTTTCATGATCTACTCAATGGAGAAGAAACTACTATAGAGAGCGACTGGAAAGAGATAAAAGAGGCAATCACTTCAACATGTCATGAGGTTCTGGGCCAAAAGAAGCACCACCACAAGGATTGGATCACTGTTGATACACTGGATTAGATTCAAGAAAGGAGGAACAAGAAGGTAGCAATCAATACCAGTCGAACAAGAGCAGAAAAAGCCAAGGCACAAGCTGAATACGCAGAAGTAAACAAGCAAGTGAAGAGGAGAACCGACAAACCTAAATATGTGGAAGATTTAGCAGTGACGGCAGAAAAGGAAACATGAGACAACTGTATGACACAACAAAGAAACTCTCTGGAAATCACCGTAAACCAGAACGACCGGTGAAAAACAAGGAAGGCAAGATAATCACCAACATTGAAGAACAACGAAACAGGTGGGTAGAACACTTCAAAGAACTCTTGGATCGGCCAGCTCTACTGAACTCACCCAACATTGGAGCAGCACACACAAACCTCCTAATCGATGTTGGCCCACCAACAATTGAAGAGATCAGCATGTCTATCAGACAAATCAAGAGTGTCAAAGCAGCAGGACTAGACAACATTTCAGCAGAGGCACCAAAAGCAGACGTGGCGGCAACTTCAAGGAGACTCCAAACTCTCTTCAGAAAGATCTGGGATGAGGAACAGGTACCAAAAGACTGGAAAGAAGCACTTCTGGTCAAAATACCAAAGAAAGGCGATCTCAGAAACTGTGACAAATACAGGGGAATCACTCTTCTTTCAATACCAGGAAAATTCTTCAACAGGGTATTGTTAAACAGGTTGAAGGACTCCGTAGACGCCCAACTTTGAGACCAACAGGCAGGATTCCGTAAAGATAGATCGTACACAGACCAAATCGCAACCCTACGGATCATTATGGAACAATCGATTGACTGGAATTTATCACACTTCATCAACTTCATTGACTACGAAAAAGCATTTGACAGCGTGGACAGAACAACCCTATGGAAGCTTCTTCAACACTACGGCGTGCCTGAGAAGATAGTCAATATCATACGGAATTCCTATGATGGATTAAACTGCAAAATCGTGCATGGAGGACAGTTGACAAACTCCTTCGAGGTAAAGACCGATGTCAGGCAAGGTTGCTTACTCTCACCCCTTCTCTTTCTCCTGGTGATCGACTGGATCATGAAGACATCAACATCTGAAGGGAAGCACGGGATACAGTGGACAGCTAAGATGCAATTGGATGATCTAGACTTCGCAGATGATCTGGCTCTTCTGTCGCATACGCAACAACAAATGTAGGAGAAGATAACCAGTTTAGCAGCAGCCTCAGCAGCAATAGGTCTCAATGTACAAAAAGGGAAATGCAAGATTCTCCGATACAACACAGGATGCAACAATCCAATCACAGTTGACGGAGAAGATTTGGAAGATGTAAAAACCTTTACATATTTGGGCAGCATCATCGATGAACACGGTGGATCTGATGCAGATGTGAAGGCACGGATTGGCAAAGCAAGAGCAGCATATTTACAACTGAAGAATATGTGGAACTCAAAACAATTGGCAACCAACACCAAAGTCAGAATTTTCAATACAAATGTGAAGACAGTTCTACTGTATGGGGCGGAAACCTGGAAAACCACGAAAGACATTATTCAGAAGATACAGGTGTTTATTAACAGTTGTCTACGCACAATACCTCGAATCCGTTGGCCAGACTTAATTAGCAACAACCTACTGTGGGAGAGAACAAATCAGATCCCAGTGGAGGAAGAAATCAGGAAGAAGCGCTGGAAGTGGATAGGACACACATTGAGGAAAGCACCAAACTGCGTCACAAGACAAGCCCTCACATGGAATCCTCAAGGCCGAAGGAGGAGAGGAAGACCAAAAAATACCTTACGCCGAGAAATGGAGATAGACATGAGAAAAATGAACAAGAATTGGATGGGACTAGAAAAGAAGGCCCAGGAGAGAGTGGGTTGAAGAATGCTTGTCGGCGGCCTATGCTCCATTAGGAGTAACAGGCGTAAGTAAGTTTAGTGGGAAACAGTGACCAGTGGAGTTGAACCAAGTCTGTTGTGAGATAGTAACTCACTAATGACAATGGTGGATGTATCGCTCTTTTTTGTGGATTAGTTGAAGTTAGACATTAATACCGTTGGATACCGGCTGGTTCAGTGGTCTCAAGTTTGTGTTCGCGCGCGAGACGGTTAGTTCGTGGGTTCGAATATGGTATGTGGGATCTTGTACGCGCACTGTTGAAGGGTCGCATACTAGAACGAAATAGCCGTCCAGTGCTTCTAGATTTTTCATGATAGTCTACCTTTAATTAACCCATGTATTCAACTATCAAATTATTTACGTTTAATTTATTTAATGCATATTTAGCTTCCTTTCACGGTATAATTAATGATATTCAAATGAAATTACAAACATCGATGGTTGAATAGGTCTATTCTATTTTATTGATCAATTGTCTGGGCATGAATTTAAAAGATCAATTTACATCATATTTGGCTGTGACCAGATATCCGTCTACTTCTCAAAGGGTATATAAATCGAGAAATAGACAACTATACTTTGCTCTATACTTACGGAATATTGTCTGTAAAAGTAGAAAACATGAGTAGATTTTAAGTTATGGAAGATGACTATTTAAAGAAATCGTAACATGAATACTTCAAACTCCGTTGATGTTGTTCAAAATACATGTGACTTCTGTTGCAGAGGATATATTTTTCTGATTATAGTGTGGTGTGTGCTACTTATGTAGACATAAATAGTATATGACGTGAGTCATGAACAGAATGTCTGGCAGTAGAGAGACAAGAAGATCGAACAGTGAAGATTGAAAACAGAACGCAATTTGTATGAAAATGCAAAAAACAAAGAAATTCTGAGTCTTTTGAGACAATTAGTGGACATTTTGCAAATTGAGCATTTACTATATGGTTGTTAGATTTTACTAACTAGTTCTGTAATTTGTAGTCAAATACATTTGAGTGTCCCCATTGGTGTTCTTGTTCACTACATTTGGTGTCGCTGCCAACCAGGAGACGGGAAGGGTGCTGTTCTGCGGACGCCGTTGCGGGTCTGGAGCTGAGGTGCAGGTTAGGGTAGTCTGTTGTGGAGAGGTAGCTGCTGGTGGAGTGTTCTGGCTGGGCGGCGTTGGCTGTAGCGGGTCCTGTTGATGGAGAGGAGCAGTGGAACGTGCGGCTGCTGGGCGGACATCGAATGTAGATGGCTAAGCAGACCAGTGGAGCACGGGTGTCAAACGTCTCAGGTGCCGGGTGGAGGTCGGATGATGATTCCCCGGCAGGTCGACGGAGCTATGGAGGTCAGCGCGCCGCAGACTCGACATTTTGGCGGAGGGCGTAGCACCGACTGCAGATGGAAGAATGTTGCACGGCGAGCATGAACCACCTCAAGAGCAAATGCTTTTAAAGAGGGGACGAGTGTGGCGTGTGCTACTTATGTAGACATAAATAGTATATGAGGTGAGTCATAAACAGAATGTCTGGCAGCAGAGAGACAAGAAGATCGAACAACAAAGAATGAAGACAGTATACAATTTGTATGAAAATACAAAAACAAAGGAATTCTGACTCATTTAAGACAATTGATGAACAATATGCAAATTGAGCATTTACTATATGATTGTTAGATTTTATTAACAAGTTCTGTAATTTATTGTTAAATACATTCGATTGTCCCCTATTGGTGTTCTTATTCACGACAACAGTATAATAGAACTAGTGAATAAATCACTTCTAAAGTGTAATTAATCAAGATAAAAAATAATTGTTTGTCACAGTTATTTCACTGTGTGTATTTTCAAAATATTCCTTGTTACTGATATTAGTCGTCATGTATTAAGTTGAGACTAATACAAATGGGCTAGTCTTAAAGTATTCATTAACTTAGATGGTTAAAAAAAATTGTGTTATATATGTTCTAATCTACTACTACTACTGTGGTATGAAAGAAAGCTGCAAAGGACTAGCTTCTGTTGGTCCTTCACGACTCCCTGGTTGGGGTCCGAGAGACGGTGTAACGCAGTGTCTAGAGACGTTATCAGATATGGCTAAGAATAGAAGCCAGTGGCGATCGTGCTGTAACCTCTTACTTTCTTCATAAAAAGTGGTTGTATCTTCCTTAATTGAAAGATCTCTTCTGATTGTACCTTTCCGTTTCCCCCACCATTGTTCTCTCTCTCTCCCTTTTTTTTTTATAATTCCCCACGTTCATTACTTTTTTTTTTCTCTTTTCTCCTTCTCTTCAAATTATCATTGTTTTGTGTGGCGCATATATATTTGGTGCCCTCCTGTACCAATATTTATGTGTTCAAATAAATAAATAAACTACTACTACTACTACTACTCATTATTTCAGATATAGTTTCTTGTCTGTTACTTTACTCATTATATTATTCTCTAATTCTTTGTATTTCACTTGAATCTTCTTTTTGTTTATCTAGGCATTATTTTCAATTCCATCATGTTGTCATGTTAATAATTTGTATATAGTTGTACGAGTGGATAAAGTTCTTAATGGACCTATCAATATAGTAACAGATAAATATTTGAAATATACTAATACTACTAATCATAATGATAATATTAAAACTGGTACAAGTATACAAAAATCAATGGTGAATTATTGTCGTAATATTGGTCGTTATCGTATGCCATTTGCATGGGGTGCAAGGTTAGCTATATGAAATATTTATTTATTTTTTTTTTGGAATGAAACTAATGTATAGCTTGATGGGTTCATTACAATAGGTAAACCTGACAACTACGTCAAGGTAACAGCAACGGTCCGGGGATATTTATTTATCATTTATGCCCCCAAATGCCCTGGTATGGGGGAGAGTCTGCTCTCCCTCTCGAAATGCTCTCACATGGCCACGCGTATACAGCCCCTGCCAGGGAAGTCCTACTCACTGCCTTCTCGTGGCGGAGGTGTTGTTTACGAAAATGAGAGGACGTAAAGCGAATGCCTGGCGCTATAACCGGATTCCAAACCAATGGTGCACATAGGCTAGCTCCAGTATCCTGCGGGAACAAATGGCGTATGAACCAATCGTTGGTCATCGGCTACCATGGGACTGCATCTCCTTACGATGCTCCACTGCCTTGTGGATCAGATCTTCAGGTCAAAGGTTCTGGATGTGGCCCCCTAAGAGAACCACCTGTTTCGGTTTGGGCACCCGGGTAGTATCACAGCCCTCACACATATCAAATGAGATCTGTGTGGCGCATATGTATTTCGTGCCTTCTTGTACCAATATTTATGTGTTAAAATAAATAGTAAATAAATATTCCCGGACCGTTGCTGTTACCTTGACGTAGTGGTCAGGCTTACCTATTGTAATGAACCAATCAAGTTATACTCACTGGAACGTTCGTTCCTTAAGATCCTACCATGCCAAACAGGTCGATTGAAAAGTAATAAACAGCAAACCCAAAGTTCGAGGGCGAAGTCTTACTGCTGACTGTACAGACGTATGGCGGCAGTAAGGTGTTTCTTTCAGACAACCAGCATAACAGCGATGCTGCCTTCCCACAAGGAAGGATGGGGTTAGAAAAGGTCATCCCTAAAAGTACACACCTTACTTTATCTCATGGATTCGCGTCTTCGGCGGTAAGCTCTCAACAATATGGAGCTAACATAAAACCGACTCACAAAAAGGTTGTATATGATCGACCTTAATCAGTTGTCCCTCCAGAAGAACTCTTCCACGGTGTAGGCAACTGGGAAGTGATAAGTGCATTTTTGTAGCTAAGAATATGTGTTGCTGATAAGCAATTTTAATATTAAACTGATCACTAGATAAATATTTGTCTAATCTAAACTACTGTTGAAGCTCTTTGGATAAAGTCCATTGAAATTTGGTCAATAGTCTAATTAATTCAACAACATATTCACTATTTTGATTTTAGATAGTTGGTGAAATCATCAATAAGTCCTCAACATGTGGGTTTCATGCTAATCGAAACTCATCAGAATAGTTTACTTGCTGTTCAAAGGGTACTGATCCTATCGTATGATATTAGAACACGGTTCACCCCGTAACGCAACCATAAACACTGACCTAATCAATTCATGAATCACTTAGTACGGGACTGAGTTATTTACATTGATTGAAAATCAATATCTTAGTGGGGATTTCTTTCTATGTTTGTTTGTAGAAACTGCTTGCTCATGACTGAGATGTATTCACTATTGATTGATTCCTGGATGATGATTAATATCATGTATATCAGTTCCTTCTTAGTACTAATCGAATGCTATCAACCTATTGACTACCTCTAATTACCATCTTAAATTTTAATTTCTTTAATAACTAACTTATTGTTTTTGAAAAAAAAAATATATTCAACATTTCAATTTCATTTTATAGACCTATAAACAGTACAAATCGTTTTATTCATCTATTCAAAATGGATTCGAATAAGATCTCTGAACAAGGATTAATTCAATCTGTACAAATGTTATCCCATTTATTCATTGATTATAATACATATCATGATCGGTATACAGATGTAACAAACATTATAACTACTACTCCTACTCCTACTACTAATAATACTAATAATAGTAGTATCAATGAATGTAATCATTATCATTTACCAGAATCTATAAATCATATGTTAAAACTAGACTCGAATAAATTAAAATCATCCAAATTGATTCATAATAATTCTATATTAAAAGATGCTACAGCTTATTTAACAGAACAAGATCAACTGTTTATTGAAACAGTTGAACGTTCTCTTAAAACTCAAATGTTACCTTTACGATTTGAATTTGTGATGAGTGAACTTATTGATCATACTATTGATCCTAATGCAAAACCTTTATCACGTAAGTGATAAAGCTTTATTTTTTTTTTTCTATGTATTTTGGTATGTTACTGTGATAAGTACAAGAAGGCATCAAATAGAGATGAGCCACATAAATCATTCGATTTGTGTGAGGGCTGGGATACTGCTTGGATGACAAGACCAAAACAGGTGGTTTTCTTAGTGGGTCACACTAGGAGCCTTTGACCTATGGGTATCATCCACAAGTCAATGGACCAACGTCAATAGATGCAGTTTCATGGTAGCCAGTGATTAACGATTGGTTCATACGCCATTTGTTCGCTCAGGATCCTGGAGCCAGTCCATGTGCACTATTGGTTTGGAATAAGGATTTTTCAACTTCCCTAGGTGTACTCTCTGTGTCTACCAACCCGGTTAAAGCGCCGGCTATTCGCTTTTCGTATTGTCAATTTGGTAAACAACATCCTCGGCGAGAGAAGTCACTGGGTAGGACTTCTGTGGCAGTGGTTGTGTGCACATGGTTAGTTGAGAGTATTTGGAGAAGGAGAGCTGACTCTCCTCACTCTCGGCCTTACCAGGGCATTTGGGGGGCGAACGAATTTCGAGCGACGCTAGACTGATCTTGAGATTGCCATTTAACAACTAGGACGAAATAATCGTTATAAACCATCATGAGGAATCGTAATTATGATTTGCAGTTGATATTTAAGGTCAGGAATTAAGTTTCGAGTTATAATGCCAAAACTCTATTCAGCCAAATGGATGAGTGAATTTCACGCTAAAATCCAAGACCTATTATCTTATACCTGATTGGTTCGTTCATAAATTTATAGTCTCACCTTATATTTTAATGATTAATATTAGAATAATCTTGTACTTAATGTATTTACATTAGTATAGGATAAAGATTAAAATATCCACATTTTGTAGATTTGATGATGTGATCATTCATTTTAAGAAAATGTTAATTTAATTCACTTGATATTGTTGTTTACTTGAATCTTCCCATTGATGTTTAGGACTGCAATTGATCAGTCTCTCATATTGACATATGTGCATACTGTGCGTATTGCCTCGATATTGCCTTAATTTACAAGCATTATAAGGAAAGATGGATAGTGGCTAGCAGTGGAATCCAGGACGCGCGTTTCGTCCTATTCGGGACTCGTCAGCTGGATTTACCTCCATCTCAGAGTTAATGTTCACTCTGGGACTCGAACCCACTTAGCTACTGAGTCCTAATAGCCACTTGCTTGTGCAAGTGAACATCAACTCTGAGATGCAGGTACATCCAGCTGAGGAGTCCCGAATAGTACGAAACGCGCGTCCTGGATTCCACTGCTGGCCACTATCCGTCTTTGCTTTAAATGTTAATTTAGTTTACTTATTCATTATCACAGATGAAATGAAAACGTTAGAAGATTGATTGTGTACATCATGTTCACCTGATTAAATGATGTCTCTTTCATTGTTTATCTAGTTAATATCAACAGTTGTGAAGTATTTACTACTTCTCTTTTTGAAACGTGAAAAACTGTTAGGTCCCGATAAGCCACATTTGACTAATTGTTGTCCAAATGTTGTTCCCGATTTTATGGTACGATGTGGTCTGTTTGATTGGTATATAAACCCAGTTTGTTTGAAATAAATAAATAATATCGCAGAGGCTGAGATTGGTGTTCTGGACTTAACTGGCTTGACTAGACAGGAAGCGAGACCAATAAGAATTCTAGACTGTTCACACGGGGTTACACGTCACTGACCCAATCGATAAGTCACTGCTCTCTAATCGGCGGTATCATTATTTATCCATTAACAGGGCAAACAGGTCACAAATTATAACAAAAACCTTAAGTGAGATATTACGCAATAGCGTAGACAGTCGAAAATATTGCTAACAGTGTTTGAAGATTATGGAGTCCATCTCTTAATTGACTGATTTTCTTCCATTGTGATTTACTAATATTCTTTTGAATTTCTATGAAGTGGAAGCAATTGTAGAATAACTTTCAACATTGTATACAGTTTGATGAGTTAAGCGTAATACTTAAGGCATTATGGTCTGACTAATAGAAGTGAACTAATTCAGATTTAATTTAGTCCAATTAAATTTAGTAGTGAAAATTAACTTCGGAATCCATTAAGTCACAACTTTAACCTTTAATCATTTCAGTCGTTATTGTATGTGCTAAATAAATGCATCTTCAAACATCATTGGTTATTGCACCCTTAATTCACTTTGATAATTATGTATCTATGTAATAATAGTAATGAAATATATAAAGCGTTCGTTTTTCAAATATGGTACTACAAGTTCAAATCCTATATTCTACATCTATTGGGTTTGATCAATCGATTATCCTTGTTAATTACTCCTACACAAAAAAGATAGACCAAAATCGATTGAATAAGTTTGTATTTGATCAGTTGAATAATGGGTAACGTACTTAACTTTCTAATAGTAAGATACTGGTTTACATTCTAATCTTCGGTTCAAGCAAAAACCGTATAGGTTTATTTATTATTTATTTTAACACATAGATATTGGTACAAGGAGGCACCAAATATATATGCGCCACACAAATCTCATTTGATATGTGTGAGGACTGTGATACTGCCTAGGTGCCCAAACAGAAGCAGGTGGTTCTCTTGATGGGTCACACCCAGAGCCTTCGACCTGAACGTTTGATCCACAAGGCAGTGGAGGCGATGCAGTCCCCTGGTAGCCGATGATCAACGATTGGTTCATACTCCATTTGTTCCTTTAGGATACTGGAGCTAGCCTATGTGTACCATTGGTTTTGGATCCGGTTAAAGCGCCGAACATTCGCTTTTCGTCCTCTCATTTTCGTAAACAACAGTAATGCCACGGGAAGGCAATGAGTAGGACTTCCTTGGCAGAGGCTGTATACGCGTGGCCATGTGAGAGCATTTTTAGCGGGAGAGCTGACTCTCTCCACTCTCGGCCGTACCAGGGCATTTGGGGGCTTACTACAAAAAGAATTATATTACAGAATTTAATAAATGAATTCATGTTTAGTTATTTGTTAAATTTGCTATTACTATTGATAAATCATAGGTGTTATTGCTTCAAATCTGGAAACATACACACCGAATGTGACAGCTAATCATTCTTATAATTTCTATATACCATCAACACATCCACCGCTTATGTCAGATGAAACTATCCGTGAAGTTGAAAATCTATTTGATGTTTATTCAACTCTATCAGGAACAACTTCTAATGATGATTATGGAATTAATAATCCAGGTATGTCTTTATTTTAGTGTGTAAGAGATAGTTGAATGAAACTAGTCCGTCTAAACTTAGAATTTTTGATTGATGTTTGACCACCTTTGGAAACCTGGAATCACTGGACGGCCATTTCGTCGTATTATGGAACTCCTCAGTGGCAGTGCACATCCACGATCCCGCTCGCGGGATTCGAACCCAGGGCCATTGAGCCGGCATCCAATGGTGTTAGTCTCTAACATCAACCAATCCACGAAGTTCCACAACCATCTTCCATTGTACTGAGGTAGATACCTGTCTCTACCGGACACGGTTCATGATATCAATCAAAAACTTAATAATCTCCACAAACCCTATACCGATAAACTTAGAATGCTTATTATTATCGGATGCTCAGACCGAAACAGGTGGTTTTCTTAAAGGGCCACTCTCGGAGCCTTCGACCCAAAGGTCTAATCCACAAAGCAGTGGAGCAACGTCAAGAGATGCAGTTTCATGGTAGTCAGTGATTAACGATTATTTCATACGCAATTTATTGCCTCAGGATTCTGGAGCCAGTTCATGTGCACCATTGGTTCGGAATCAGAATTTTCCAACTCTCCTCCATATCCACCACCAACTTGTTTAAAGCACCGGATATTTAATTTTCGTGTTGTCGATTTAGTGAACAATATCCCCACCGCGAGAAGGCAGTGAGTAGGAATTTGATGGCAGTGGTTTTATGAACGTGGCCATGTGAGAGGATTCGGAGAGGGATAGCTGACTGTCCTCACCCTCGAACGTACCAGGGCATTTGGGCGCACTTCAGTGTTAACCTTGGAGCCTCTGACGTTTTGTCACTCTTCATAGTAACTCAAAAAAATTATCTCAGCTTTTCATGAACATGTTTGAGGTGACTGAGTTGTGCGTATTCTTATACATTATAAATAAAACTAGTTTTTTTAAAGCTATAGTTTGTAATTTTGGTGTTAAGTTGAAGTAGTTTTATGGCAGTTAGTTTGCTTTGTGACTTACATCAAGATATTCCTAATGTTCTTGTGAAAAATTCTGACTGGTGGAGTTTAGGCATATCGGTAATGAAGCAACTTTTAACGTTGACATTGGTTATGCATCACTCTGTCACAGATTCATTGGAGTTAGAGGCGCATCATTGAACTTCGACCCAGGATTTCTAATCGTCAAGCTCTCACCGAAAAGTCTGAATGTTCAACCCTTGATAATGTCGTGAGTTACTTACTTACTTACGCCTGTTACTCCTCGTGAAGAAGCATAGTCTGCTCATCAGCATTCTCCATCCAACCCTGTCCTGGACAATCCTTTCCAGTTCTTATTCATCCTTTTCAAATCCGCTTCTATTACCCGAAGTAATGTGTTCTTTGGCCTTCCTCTTTTCTGCTTCCCTTCAGGATTCCAAGTTAGCGCTTGTCTCGTAATGCAATTTAATGATTTGCGTAATATATGTCCTATCCATTTCTATCGTCTTTTCCTAATTTCCTCTTCAGATGGAAGCTGGTTTGTTATCTCTCACAAAAGGCTGTCGCTGATGATATCCGGCCAATGGATGTTGAGTATCTTGCGTAGACAGCTATTGATAAATACTTGTACCTTCTTGATGATGGTTGTTGTAGTTCTCCACGTTTCAGCTCCGTACAGTAGAACTGCCTTGACGTTTGTATTAAAGATTCTGACTTTGATATTGATTGAGAGACAGTTGTTTTGAGTTCCATATTTTCTTTAGTTGAAGGAATGCTGTCCTTGCTTTGTTAATCCTCGCTTTTACGTCTGCATCTGACCTTCCTTATTTATCAATGATGCTTCCCAGATATGTGAAGGATTCTACATCTTCCAGAGTTTCTCCATCAAAAGTGATTGAATCGCTGTTCTCCGTGTTGTATTTGAGGATATTGGTTTTCCCCTTATGTATATTGAAGCCTACTGATGCAGAGACTGCTGCTATGCTGGCTCACTTTTAAGTAGTCTCATACCTAATATAAAGTTTCTTTTCTAAATTCTGTCACTCCAAACAATTCCATCAATCAAGATTGATCTATAATGAACATAATCTACAAATGTATTGTGTAATTTTTCTTCTTCTTTTTTTTTGTTTTTAGATGATTCTAATACTTCTTCTCGTACTGGAAGTCTTCAAAGAGGTAATTATCGAATAAATCGAGATTCTATTCTATCAAATAATAGTATCAATAATATAACTAATTCATCATTTATTCATACAAATGATAATAACACTTTTCTAAATCAATTCAATTCATTGGATCCATCTATTAGTCCATATGAATATGAAATAATAAATACACCATATTCAATTAATAAATTATTACCATATACTACATTTTTTAATACATTATATGTATGTCCAAAATCATTGAATATGTCAGGGAAACATAATTTTCCAAGGGTAAATTCAATTATCTATTTCTCTTTTATATATATATATGTATAACCATCTTCTTTTTTTCTTCCTTAGTTTGAAACAATCAATGATTCAACTACATGTTGTAATTCATTTACTTCAAAATGCTTTGATACAATTGAGAATGCAATGCGAGTCTTCTCTACTACTCGAAATGCTTTCTTATAATCACTTAAATATAGACACTATTAGGGAAGTACTAATCATGGCCTTCTCGTAGTGGGGGGAGGGGTGTTGTTTATGAAATTAAGAAGATGTAAAGTGAATATCCAACTCTCTAACTAGGTTGGTGGATATGAAGTATCTATCTAGGGGAGTTTGAAAGCCTGATTCCAAACCAATGATGTAAGTGGATTCTATTATCCTGGAGGAACAAATGGTGTATGAACCAATTATTGGTCACCGGCTACTATGGGACTATATTTCCTAATGTTGCTCCACTGTCTTGTAGATTAGACCATCACGTCGAAGGCTGGGGATATGACCCTCTAAGAAAGCTATCTGCTTCGGTTTGAGCACCCGTTCAGTATCACAGCCCTCACACATATCAATGATAACTACTAATGGCCTCATTGGTATTGTGTGGTGCATATATATTTGGCGCTCCTTGTACCAATGTTTATGTGTTCAAATAAATAAATGTGTCTCATTTACTCAGTGCTTTGTAGTCATTTTTGAAACAAAATTTGATAGTATTAAGGCTAATAATACCACTTGATTTATTTATTTGAACACATAGATATTGGTACAAGGAGGCACCAAATACATATGTGCCACACAGATCTCATTTGATCTGTTTGATGGCTGTGATACTGCCTGGGTACCCAAACCGAAGCAAGTGGTTTTCTTAGGAAGCCACACCCCGAGCCTTTGACCTAAAGGTCTAACCCACAAGGCAGCGGAGCATCGTGAGGAGATGCAGTCCCATGGAAGCTGGTGACCAACGATTGGTTCATACGCCATTTGTTCCTTTAGGATACTGGATCGAGCCCATGTACACCATTGGTTTGGGATCCGGTTAAAGCGTCGGACATTCGCTTTTCGTCCTGTCATTTTCGTAAACAACACCCATGGTGCTCACGATGGATTTCTTTAAGTTTTATTGAGAAACTGTGACTAGTAGAGTTCAATCGTATCTGTTGTAAGAGAATTACTCACTGAAGACAATGGTGGACGGTTGAATTTAGACATTAACACCGTTAGATTCCGGCTTAGTAGTGTATAGGTTAAGCGTTCGCGCATGAGACCGATAGGTCCTGGGTTCGATTATGGTGTGCAGCATCTTGAATGCGCATTGCTGAGGAGTCTGATACTAGGACGAAACGGTCTTTCAGGTTTTCACTGATGGTCTAACATTAATTCATTCATGATACCAATCTAAACTCAACAATCTTTATAACACCATATTGATACTTCGTTTTGTATGATCCATCATAACTTTTGCACTTCAAACATCATCAGCTTATTTTTTTCTTTCAGTCAATTTCATTCCAATTCCAATTCATCTTTTTTACCTTCCTCCTCACTATCATATCGAATAGCTTCAGTGCTATATCTATATATAGGTTGTGTACCCTAGTTTCCTTCACATTTATGGATTCTTCCGTATTGATTCTATTGTAAATGTCAATTCAACATCAATTCTTTTTTCTATGTTTCTTCTTTTCTCTATAAATAACATACCATCAATGAAAATATTTCTTGATTTGATTTTATTGTTACAAAAGTAATTCGTTCACTAGTCAGTAATATGTATTTGTTTGTGTGTTCAGCTTTAAGTTGTATAGCTTTTGTGAGTGCTTAAATAAATTTGCCTAAATAGTTAATCAGAGTTACTTAGTGGGGATTTCATGGAGCAACTAGGTTTAAACAAAAGATCTTATGGAAATGAAAAAATAAATGAAGTTCGCTCTTTGAATCATATACTTGATACGCTAATACTGTGATGTAATCTACTTATATCTACATAAGTAGTATATAATGATTGTCAGGAAGAGAATGTATTTCAGTAGAATATCGAAACGTAAACGGAAGGAAATTGGTGTGAAAATGAAGGAACAATGAAATCTGAGACGATGGACTACAAAAGGAACAGTCAAGTTTGAGACAATTGATTGATCCCTTGATGGTGATCAATGTCATATGTGTCAAATCCTTCTTAGTGCAGATTGAATGCTATCGACCAAGTTGCAATGTAGCCAGCAGTCTAGGTGACTCGACATTGCGGCCCAGATAGCCCAGTGGTAACGTCTCCGACTGTGAAGATGGGTGACACCTGTTCCCTCAAGATTACAGGCATACCTTCCTTACGAGTGCCAAATAGCACGAAACCCGGATCCAGAGTTTCTGTTGACTACCTTCAACTACCATCTAACAATTGATTGATATTTTGCAAATTAACTATTTACGGTATGGTTCTCAGATTTTAGTAAGACGTTCTATAATTTTGCGTTCAAATACATTCGATTGTCTCCACTGGTGTTCTTGTTCACTACATTATGATTATAAGCATTAGACTTGGTAAGTAGTCAAGGTATTTAGTCATAAGATACACGGTTCAATTGTCTAGAAAACGGTCAAGAATAAGCTTCAACCTGAATGAGAGTGAGATAAAATCGGAAATTACTTACTTACGCCTGTTACTCCCAATGGAGCATAGGCCGCCGACCAGCATTCTCCAACCCACTCTGTCCTGGGCCTTCTTTTCTAGTCTCATCCAATTGTTGTTCATTTTTCTCATATCTATCTCCATTTCTCGGCATAATGTATTCTTTGGTCTTCCTCTCCTCCTTCGACCTTGAGGATTCCATATGACGCAGTTTGGTGCTTTCCTTAATGTGTGTCCTATCCTGTGACTAATGTTTATTTATCTGTTACTTACGTGTTGTTTGTTCTATTTTGATGTGAATTAATGAAATCAGTCCATTACTTTGAAGCCTATTTCAAGGAATCTGTAGATGAAACTAAGCTCAAAACCTATGATCTAGTTATTAAAAGATGTATATGTCATTTAGGCTATATCATAAGTATCCACATTGGTTTAGCATATTGTTATTCTCTATTTTTTTGTATCACTAATTTTTTTTCTTTTTTTTATTCTCCTTCTGTTTAGGCTCGAAATTTATCATGTTTCATTGAATTACGAAGTAATGATAATTTGGATAATTCCACTGCGTTAAAGGTTAGTTAGTTCGTTGGTCATGAGAAATCTTTTCCTTTTTGGTATCTTGTTTTCTTTCGGAAAAGTAAACTACTGACTTGGTGTATGTTACAACATTTGCTGCCCAGTCCTTCAGGAGGTTGATCGCAGTCCGAATAGCTCAGGAGTAGCATTTCTGTGAAGCTACGTGATACACGTTCAAATCTGTGAGGAGCTATCAGCTGCCTCAACATTACACGTGCATTTTACTTACGAGTTCTAAATAGCACGAAACATAGGTCATGTAGGGTTTGCTGTCAATTTCCTCTAACACTCTTGAATTACCGAAGTAAGTAAATTAAATCTAGATCACCATGACAAATCTGGATGTACTGGTCGATCGTTTCGTCCTAGTATGGGACTCCTCAGCATTGCGCATCCACAATCCCGTACTCCATACTCAAACCCAGGACTTATCAGTCTAGCGAGCGAACGCTTAACCTCTACACCACTGAACTGGTATCCAACGTTGTTAATGTCTAACTTCAACTAATCCACAAAATTCCGCCACTGTTCATCATTGTCGTCAGTGAGTTACTATCTCACAACAGACCTAGTTGAACTCCATTTGTCACGGCTTCTTACTAGAACTCCAGAAAATACCTTTTAAATCTGGTCGCTAGTACATAAATATTCATCATTATAGCCACAAAACATTGTTCATACTTCGCTTCTCTTGGTTTAGTCTTAAACTATCAAAGTACTTTACAATTATAGTGATTTCTAGTTTTCTGACGAATATTTAGCTTCCCCTAATTATGCATTCGTTTTATCGTTTATTGACTAGTTTAATTTAAATTTCAAAAGTATGCATTTTTTTCAAATGCCTTAGTACGACTGAGGTTGGAGAAAATGTTCTCATATGGCCACGCATATACAGCCGTTGCTAGGGAATTCCTACTCACTGCCTTCTCGCCAATGTGGTGTTGTTTACTTAATTAAGAGGACGAAGAGCGAATGCTCGGTGTTTTAACTGGATCAGTGAATATGGAGGATTCACCTAGGGAAGTTGAAAAACCTTGATTGCAAACCAATGGTGCACATGAGCTGACTCCAGTGTCCTGTACGAACAAATGGCGTATCAACCTATTGTTGGTCACTGTCTACTGCATCTCCTGACGGTGCTTCACTGCCTTGTGGATTAGACGTTTAAACGAAAGGCTCGGGGTGTGGCCCCTAAGAAAACCATCTGTTTAGGTTTGGGCACCCGGACGCTATCACACCCCACGCACAAATGAAGTGACTTGTGTGGCGCATAGGTATTCAGTGCCCCTTCGTAACAATATTTATTTGTTCATATAAATAAGATTAACTAGATTTTTAGTGAGTGGATTTCTTTGTAAACGATTAATGTAGGTATGGAACTATAAAAGATTTACGGAAGCATATCCACTCCGTACTTTATGAAATTCTCACCAGTAGGCAATATTGACTTTATATTATATTACATCACCAATAAAGACTAGATAAAATGTGAAATTGGTCACTGTTTAGTTAGTAACTTATCATTGAAAGGGGGATATTTTTAACTTCCATAACAATGAATGGTTACTCATTACTTAATTACTCCTGTAACCCATCTTTGAGGAGCTTAGGCCATCCACAAGTATTCCTCCATTCAACACTACAGGTCCTGGACAATGCTTTTCCGTTGGTATACCATAGTGACAAAGAACATTCCATAATGTTCTCGTATCCACACTATCAATCGCCTTCTCATAATCAAAGAATTTGATATATCGTAATAAATCCTATTCAACTGATTACTCAATAATGATCCGTACTATCATGATTTAATTTGTACATAAACGATCCTCATGGTATACGACCTGTTGATTTTGAATCTGGTCATCTATTGAATCTTTCATCCCACTCAGCAACAATGGCTATAGGATACATTTACTATACATTTTATAAAGTTTTTTTTTTGCAAAAATTCAATCATTTCAAATAATATTTGCACAGTTGTTAAGCAAATATTGGAAATATATTTAGATTAAGCAAAAATCCATAATATGACATTATTTCCTCCCTCCTCCCTCCTCCCCCCATCATTGATTGAAGGAAACAATTGTTTAGACATTTTTAAATGAACATTTACTATACAATGTTTCTTTATTTTTGACGAAGGAAACATTAATTTATTTCCATGGTTATTTTTTCTTTAACTTTTTCCATATATATATATATATATATATATATATATATATATATATATATATATATATATATATATATATATATATATATATTCAATATGTCCATTTGAATTCAATTACCAGAGTGCCTCCAAATCACCTGTTATAACCAAGAGTGGGGAGAATCAGCTCTCCATCTTGAAATGCTTTCATATGGCCACATGTATACAACCACTGCCACAGAAGTCCTACTCACTGCCTTCTCGTGGCGGGGATGTTGTTTACGAAATTGAGAGGACGAAAAGCGAATATTTGACACTTTAACCGGGTCAGTGGATATGGAGGATTCGCCTAGGGAAGTTGGAAAACCTTGATTTTAAACCAATGATGCACATGGGCTGGTTTCAGTATCCTGAAGGAACAAACGGCGTTCACAGAAATATCGACCTATTGAATCTACTCTTATATAACAACATATTAAAATAATTAGATCACAAAAAAACCGATATTCCTTGGCGGTTCTGATTTTTAGCTATTTTTTTTATACGGATTTTTAATTTTTTATGTACTGTGGGTTAAATTATGACAAGAATGATCACATCTATTGAAGGTCCTAATTGACCGACGATAATTGAGAATTAAGGAAACTATGAAGCTATTCGAATATGGACAGTCATGTTGCATATTCGATAACTCCAAATATTATCTACTAACACAAATAGAAGACAAACGTTATTTTCGAAGGGAGCTGTATATTTGTTATGGCTTGAGATTCTAATCAATATCATGTACTATCTTCGCAGTCGAACCGTTGACTTATTTCACAAATTTACTAACTGGTCATTGAATAACAATCATCACCTTAACGCTTATTGACCCTTGAGTTGTTTCTAACCCAGCAGACTAATTTTCTATTGTACTACATTCGATCGTAGCTCAAGACTTTTACTGAAAATACTAGAACACATAGTATATCCAATAGGAAATCACACTTTATAATTAACGGTCGGAAGAGACAGTCCAGTATTAGTCAGCGATAATTATGGAATAGTAAAGCCTGTAACGATAGTCAATCAATTCACTGAAAGCTTACAATAATGGAAACATGTATATATAACTTTATAGTTATTTATGAATAATACAATAGGAATATACATAATAAGAATAATTGGAAAATAACTCTTACCGTTTCAACTTTTGATTTAATTATTGAATTCATCAATCCATTGAAGCTAGATGATCATGGAAAACATAGAAACACTGGACAACCTTGATATTTAAGCAGAATAGGTTTAAATGGTTACAAAAGCCTAACGTTCAATCGTACAGTGAATTAACAAACTAAAAGAGATAGCAATCTATTAATAAAAGATTATGTGTAAAATTATATTTGTATAAAAGACATTCGTGTTTACCTTTAGGATTATTAATAATCATAATAATAATGATTGAGCAGTTCTGTGATAGGTTTAGGACTATTGTCCGACAATTGTTTTGTTATTTACTGTAACTAGGTATAGTTTTTATTTCTACAAGAAGGTTTGATGTTTGTGAAATAGGAGATGCGATCTCATGTTAGCCGGGGACCAACAATTAGTTCATATTTTATTCGTTCCTGAGAATCCTGGAGCCCCTATGCACCATTGGTTTGGAATCAGGGTTTTCCAACTCATCTAAATGGATGCTTTTAAACCAACAATCCGATTAAAGCGCTAGACAATCGCTTTTTATGTTGTCCATTTCGTAAACAACAGTAATGCTACGAGAAGGCAGTGAGTAGGACTTCTGTGGCAGTGGCTGTATCCGCGTGATCATATCAGAGCATTTAGAGAGGGAGAACGAACTCAATGAGTATCCTCAACCGTACCAGGGCATTTGAGAGCAACTAGATATATAGTTGAAATGGTTTTAATACGTGGTTGAAAGTAGTCTATAGAAACCTTACTTAATCGAATATTCATATTATTTGCGTAATATCAACAAAGCATATCTATAGTCTCGACAGGAATTGATGCTTCTCATGAGATTACTCTGTATGTTATCCAATATTGTTTAGATTATTCATTCAATTCATTTCAATGTTTTTTTTTCTCTCGTTTATTTTATGTGTTTAGGTGTTTTACACTCGTCCAAGTATTCGTCAACCAATATTTGATTCATGGTTTAATACTGCTGTAATATATCATGATAATTATCCAAATTTTAGTGAACAAGTATGTTTATTATGTCCGTGTATATATAGTTTCTATGAATGATTCTGGTTGTTTATGATGGTTAGGTTTTTATAAAGTGTATTACGTTTGTTTCTGTGTTGTTGTTGTTGTTGGGTAATTCCTTATTTTTACAATCGTATTAATCAAATTTCATTGAAAGTATGATCAACATTTCAGACTGTAGGTAATTGATACAAATTTTAGTTTTGTATTCATTTGCGGTTAATTTCTTCTGAGTTATATATTTCTACGGATTGGGGTCACTAACTCCATGCCCAACCCTCATCCTTTGTTCGGGTTTGGGGACCTAAAGTAGCTCCAGGTTATTATTTATTATTATTTTAACACATAGGTATTGGTACAAGGAGGCACCAAATACATATGCGCCACACGAATCTCAATTGATTTGTGTGAGGACTGTGATACTGTTCGGGTGCCCAGATCGAAGCAGGTGGTTTTATTAGGGTGCCACACCCCCAGCCTTCGACCTGAACGTTTGATCCACAAGGCAGTGGAGCATCGTAAGGAGATGCAGTCCCATGGTAGCCGGTGACCAAAAATTGGTTCATACGCCATTCGTTCCCGCAGGATACTGGAGCCCATGTGCACCATTGATTTGGGATCCGGTTAAAGCACAGGACATTCGCTTTTCGTCCTCTCATTTTCGTAAACAACACCCATGGTGCAAGAAGGCAGTGAGTAGGACTTCCCTGGTAGAGGCTATATACGCGTGGCCATGTGAGAGCATTTCGAAAGGGAGAGCAGACTGTCCTCACCCTCGGCCGAACCAGGGCATTTGGGGGTAGTAGCTCTAGGTGGACAAATCTGTAATAATTATTTAACTTGGTTTTTGTAGTCTTATCAATTCATTTGATCATATCTATACTACACTAAACAAGAACTTAATGAATGCATCATTGCAATTAGTTACAGGTTCATAAAGCCATAATTTTTTAAATTGATAATAACGTTGTATTTGTCTAAACTGAAATAGGTAGATTGAAAGGTTTAACTAAACAAAAGTAATAATATAACCAGTGGAACTTATCCATGTCAGATAGAGATAGGTATCTACCTCAGTACAATGGAAGATGGTTGCACAATTTCGTGGATTGGTTGAGGTTAGACATTAACATTGTAATTTTAACCAGGAAACTGCGTGTTTAAATCCTGTTTCAGTTTCAACAACTAGGTAGTACTTTGATGCGTCCCCCAAATGCCCTGGTACGATCGAGGGTGGGAAGAGTCCACTCTCTTTCGAGAAATTTCCTCACATGGCTAAGCGTATACAGCCACTGCCAGGGAAATCGTACTTACTGCCTTCTCGCGACGTTACTGTTGTTTATGAAACTGACAACACGAAAAGCAAATGTTCATCGGTTTAACCTGGTTGGTGGACAAGGAGAGTCCACCTAGGGAAATTGGATTGGTTCCAAACTAATGGTGCACATGGGCCACAGGATACTAAGGGAACAAATAACGTATGAACCTACTGTTGGTCAGCGACTACCATAGGACTGCATCTAGTAACGTCGCTTCATTGCCTTGTGAATCAAATCTTTATATTGAAGGTTCTGGGTGTGGCCTCCTAAGAAAACCATCTGCTTCGGTTTGGGCACCCGAGCAGTATGATAGCCCACATAAAAGTCAAGTGACTTATGTGGCGCATATCTATTCAGTGCCCCTTTGTTCCTATGTTTATATATTCAAATAAATAATGGTACTCTGACATAATTAGACATAAGTTTTAAGCCAAATACATAGACCATTTCTAAGATACGGAGATATATATTTAAAAAATCGTTTAAATTGAAACTTGTCCAAACCAATTAGCCTGGCAAATTTATTTAATATCGCTAAAAGTAATTTAGCTTGTCATATGGGAGCTGTTCAAAAGTCTGAATATGAAAAAGATTTGTCGACATTTTATGCGGAAGTCGAACATAATTAACATTGTTTTACAAACCAGAAAAAAAATATATATATTCATCCATCCAGTTGAAACCCGATCGTTACTGCTACCTTGATGAGGTGGTCGGACTTGCCTATTGTAATTAATCAATCAAGGTCCTACCATACCAGACAGATCGGTTGAAGAGTAGTAAAACTAAGGGCAGCAAACCCATGGTTGGAGAGCGAAGTTGTACTGCTGACTGTACAGAAGTGTGACAGCAGTAAGGTGTTTCTTTCAGACAACCAGTATTACAGCGATGTTGCTTTCCCACAAGGAGGGGGGGGGGATGGGGTTGAAAAAAAAAGATCTTCCTAGCCAATCGATTATATATCCATCAGGTGGAAGTTCATACTGTAAATCTTTGTTAAACACAATATCGTTTACTGACATTCAAGTTCATTATTATTACTTTTAATCATTTTCACAATCTTTTCATCATTATTGTTGTTTTGTTTTGTTTTTTCTTATTTCCTTAGGCTAAAATCTGTTTACCATTAAATTTAACTACAAAACATCATTTACTATTTCGTTTTTATCATGTAAGCTGTGAAACAGCTTCAACAAATCTAATAACTTCTAAAGAGAAATCTAATAGTGGTAATAATAATAGTAATAATAAAAAACCTGTTGAATCAAATACAGGCTATTCATGGATTCCAATACTTGGAACAGATGGAAAGTAAGTTAATTTTTTAAAATCTGTTTAACAAACTAACATCAGTTTTTGTATGCCTCCAAATACTCTGGTATGGCCGAGAGTGGGGTGGGCCCGCCGTCCCTCTCGAAATACTCTTACATGGCCACGCGTATATAGCCTCTGCCATGATAGTCCTACTCAATGCTGACGTATACTTCAGAAGGTCATGGCATTCCCATCAAACACGACTAGTCCCTTAATCATCGACACAGATCACCTACGTTGGTAATTCACTGAAGCTCCATTCCATTTATTACCAATATTGAGTCGAAATGAACAATGTGTGAATAAAGTACATATTCATTTTTATCAGAAGGGGTTTTGTGGAGATCGTAGTAATTTCAATAGTTGAGATCATGAGTCAATTGAAGCTAGACCATCATGAAAAACCCGGAACACTAGACGGCCGTTCCGTTCTATTGTAGAACTCCTCAGTAGCAGTGCGCATCCACGACCCTGCCTCGCGGGATCTGAACCCAGGACCTATCGGTCTCGCGCCAGGCGCTTAACCAACTAGACCACTGAGCTGGCCGGCATCCAATGGTGTGCTTGCAGGTTTTCCATGATGGTCTAGCTTCAATTGACTCATGAACTCAACTATTGATATTCATTTTTACTGTTGTTAGTGATGAATAACAGTTACTTGCTTATGCTTAATATCGTTCGATGAATACTATATCTGACTGATTGATGATTATAAACTTCTTGTTCGCCTAACTTTCATTGCATACTTACACATTGGATTTATCTATTTGTTTTCCATCTTCTACTCGATCTATTTTCCGTCTCTCAGTTTAAATGTTGGTACATTTCAACTTCGTATTGCATCAACTATTCATCCGGGTTATTTACAACAATCAACTATACAAGTAATTCATCTTTTTATTTATCCTATTTATTTGTATATATTATTTGATCGTGATAATGATGATGGCGATGATAGTATACACACTCAGTCAGCTATAAGCGACTTAAAAATATAGCATATATATATATATATATATATATATATATATATATATATATATATATATATATATATATATATATATATATATGCTTTGAGTTCAAGTTACTACACTAATATAGGCCTTAGAGAATTGTAATGCACATCTGGAATATATTATCTAGTTCATTAATGAAAAATTTTAACTAAGTTGAAGTTTTATTGTGATGTGTATTACTGATGTCGATAGATATAAGTAGTATGTATCATCAATAGAAAATGAAATGCCTAACAGCAGAATGATTAAGAAGATTGAAGAAAAGAGAACAAAGAATGATTAATGTGAAAATGACGGAACATCAAAGTTTGAGATGATTTGATTGACATTATGCTGCTTTTAAGTTAAGAAAAAACACCATCGTCGGACGCCGATAAGTATACCTGTGTTCTAGAACCTGACGAATGGTGAATATGTGGTCTATGCATCCACGACCAGGTCTGAAGCCAGCTTGATTCTCTCGTGTTTGCAGTTCACGAGTCTTAGTTGCAAACACGAGAGAATCAAGCTGGCTTCAGACCTGGTCGTGGATGCATAGACCACATATTCACCATTCGTCAGGTTCTAGAACACAGGTATACTTATCGGCGTCCGACGATGGTGTTTTTTCTTGACTTAAAAACAACATTAGTCTCTGTAGACCGAGAGGTTCTGTGGCAGTGTCTGTCATTGAAAGGCGTACCTCAGAAGTACATAAACCTTGTGAAGGCTCTCTACTCGAACACTACTAGTCGAGTCAGAGATTATGGCAAACCGTCATCTGCTTTCGCAACCTCAAGTGGTGTCCGTCAAGGCTGCCCACTTTCTTCGTTTTTGTTTAACTTCACCATAGATGGAAATAACGCTATAATCGACTGGATTCTCGGACATCGATTTCCTACCACGAGGTCCACTTATCGACTTACAATACTCATATGATATAGTCCTGTTTGATGAAGACGCTGGTAAAATATAGTCTTTTAGTAACACTGAGCAACAGTGCCAGAATGTTTGGAATGTGCTTCTCTCACTCTAAATGGAAGTTAGTGCTTCAGGATTTGCCTGCGTCAACACCTGAACTAAGGATAGGGAGTGAAGTAGTCGAACGCGTTGACAACTTCACTTATCCTGGAAGTCTGATCATACCTAATGGATTGGTGTCTCACGAAATCTCAGCATGGATTCGAAAAGCTCGTTTGGCTTTTGCCAACTTAAGTCACTTGTGGCGAAGGCAAAATATACATCTATCATTTAAAGGACGAGTATAATGGGCGGCAGTTCGTTCTGTTTTACTTTACAGATGAGAACCGTGACCATTAACAGTAGAAGATGCTCATAAATTACTAGTATTTGATCACAGATAACTTAGAAATATTACTGGCATCTTCTGAGATCACCGGGTAAGTAGTAGTGAGGTTAGACTCACAGTATTAGGTAATGATGATGGTAAATCAGTCGATGAGGTTATGACTCTTCATCGACTGAGATGGTTGGGCCACGTGTTGCGTATGCCTGAACACCGATTACCACGACATTTAAGGCTAACCGGTCTTAGGAATAATTGGAAGAAAGTTAAGGGTGGCCAAACCAAAACGTGGCATCAGTGTTTGAAGTCACTAACTTCTGGTCTGAGCCATGTTGGTAGATGCAGACTGCCTGGTTGGGGTCTACGTGATTATCAGAACCAATGGTTGGAGACTCTTGATGACATGGTTCAGAATCGATCACAATGGCGTCGGTGTATACACTCTCTGTCTTCCTTTAAACTAAGAGATTAAAATCGCTTCATATCTTTCTTTCTACGAACTAATTCTTTATTCCTGTACTATCTCCTTATACATAATCTTTTTTTATATATATTACCACCACTGATTTAACTACTTCTATGAATCCGGTGTTCATCTTGTTGTGCTAATGCGGTATGACAACTTGGACCGATGCATATACATGCCTGGTCCTACGTTGCAGCTGACTGACTGACTGACATTTTGCAAATGAAGTATTTAATGTTTATGGTTCTCAGATTTTATTAAGATGTTCTGCAATGTTGTATTGAAATCTATTCTATTGTCCCTATTTGTGTTCCCCTTCACTATATTATGATCGGTCATTCTTTCATATACTTTATTTTGACCCAATATAAATTTCAACGAAAGGATCTCGTTTCAACAAATTTATTATCAAACTGTACAATCGTATATTTATATGAAGTTTGTATGTATGTGTGTATGTGTGTGTGTGTGCGCGCTGATCCCGTGAGGAGCAAGGACTAAACAATTACGAATAAAATTACTAGGATATAAGAAATAATTTATGAGGAAATGGGAGGGAGGTTATTTCTTAATACGGAATGAAATAATGATAGTCATGATAATAATATTAATAGTTTAAGGCCAAGGTTAACATGAAGGATAAGAACTACTTCTTTTATATGCTTCATTTCATGAATGAAAAGAGCTTTTGTCGTTTTTTAAGGAATTGGATTGAAAGAAATTTAAGTAGATTTGGATGAATTGCATAACCAACTTTGAAATCAACCTGTAGATTGATTAGATATTTAGGAATGGAACTTTTAATTGCTTTCCTTTTGTATTTTCAAAACAACACTAGGATATGTTCTCGTATCCAAGTTAGAAGTAGGTGATAGCTATAACTACAGCCTACGTATTTTGCTCCATAAGAACAGAGCAACTGATAGGTTCACATAGAGACAAGAGATACAATATTTCTAGAATAACATGATTTCATTCTATTTCAAAGCTTCGCATCAGTTTCAAATGACTTAAATATAACATTTATAGTATTATTTCGATAGAACAATGAGAAGACAAAGTTGATCTAAAACATATGATGTATTTATGCTATCCATTTCAAACAGTCTGATCACACATATACTTATCAAGGCATCTTATGTGAAAATTAATAAAGGTCAATTGAATGAAGGTTCAAGTAAACAAAGTGATAATTATCGGTATAGGGATTTATGTAGATTGTAGTATTTTCACAGTTGAAATCATGAGCTGATCTAAGCTAGACCACTATTGAAAACCTAATTCGAGCTTCGTGTGCTAGATTGAGGATGCTTACTACTGAAGAGTTTCATACTAGGACGAAACAGTCATCCAGTACTTTCAGGTTTATAATGGTAGTTTATCTTAAATCAACTCATAATTTCAACTGCGAAATAACTATTAATTGTAAATAAAGACGAGAGAGAGAAAAAAAACATTACCCCAGTCCATTAAATGACATAAGGTGGTTTACTAGGGCAAATTCAAGGTCATGACAAATTGTTTCTGTACAAATAAGGGGGAGTTCGAATTTACAAATAGTCAAGGAATTTTATAAACCTAATCATTTATTCTTGACTATTTCTATACAATGTTGTCAAAGCTGTATTGATTTTATTTCTGTACCCTGTTACAATTATGTGCTTTGTTATCAATGAATATGGTTTTCTTACTTCCTACGTTTTAACAAGAGAAAATAGTATATTTAATATAATAGTTCAAATTGACTAGTATTTCATATGTTGCTTTCATAAGTAGATGTAAATTCTTATATATATATATATATATATATATATATACTTGAAGGTGACCTCAGAAGGATATAGATCCACTTTTGATTGATTTAAAGAATATCTTATGTTATACACTGTAGATAGGTGGACTTCAGGGAATCTTCTCTTCTTAGCACTGTTTTCCTCCTTTTATTGATTCTATCTAAAATCTCCTTACCTTCGAGTACCAAACGAATAAAGATTGGTTTACTGTTAACAGTTGTTAGTTTGTTTGTACTAGCATTCCACAGTTGATGTTCACTCCGAGACTTGAAGCTAGTATTGTTCAGTTCAAACGCTTTCGCGTTATCCACTTAGCTACTGAGTCCTCATAGATACTAGCTTGTGCAATCGATTGAAGTTTTAATTCATTTTTTTGTATTGGACTACAATTGATCAGTTTCATCCAGTTGATGAGTGGAAAACTCTGTGATGCTTATTAATTGTCCTGTGTTTGTGACTACTCATTAGTGTAAATCATTAGTGCCTATAATACTTAATATGTGACTGACATTAAAATCTAGGATGCATATTTTGTTTTATTTGGATCTTATCAGCTGAGTATACCTGCATCCCACTGTTGATGTTAACGATAGGACTTGAACTCAATGCCCTCATATTTGGGATTGCGAGAGGCGTTATTTCTAGATAATGTCATACTGTTGAAAATTCCCTATTTGCTCAACTTGTTCATCCAAACGTTATTGAGTGAAGGGACTATGTTCCTGATCAGGTGCCTTGTTCTAGAAACAGATAGGGTTGTGAATAATTGTAAGCCATTAAAACACTGTCAGTGTGGTCAACGTCTCAGGGGACATGTACTATTATGAGTTCCCATGGAGATATAGAAAGGATGGTAGTGGACTTATTTAATACTAACTTCAAGGATGCTAATTATCGATAGATGTCACCGCGATTAATTCAGCAGAATATTCATGTGTTTACAGCGATGGTTATTCCTCTGTACGCCTTCTTTGGTGGACTGAAAGGAGATAACTGTCGGGTAATTATGATGGCGCACTCATACGTCTAGATAAAATGAATGAAAGGTCTCTCGGTGTAGTATAAAGAGGTAATAGAAAAACACTGTGTAGGAATTTTCAGAATGCAAATGTAGTACTCGTTGTCAACAGAATAATGTCTAATGAATAGGCACTTTCCATTATTTCTAATTTTCACGTTAGCCAAAACAGACTTGTAAAAACAATGGGTGTGTAAACCAAAAAAATGACTTGATTGTTAGGTATTTACGAAAATCTTGTTTACTGGAGCGTACAGACAAATGGCCTGGGGAAGGTCGAAAATCAAAGAAATTTCCTACCTAGCAGTTAGTCTTAATTCATGATACAAGTAGAAAGTTATTCAATCAATCAGGTACTCCATTAATATATGCTTGATTCAAACCAATATATATCTTCAAATAAATAACTAATATCACCTATCTTCACATTAGTATGTACAGATAATATATCTAAAGGTCAAATACTTAAACTTGTACTTGATTACTGAGTAGTACTAACTAACCAGTACTTCCAGGTTTTCAATGGTGGTCTAACATCAATCGGTTCATGATCTCAATCAAAAACTTAAAAATTTCCACAACCCGTAAACTGATAATTATTACGTGCTCACTAGTGAGAAGCCGTGACCAGTGGAGTTAATCCGTGTCAGGTAGAGATTAGGTATCTATCTCAGGACAATGGAAGATGGTCGCGCAACTTCGTGGATTGGTTGAAGTTAGACATTAACGTCATTGGCTACCGGATCAGTGATCTAGCAGGTTAAGCGTTCGTGCACGAAACTGAAGGCCCTGAGTTCGAATCCCTTTGGTGTGGGTTCGTGGATGTGTATTGCTGAGGTGTCCTACAATAGGACGAAACGGCCTTCCAGTGCTTCCAAGTTTTCAATGGTGATCTAACATCAATCAGTTCATGATCTCAATCAAAATAGGTATATTTGTCCGCATTTTTTGTCAATAATCGTTGAAGTTATTTTTATGAAAATGATATATTCACTACCATTCATTATAATAATCGATTGTGTATTACGTCGAAAAATCTATTTTTCAATCAAATCAACATTTTCCACTGAAAATTGTTGTTATGGTAACAATAAATTGAAAAAGTTTCATCGATTTATTTAGTGTATATCACTTTTTTTTACTAATATTCGACAACTATTGAAAGTGAGGAATTCGCTGGATGTGAGATCATAAAGCTATTCCTTGTTGTCAGGCAGTAACAAGGTGGAACTTCGTTCATACATCAAGGAATCCTAGACTGGAACAAAAAAAAAATACAAGATCTAGCTATGTAAACTACAAATTTAACAATCTTAAGAGTATACAGTTTTCGTCATACTTATTATTTGTATGGTGAATTAAAGCACTGGTTCAATGTTTAAAAATAACACTACACTTATCCGAGTAGTAGTCAGTATTCATGTTTGTATATGGTTTTTATGGATGACTGAATTCTATGGATCATAATTGCATATTGTAACTTTATCAACGGAATTAAATGATTAATAAAGGAGCTGAAGAAATAAAAGAAAAGCCATCACTATTCATAGATTCATCAGTTTTAAAAGTATCAGTTCTACAAGAGGTCAGTCAAGGACAGAATTATTTAATGGTCCCGAGCATTTCTGTGACCACCGATTAGAGAGTAGTGACTTATCGATCGGATCAATGGCGCGTAAAACCCGTACGAGAAGTCTAGAGTGCTTATTGGTCTTGCTTCTTGTCGAGCCCAGCCAGTTAAGTCCAGAACACCAATTCGAGCCTCTGCGATATGATTTATATATTTCAAACATACTCAGTTTATATATCAATCAAACAGACCACAACGTACCATAAAATAGAAAATAACATTTGTACAAGTATTAGGCAAAAGTGGCTGTGAATGTGGGAGGCAGCTACTAATAAACAGGGCATAATTCAAGAATGGTAAATTGTGTAGTAATAGTTCATAGGTGAAAAAAAGCCTGTAATAAGAGGAATATGAATATGAATAGTTTAGTTATTTAACAATTATACAATAAAAATATACGTTTAGTATTGGTCCATACATAGATCCCAAAGTTACCATTCATTATGCTTATCGGGACCTAACAGTTTCACTGTTCAGCCAGTTAGTCTGTAACAACGTAAGACTTCGTACGTACGTACGTACATATATCAGTTCGAGTTGCCATACCACATTAGCCCAGTGATGCAGTTGTTGATTCAAATCCCATAGTGGTAGAGGTACTAAATGTACAAACAGTAACTGGAAAGACTAGTTTTTGATTGAGATCATGAATCGACTGATGTTAGACCATCGTTGGAAACCTGGAAGCACTCAACGGCCGTTTCATCCTATTGTAGGACTCCTCAGAAGTGCGCATCCATGATCCCATACCAAAGGGATTCGAACTCAGGGCCTTCAGTCTCGTGCACGAACGCTTAACCTGCTGGATCACTGATCCGGTAGCCAATGACGTCAATGTCTAACTTCAACCAATCCACGAAATTGCGCAACCATCTTTCATTGTCCTGAGGTAGATACCTAATCTCTACCCCACACAGATTAGTGTTTGAAGATGTTATTCAACGAGTATAATCCAGTGAAATAAATTTGGATAGAGAAAAACAAAAGACATGAAAACTTTAGTAGAACACAAAAAGTGGATACATCTTTGCACACTATTACAAACGATGTTGAGCCATGTCATTCAACATCTTTAACTATCAGTTGTTATTGTCTTTCAAATCCTAATCAGATAATCTACATCTACTAACATAATTCAATTCATTTATCAGTAATGACTTCATGAATAGATTCAAGTTATTCTTTTTATGATAATCATCTTTTGTTTTTTGTTTTTTTTTGATTTTCTTTAGAATTTTCGTCATTCAAACTCTACAAATCATAATCATGATAGTAATCCCATTGATTTCACTTGGATTGATAATGGAAAATATTTATTTAAAGTTAATCTAAAATCTTTATCATCTATCTATACATATGATTCAATCTTATCAAAATTTTTTCGTGTTTGTAGTGATCTATTACCACAAATGTTCTATTTATCATCTATAAAAACAAATTATACAGATAAACAAAAGGTATTATAATTTATTTGTTTTCAAAGATTATTTTCAACGGTTATTAATTGAATTTTCTATTCTATGCCCTGGTACGGCTAAGAGTAGGGGAGAGTCCGCTCTCCCTCTCGAAATGCTCTCACATGGCCATGCGTATATAGCCCCTGCCAGGGAAGTCCTACTCACTGCCTTCACGTGGCGGTGGTGTTGTTTACGAAAATGAGAGGACGAAAAGCGAATGTCCGGCACTTTAACCGAATCCAAAACCAATGGTGCATATGGGCTAGTTCCAGTATCCTGAAGGAACAAATGGCGTATGAACCAATCGTTGGTCACCGGTTACCATGGGACTGCATCTCACTACGATGCTCCACTGCCTTGTGGATCAGACTTTCAGGTCAAAGGCTGGGGGTGTGGCCCCCTAAGAAAACCACCTGTTTCGGTTTGGGCACCCGGTCAGTATCACAGCCCTCACACAAATCAATTGAGATTTGTGTGGCGCATATGTATTTGGTGCCTCCTTGTACCAATACCTATGTGTTAAAATAAATAAATAAATAATATTATATCTTTTTATGTCTCATTGTGCCACCATATACCCTGATACCGCCGAGAATGAGGAGAGTCAACTCTCTCTCTCTCTCTAAATGCTCTCACATGGCCACGAGAATACAACCCCTGCGAGGGAAATCCTACTCACTGCCTTTACGTGGTATTACTGTTGTTTACGAAATTGAGAGGACCGGATTTCAAACCGATGGTGCATATGAGCTGGAACCAGGATCCTGAAGGAACAAATGGCGTATAAACCAATTGTTGGTCACCGGTTAACATGGGACATCATCTCCTCATGATTTTCTACTGCTTTGTGGGTCAGACCGTCAGGTCGAAGGCTCGAAGTGTGCCTCTCTAAGAAAACCAGCTGCTTCGGTGCATATATATTTGATGTCTCCCTGTACCAATACCTATGAGTTAAAATAAAATAAAAAATGTCTCACCGTTGAAATTCAATCGATCTAACTTATGTATGGTGGTTAGGAATACTTATTATACTTAGTTTTCCAAACCGCATTAATTTTAGTCAGTTTCGAATCTTCCACCTACTGATGGACATTGAAAGTCTCAATCACTGTCTCTCTTTCTTTTTGGGAAACATCGTTCTGTTGATATTATATATTTTGATAGAGAAGTAATTTATATTTGGTAATCCTTGAGTTCAGTACATTGATCACAATGAATTAACAATCTTTATTTAATTATCATTGATGAGGATTAATATCCCCCCATTGTTCATATTCATAACTATTTTAGATATCTTCCGTGTTTAGTATTTGAAACTTTGTACAACTTCTTCGATATTGGTTGCTGTAGCTAGTTGATTATATTTTGAGTAATGTAAATCAAGATAAGTATTTTGTTCTGTTTCAAAACTCTTCATTCGGTTATACCTGTATCTTTTGTGCGATGTACCAACCATGTTCGGGCTTAGTGAAGCCAATTGGCCTTTCTGGTAAGAAGACTCCACTTAATGCCACACAAACCCATCGAGTGGATGTGTTTTCGTGGGGAAGTCGTTGGAAACCCCCTGGGTCTCCATGACACACACAAATATAAGCACTCAGGGAAGGTCGATGGTCACTTATCCCTTGTAGTTGCTACCATATTATTTTGGATATATCTTCTAAGTGAAAGGTCAGGCCTATGATTTTATTAGACACTAGGTAGAGATTTTTCAGGAGGCCCAGGTTGGATTTTGCTGCCCAAAATAGCCGACGACCCCCGGTCACCCATGGAAGTACTGATCGTGCCAAACTTTGATACTCGGAGGAGAACCGGTGTTTTCAACGTGGTATAGTCGCCATCCGATGTATACTGAATTAGAAACCTCCACTGTACATTGTTTTAACCTATATGGCGTTGTATATCACGTTACTGATTCATGTTAACCATGAGGTCTATTTAAGGGCTGTAATATTTACTGTTAATTATTCGGGATTGTATTACTCTATTGCTGAATATTATGGACTTCGTTTATCAATAACCATTGGATAAATTTTTATCCTTAATTATTACTAATACTATTCCTCTAATCATTATCCATTAATTGCTATTTCTGCATTTCTTAGAAAGGCTTTCACCAATGACGACTAGTAATCGTATTTAACTACCCAAAACTTAATACTTCAGTTGTACAACCGATGGTTGTATCAATAAAATTCACATAGTTTGCATCATTGACTGATCTTAGCTAGACAAGCGTTGGAGACATGTGATCATTGAAGTTCAGTCATGTCGGGTGTGACACCGTTTCCATTCATAGTCAATGGAAGATGATGCACAATATCGTGAATTGGTTAAAATTAGATGTGTACAGCATTTACTACTCGTCCATTTGTTTAAAAGTAAAGCGCTCGGTGCTAGACTGTTAGTCATGAGTTCTGTCTCCGATAGGGCCTGTAGATACTCATAACTTTATGAGTCCTATACTAGGACGAAAATGTTTACCAGTGATTCCTGGTTTCTAGCTATTGTCTAGCTTATTTATTTATTTTAACACAGATATTGGTACAAGGAGGCACCGAATACATATGCGCCACACAGATCTCATTTGATATGTGTGAGGGCTGTGATACTGCCCGGTTGCCCAAACCGAAGCAAGTGGTTTTCTTAGGGGGCCACACCCCGAGCGTTTGACCTGAAGATCTCATCCACAGGGCAGTGGAACATCGTAAGGAGATGCAGTCTCATGGTTGTCGGTGACCAACGATTGGTTCATACACCATTTGCTCCTTCAGGATTCTGGAGCCAACCCATGTACACCGCTGATTTGGGATCCGGTTAAAGTGCCGGACATTCGCTTTTCGTCCTCTCATTTTCGTAAACAACACTCCCGCTAAGATAAGGCAGTGTGTAGGACTTCCCTGGTAGAGGCTATATACGTGTGGCTATGTGAAAGCATTTGGAGAGGGAGAGCTAACTCTCCCTATTCTCGGCCATACCAAGGAATTGTCTAGCTAAACTGGGTCCATGATATAAACCAAAAGAATGTTTTAATTACTAAACTATCACTTCTCGTGAAGCTTAACAAATTCTTTGTAATCATAATATACAATCGAAAATTTCTACGGATTCATTTACATTTGTTTTACTTTTTACAGCAAAATCATGTTACATTTCGTGATGATACTGTTGTAATACAATCTAATAATCTTGATCTATCATCGTCATCATCATCATCATCATCATCTTCTTCTTCAAAACGTATCAGTATTACAGGTGGTAATATATCTAGTAACAGTATCCTACATAATACAACATCAATTCATTTACATTTATGTAATGCTATGAAGGCATTATTATTGATTAGTCCAACTGCATTAGTACAATTTCTACCAGTGATTCTTAATCAATTTATGGAGATTATTATTCTTAGTGCTGAAGCAAGTGCAAGATGTTTTCAACAACAGCAGCATCATCATCAGCCAATAGCTCAACTATCAGATTTAATCAACAAAGATCTTAATAATACTACTGATACTTCGGAATATTTGTGGTTTAGAAGTTTAAAAAATAATTATAATAATAATATAATTAGTACAAATACAACAAATTATACTACTACTACTACTATTACTAGTAGTAATAATAGTACACCAGATGATGTATTGAAAACAGGTATTAGGTAAGTTGTTTTCGTCTTGTACACTAAGTACTTCTTTTTTTGGCTTTACATAATTTAAGGAATTTCTATAATGAGAGGGGGGAATAGGATCATTTGTATGTTGTATTTAAACAATTAGTCATGAAATGTATATTAGACTTGTTTAATTCTATGATAACTCAATTTATTTGTAACTATGAGGTCTAACCTGATATGTCTTGAAAATTTGAACGCTATACTCGATTCCTAAGCTATTCTTGTAACCCCCCCAAGCTAGAACTATACAGCAACCTGAACACGAGAGAGATGGCGCAAAGTATTCGAAAAGTACTTTACTCCAAGGTTCCTTTTAATACAGAAAACATAGGATTTTTATAATATTATAAATGTCTTTGGGTTGCTCGAAGATTCTGGAATGCTACTAAACATAGTAGCAGTATAACAATCAGCCAATCAGAACCTTTACATGTGACGTTTCACATCCTTGATGTTTTCTGGCTAAACTCCAAGTGAACGTTGATTGAATGAGATGCTTCTTAATGTTTCATGATCCTTTCGTGTCTTTTGCGAGAATTTTTCTGGATCATCGCAACAACCTTGGTATTGTTACCTACAAACTTTTCTATCTTTTGTTTTATGGCTCTCTTTATCTATAGAGTTGAATTGGTTGAGCTTATTGACACTTTCATTTCCCTTTGAAGTCTCATCAGTTCTGATGGTTTGGTGTCTTTTCTAACGAAATCTTGGCATGAATACAGAAATCTCGATTGACTTGCGTCACTTTTTGTGTAGGCGAAATATCCATCTATCAACCATAGAATAAATTTACTGTACAGCAGTTCTCTTTGTTTCAATTTATCTTGGATAGTCATTAAGAATAGAAGATCCTCGTAGACTACTAGTGTTCGATCATAAGTGTTTTTAAAGCATTGCTCATGTCTTTCGAGACCACTAAGTAAGTAACACCTGGTTAGGGATAGGGTACTAAGTAAATATAGCAAGTCAGTTCACAAAGTGGTAAGTGTTCGTCAAGTGAAGTAGTTGTGACATGTGTCACGCATCCCAAACCACCACCTGCCTCGACGTGTGATGACGGCTAATGTAGGAGTAGGTTGGAAGAAGGCTAGGCGCGGCCGAATCGGAATATAAAATCAGTTCATGAAGCCATTGACAATTGAACTGAGTCATGTTCGTAGGTCCGAACTTCCTGATTGGGTTCTGCATGATAATCATAACCATTGGTTAGAAAACTTTGAGTGATATGGCTCAGAACTCTTTACAAAGGCATAAGTGCATTCCTCTCTCTAAATTCTAAACTCTTGGACTCTTCATAATTTTTTGTTATTTCACCCATAGCTTCCTGAATCGTATCTATGACGCTTATTCTTCTCTACTATCACAGTTACTCTGACTAACTTCGCTAATTTTGAATTCTGTCTAATAGTTTCATCTATTTATGTTAATGGGATTTGACAACCTGAACCAATGTACCTGCTTATTTACTTATTTATTTAAACATGTAAACATTGGTACAAGGAGGCACCAAATAGATATGCACCACATTAATCATTCGATTTGTGTGAGGACGAGGATACTACTCGGATCCCCAAACCGAAGCAGGTGTTTTTCTTAGGAGGACCACACCCGTAGCCTTTGACCTACAGGTCTGTTCCACAAGGCAGTGGAGCAACGTCAGGAGATACAGTCCCATGGTAGCTGGTGACCAACGATTAGTTCATACACCATTTGTTCCTTCAGCATTCTGGAGCCAGCCAATGTGCACTATTGGTTAAGAATGAAGGTTTTCCAATTCTCCTAGGTGAACTCTCCTTGTCTACGAACCTGGTTAAAGTGTCAGTCATTCGCTTTTCGTCCTCTTAATTACGTAAACAACACCCGTGTTGTGAGAAGGCAGTGAGTAGGACTTCCGTGTATTACTACACTGTATTACACTGAATCATAATCAATGAATGGGGGGGGAGCGTGGATAGGAGTATAAATTACATTATTCTTTACTAAATTATACATTTTGTTTAAATACCAATCTATCCTTTCATTTACACTTCAATTATATATCAATATAATTCATTAGAATATAATCTATGCCCTGGTACGGCCGAGAGTGGGGAGAGTCCTCTCTCCCTCTTGAAATGCTCTCACATGGCCATCCGTATATAGCCTCTGCCAGGGAAGTCCTACTCACTGCCTTCTCGTGGCGGGGGTGTTGTTTACAAAAATTAGAGGACGAAAAGCGAATGTCCGGCGCTTTAACCGGACCCCAAACCAATGGTGCACATGGGTTGGCTCCAGTATCCTGAAGGAACAAATGGCGTATGAACCAATCGTTGGTCACCGGCTACCATGGGACTACATCTCCTTACGATGCTCCACTGCCTTGTGGATCAGACGTTCAGGTCAAAGACTGGGGGTGTGGCCCCCTAAGAAAACCACCTGTTTCGGTTTGGGCACCCGGGCAGTATCACAGCCCTCACACAAATCAATTGAGATTTGTGTGGCGCATATGTATTTGGTGCCTCCCTGTACCTATACTTATGTGTTAAAATAAATAAATAATAATAATGTGGTATATCTTCACATGTTTGTCCATAATAGATCTTGTCACGTTTATTACCCTTTTTATTAAGGTTTAATGAACCGATTTGGTTAATATTTTTGATTTGTTCTATCGACTAATTAATCAATTGAATTGTGTATATGTTGAGTAAATCAATAACTGAACATTAATTTTCAAGGTTTTATTTTTATTCAATACACATGAATTTTAATACGATTGTAAAGCACCTAAAAGTTTGTGTTCTAAATAAACAGAGTTAACATTGTGCTGAAATAAAATACAGAGAGATGACAACTACAATTAATTGATTGAATAAAAACAGTACATAACAGAAAATGTTCGTGTTCACAATGGAATGAGAAGAAACTTCTTTCAATTAAGCAAGTCCCTGTCACTTTTATCATTGAACATGAAAGAAAACTCCATTGAGATAGTCATTAACTTCTACTATGAGTCATATCTTGATGACGTCTTGAACTATTGAGTTTCACCATCTCGTGATCGGTCATGTGTTACAGCTCTCGTTCTCGAAATACTCTCACATGGCCACGTGCATACAACCATTGCCACAGAAATTCTACTCATTGCCTTCTCGCACCATGAGTGCTGTTTACGAAGTTAAGAGGAAGAAATGTTAATGTCCGTCGCTTTAACAGGGTTGGCGGATACGGAGCATCTACTTAGTGCAGCTGGAAAATTCTAATTCCAGATCAATCGTGCATATGGGTTGGTTCCAGTATCCTGAAGGAACAAATGGTGTATGAACTAATCGTTGGTCACCAGCTACCATGCGACTGTATCTCCTGACGTTGATCCACTACCTTGTGGATCAGACCTATAGGTCGAAGGATCCGCGCGTGGTCCCCCTGAGAAAACCACCTGCTTCGGTTTAAGCAACCGAGTAGTATCCTCGTCCTCACATAAATCGGATTATTTATGTGGTGCATATGTATTTGGTGCCTCCTTGTACCAATGTTTACGTCTTTAAATAGATAAATAAATAAATGATCTTGACTAATAAATTTCCGACTACATCCAAACACAAGATATCGCATCAAAAATTAGTAGCTACATTGAAAGTGATCGATAGGATTCCATCAGCACCAAAGAGTTAGACAAAGACGATATTGATCAATACTTAATGTCCAGACAATTTCAAGTATCTCAATATTATCATAGGTTAGTCGCTGTCTGAATACCTCATTGGTGGTATATCAGGCTATGAAGTGCCGTAATGCTGATTTACAGGGAATGACTGTACACTAGCATGTACCTTCGAACACGTAATATTTCAATGATTTGTGCCACATGACGAGTTATTGAATCCCTTTTGTTGTTGTTGTTATGGTATACCGTGTTATGTTTAGATTCTAGTAAATATAATTTTGTACTTTATCAATTCTAGTACATTAGCTATGCTTGTTTCTGAATTGAATGCACAAATTCCAAATGATAATATTTATTATCCAATCAAATCAACAAATGATGCAGCTTATTCGGATAGTGTAATTGATTCAAACATACCAAATGGTGAACGTGTAAAGCACAATTTATTGAAAACTTATGTAGAGGTAAGTTGTAAAAAAAAAACTTGTTTTCTCAGTTTTCAAAAGTTTTCATCATTTAATTGTTACTACTTATAAGTAAATAGGAGATGTGATCATGAAGATTCGGACTGGCTAATGTTCAACTAAGTACTTGGTATTTGATTTTCTTTCTTTTCATGCTGTATGGTGGTAGTTTATTGAAGAGTCAAATGTCGTACGAAAAAGCTGTTCTCTATTTGATTATGTTGTCTTAACTCAGCCGTATTGTTTTTTGATTGAGATCATGGACCGATTGATATTAGACCACCATTGAAAACCTGGAAGCACTGGACGGCCGTTTCGTCCCATTGTGGGACTCCTCAGCAGTGCGTATCCACGATCTCGCTCGCGGGATTCGAACCCAGGGCCTTCAATCACGCGCGCGAACGCTTAATCTACTCGACCACTGAGCCGGCATCTAACGGTGTTAATGTCTTACCTCAACCAATCCACGAAAATGCGCGGGTTAAGTATAGCTTACAATTATTTTGAATGGAAAAGAGTATGGTCGTGAATCGTACATCAAGTTAAAGTTTGTGGTTTATAAAATGAACCAGAGATAAAACTTAAGGTTCATATTTTACAGATTTTGAATTAAATAAAGCGACTTTCCCATCATCATGTCCCTTCGGAGACAATGTATGATCTCATTTTTGGTTCAATATAGGTGAAATCTGGTCTTCTCCGTTTCCTCACCTTCTAGATCACTGGACATATTCTGTATTGAGACTATCCAAAAGGGTTCTTCACATTGAGCCAAGTTTATCAGTTTCCTGTGATGTTCTCGAATCTTCCAGTATGTGACTTGCATAACGTATCCACCCTTTAACTTCCATCACATACATTAATTTTCTTTGTATTCTGTAATTTGTTGATGTTTGGTCTTTCAAACAACCATATCCGTGCAGCAATTTCGAAGACTCTCTCAGTCTCCCAAATTGTACGAGCATTCCATGTACCTAAATAAATGGTTGCTCTGGTTATCAGAAGGGGCATCGGCCTCGTGACTTCTGAACGAACTCGGATTTCATCATGAGGCGTCATAACTCTTTTAAATGAAGACCTTCTGACTCCCAGAGCAGAGTTTAAATGGTTTGAATAATTTTTTCTAGTTAGCGTTGTGATAGCGAGTTAGTTTTCTACGGGATGGGGTCGCTAACCCCATGCTCAACCTTCTTCCTTTATTATCCGGACTTGGGACTGGCAGTAGCCCCTGGAAAGACTCCAGGTGGAGTCTATCCACATTAATAGTTTATTATTTCATTAATTATTCGTACTTATTCAATGAAAAGAATCAAATAAGTAAATTTTCATCCGTCTGACATCCTTCATGATTGTTTTCCTTCTTTTTTTTTCTCTTGTTCTTTTGATTTGTTTTGTTTAAATTGTTGTTATGATAGTCGATAGTGGTCATCTTATATCAGGGTATTTATGAAAAATGACTCATATCTGTCAAATACTTTAAATATTGTAAGCTAGACAACAATCTACTGTTTTTAATTTAGTTGATTTTCAATTTATAGACATAAACAAACTGGAATACATAAGTACATATTCATTTATGTATATTTATACCCTGGTAGATAAGTGACCAGCATAGTTGGGAAAAAAAGATTCATTAAATTCACCTTATACATTTGGTAAATATTAAGCTTCTTTTCAAAAGTTTGTTTATTTCTGTTAATGCCTTGGTACAACCGAAGGTGGTGAGAGTTCACTCTCCCTCTTCAAATGTTCTCAAATGACCACGCGTATATAGCCATTGTCAGGTAAGTCCTACTAACTACCTTATCATAGTGGGGGGTGCTTTTACGAAATGTAAATGTTCATCGCTTTAATTGGGTCTGTAGATATAGATCATCTACTTAGGTGAGTTGGAAAATTCTGATTCCAAACTAATAGTACACATGAGTTTGGCTCCAGTATCATGAAGGAACATTTATTTTATTTATTTATTTTAACACATAGATATTGGTAAAAGGAGGCACCAAATATGTATGCATCACACAGATCTCATTTGATGTGTGTGAGGGCTGGGATACTACCCGGGTGCCCAAACCGAAGCAGGTGGTTTTCTTAGGGGGCCACACCCGGAGCCTTCGACCTGAATGTCTGATTCAAAAGGCAGTGGAGCATCGTAAGTAGATGCAGCCCCATGGTAGCCGGTGACCAACGATTGGTTCATACGCCATTTGTTCCTACAGGATACTGGAGCCCATGTACACCATTGATTTAGGATCCGGTTAAAGCGCCAGACATTCGCTTTTCGTCCTCTCATTTTCGTAAACAACACCTGTGGTGCGAGAAGGTAGTGAGTAGGACTTCTGTAGCAGAGGCTATATACGCGTGACCATGTGAGAGCATTTTTCGAGGGAGAGCGGACTCTCCACACTCTCGGCCGTACCAGGGCATTTGAGGGCCATAAAGGAACAGATGGTGTATGAATCAATTATGGGATTGCATCTCCTAACGTTGCTCCACTACCTTATGGAATAGACCTTTATTTTGTAATGTTTACCTGTAGAAAAGTACATTTCTCTTATTACATATACATATAATGCAATTATTATTACCATTACTTTAATTAACCTGATGTACATTTTCTTGTAGTATATATTTTATTTATAAAATTTATTGTCAGAAGGGGTTTGTGGAGATTTTAGTAATTTCACTGGTTGAAATCATGAGTCAATTGAAGCTAGACCACCACCATGGAAAACCTGGAAGCACTGGACGGCCGTTTCGTTGTAGTATGAGACTCCTGAGTGGCAGTGCGCATTCACGACCCCGACCCCCGCGAGACTCAAACCCAGGACCTATCAGTCTTGTGCGCGAGCACTTAACCATTAGACCACTGAGCTGTTCGGCATCCAACGGTGTTAATGTCTAACTTCAAGCAATTCATAAAATCGCTCCACCGTCACCATTGTCTTCAGTGAGCTGATATCTCACAACAGACCTGGCTGAACTCCACTGGTAAGGGCTTCTCACTAGAAATCCAGGAGTATCTCTTGAAGTCAGTCACTAGTGAGCAGATGATTATTATCAGAAGGGGTTTTGTGGAGATTTTAGAAATTTCAATAGTTGAAATCATCAGTCAATTGAAGTCAGCTTACACGCGAGACTGATTGGTCCTGGGTTCGAATCACTCGGAGAGCGGTATCGTGGATGCGCACTGCTGAGGAGTCCCATACTAAGACGAAACAGCCGTCCAGTGCTTTCAGGTTTTCGATGGTGGTGGTCTAGTTTTAATTGACTCATGATTTCAAATAATTTATTGTATTATATCGATTGTAACCGTAATACCCTAAAATGAAATTTTCTACCCCTTTCAACTTTATAAATGATTTATTCTGAATGTATTTCAACTGTAATCAATGCTAAAGTTCACTAATTTAACATTTCACATTGTTTAGTTCACTCAATTATGGATATTTTAATTTACTGTAATGATTACGAATGGATAAATGTAGGATTTGATAATATGATTATTGAAAATCATTTAAATCTTGAACTGATCCAAGTTAAACCACCATTGAAAACCTAGAAGTTCTGGGTGATTGATTTACTTTAGTATGGAGCTTCTCAGAAGTGCATATCCATGATTCCACTCGGTGGGCGGGGATTATGAAAAGAGACCTTCGGTTTACTTCTAGATCTCTTAAGTAGTTTATCACTGAGCTGACATTTAATGGTGTTAACATTTAACTTCTTTTTTGTTTAGTGTATGTTAATGAAGTGAAAAACGGTATTGTACATTGTATTTGAGATTAAGGTATAATATTTTAAGCCCGTTTCTATCATATTTTAGAATATAAACTAAAGTATCACTATGGCAACTTGGACCGATGCATATACATGCCTGGTCCTACGTTGCAGCTGACTGACTGAAAGTATCACTATAAACAACTGTACAATTCTTTATACTAGGTCTGAACTTATAAATCTTGTCTTCATCAGATCTAATAGTGAGCCTTATTGTTGAATTGTTGTGCCAGAAAATATTTGTACATTCTATTCTGATTGTCAAATAACAAGCTTGCATAAAACCATTGTCTGATATTCTTCAACTTTTCATAATGAAAACTATCTCCACAAAAAGGTTAAAGATATTTGTAAGTATAAATTTCAGTTATAGGCAGAGATAGATGATGACTAGCAGTGGAATCCAGGATGCGCGTTTCGTCCTATAAAAGATTGATCAATTGCAGTCCTAGCCAATACAAAAATGAATTTACACTTTACCTCACTGTACAAGCTAGTGGTTATTTGGACTCAGTAGCTAAGTGGATAACGCAGTGGCGTTTGAAGCGAATGATTCTGGGTTCGAGTGCCAGAGTGAACATCAACTGTGAGATACAGGTATATCCAACTGACCAGTCCCAAATAAGATTCCACTACTAGTCATCATCCATTTTTGTTTAGAATGCTTGTAACTTCAGACAATATCGAAGCCATCCGTACAGGGTGTACATATGCGAATGTGAGAGTTATCAATTGCAGCCCCAAACATCAATGAGAAGATTCAAACAACCAATACAATAAATGAAATAAAGTCCAGTTATTTTTGAGTATTTATTTATTTATTTATTTGAACACATAAATATCGGTAGATAGGGGCACCAAATACATATGCGCTACACAAGTCACTTCATTTCTATGTGGGCTGTGATACTGCCCGGGTGCCCGAACCGAAGCAGGTGGTTTTCTTAGGGGGCTACACCCGGAGCTTTCGACCTAAATGTCTGATCCACAAGGCAGTGGAGCGACGTTGGAAGATGCAATCACATGGTAGCCGGTAATCAATAATTTGTGTATACCCCATTTGTTTCCTCAGGGTTGTGGGGCCCATGTGCATTATTGGTTTGGAATCAGAGTTTTTCAACTCCCCTAGGTGGACTCTTCGTATCCACTAACCCAGTTAAGGTGACAAACATTCACTTTTCGTGTTGTCAATTTCGCAAACAACAATAATGCCGCGAAAAGGCATTGTGTAGTACTTCCTTGATAGTAACTGTATACGCATGGCCATGTAAGACCATTTTTCAGGGAAGAGAGGGCTCTCCCCACTCCTGGCTCTACTAGAGCATTTGGGGGTCGGCTACCGTTCTCAGGTGGATCTGAATCACCAAGCTTTCAGTTAACACAAGAATATATATCATCCGATATCTGTTCACTTAAAATACCATTAGGACTAGACTAACTGTAAGTAACTGAATCAGTAAACAATAAACTATTGATATACATTAATACACTTTCTTGTGTTCTTTATGAATAATTCAATATTTTAAATCTTCTCTTTGTTTTTTTCTTCGCTTCTTTTTATCATTTTATAGTTTGTATTCAATCCTGATCATTTATTAACAACATGTATCAATCATTATTTAAATGAGAATCAACCATTCATTAATCATCCAAGAAAAAAAGAAGAAGAAGGAATACAACTCAATGAATTAATACATCATAAAAGATTAAATCTTTCACCTCCATCATCATCATCATCATCACCTCCACCATCATCATCCTCGCCATCACCGTCAGCAACAACAACAACAACAACAAGATCTAATCAATTATCCATATCACAATCAATAATTAATCAATATTTTCCTTTATCCTCATTACATCATTCTATTATTCGTGGTTTAATTCTTATTTTATCTGATATTCATTGTCCAACTAATATATTAATACATTTATTTAATAATATTTGGTTATTATTAACATTAATTATTAAATCAATGACACAATATTTATGTATTAGTAAGAAAATATGGGTAAGTAATTCAGTTATATATTGTATGCTTGTGTGTGTGTGTGTATGTGTGTGTGTACATATAGATGTTGACTGTTTATTAGTGTTTACCATTTGAAGTAACTACTTCAATGTTCATCTTGTTGTGGTAATAAGGTGTTATGACAACTTGTATCGATGCATAGATATGTGCGCCTGATCCTACGTTGTAACTCACTGACTAATTGATTGATTGAGTTGTTAATAGAAAACAATCAATATTCATTGTAACATGGTCTTTCATTAAGATTTACAGTTATTTAGTCAGAAGGAAACTACTTACTTACTTGCTTACTTACTTACTTACTTGCTTACTTACTTACTTACTTACTTACTTACTTACTTACCTACTTACTTACTTACTTACTTACTTACTTACTTGCTTACTTACTTACTTACTTGCTTACTTACTTACTTACTTACTTACTTACTTACTTACTTACTTACTTACTTACTTACTTACTTACTTACTTACTTACTTACTTACTTACTTACTTACTTACTTACTTACTTACTTACTTACTTACTTACTTACTTACTTACTTACTTACTTACTTACTTACTTACTTACTTACTTACTTACTTACTTACTTACTTACTTACTTACTTACTTACTTACTTACTTACTTACTTACTTACTTACTTACTTACTTACTTACTTACTTACTTACTTACTTACTTACTTACTTACTTACTTACTTACTTACTTACTTACTTACTTACTTACTTACTTACTTACTTACTTACTTACTTACTTACTTACTTACTTACTTACTTACTTACTTACTTACTTACTTACTTACTTACTTACTTACTTACTTACTTACTTACTTACTTACTTACTTACTTACTTACTTACTTACTTACTTACTTACTTACTTACTTACTTACTCACTTACTTACTTACTTACTTACTTACTTACTTACTTACTTACTTATTTACTTACTTACTTACTTACTTACTTACTTACTTACTTACTTACTTGCTTACTTACTTACTTACTTGCTTACTTACTTACTTACTTACTTACTTACTTACTTACTTACTTACTTACTTACTTACTTACTTACTTACTTACTTACTTACTCACTTACTTACTTACTTACTTACTTACTTACTTACTTACTTACTTACTTACTTACTTACTTACTTACTTACTTGCTTACTTACTTACTTACTTACTTACTTACTTACTTACTTGCTTACTTACTTACTTACTTACTTACTTACTTACTTACTTACTTACTTATTTACTTACTTACTTACTTACTTACTTACTTACTTACTTACTTACTTACTTACTTACTTACTTACTTACTTACTTACTTACTTACTTACTTACTTACTTACTTACTTACTTACTTACTTACTTACTTACTTACTTACTTACTTACTTACTTACTTACTTACTTACTTACTTACTTACTTACTTACTTACTTACTTACTTACTTACTTACTTACTTACTTACTTACTTACTTACTTACTTACTTACTTACTTACTTACTTACTTACTTACTTACTTACTTACTTACTTACTTACTTACTTGCTTACTTACTTACTTACTTACTTACTTACTTACTTACTTACTTACAAGCCTGTTACTCCCAACGAAGCATTGGCCACCGGTCAGCATTCACCAACCCACTCTGTTCTAGGCCTTCCTTTTCTTGTTCTATCCATCTGGAGCTACTGCCTGTTTCAAGCTCAGATAAAGGAGGAAGGCTGAGCATGGGATTAGCAACCCTATCCCGTAGAAAACGCTAACCAGAAAAAATAATTTAGAAGGAAATGGTAGAAAGTAAAGTAGGGATTTGATAATGTAAACAATTTCAAATGTTGTCCAAAGTATGAAGGTAATTATTAACCCTTGGTTGCCTACATTTTGAAAAGATACTTTTCAGATAATGTGTAAATGATAACAATTTAAGTCTTGGCAACTTGGAAGTGTGGTCTTAAAGGAAAGTTTAAGTCCGGTTACATGACTTTTTGTGAGTAGTTTTTGTTGTGGTATAAATTTTCAACTTAATTTACCCCTAATTGTCATGGTTCGGCTGATGGTGGCGAGAGTCCACTCTCCCTCTCAGAATGCTCTTACATGGACACGCGTATACAGCCACTGCCACAGAAGTCCTACTCATTGTCTTCTCACACTAGGGGTGTTGTTTACGAAATTACCAACGTGTGAAGGGAATGTCCGGTGCTTCAACTGGGTCGATGGATATGGAGGACCCACGTAGGGGAGTTAGAAAACCCTCATTCCAAACCAATGGTGCACATTGGCACCAGAATTTTGAGGGAACAAACAGCGTATAAACCAATTATTATTGATCACCGGCTACCATGTGACTGCATCTCATGACGTTCCTCCACTGTCTTGTGGATCAGACGTTTAGGTCAAAGGCAATCATTAAAAATGAAGAAGGATCGGACAGTTGTTTCATCTTATTTCAAAACTTTCTTGTACTGCACTTGTATAAAATATTACTAACGATAGAATTGTGGATCTTCAAATCTCGCGGTAAGTGTTTGACCTTTTGTTCAAGTACCATGTTTGTATACCTATCATCTGTCTTTTTTTGTTTGTTTGTTTGTTTGTTTTAGGCTGAACGATCTGGTGAAACACGTTTTTCATCATTATTCTGTGAAGATTTAACTGTATTTATTCAATTAATTGGATCACGTTTATTATCTACATCTTTTGGTACTATAAAAACTACATCTATAACCTATAATCCATCTAATAAAATTGATGAATTAGATACTACCATTTATAATCAAGTGATTACATCATTTCATAATGGATCATTTACAAAAATGGAATCATTCAATTCTTTAACAAATTCACAAATAAATAAATCTATAAATCAATCATTAACACGAAAAACTTCACCACGTTCTGATAGTGTCAAATCTAATCCACATCATACCAATCATATCAATAATAATAGTAATAATAATAATAATGTTATTAATTTTAATGGAATTGATGTCATTTCAGCTATTGGACAATTTTTATGTGATTTATTTAATTTAATGGATAGAGGTTATGTTTTTAAACGTGTTCGGGATTTATTCATGTTCCTTGAAATATCACCAAGAATGGTAAGTTGACATGTCATTCAATCAGTAACAACATAGAATTTCGTACATACGTACATCGATTTGAGTTGCCATATCATATTAGCACAGAGATTCAGTTATCGATTCAAATCCTATAGTGGTAGAGGTAGTAAAAGTATAAGCAGTAATCGGAAACATTAGGGTTTGATAATGTTATTTAAGGAGTATAATCCAGTGGAATAAATTTGGAAAGAAAATAAAGGACATGAAGAATTCAGAAGATTACAGTTTGAGAGAACACAAAAAGTGGATGCACCACTGCGCTATTGCAAACGTTTTTGAGCTATGTCATTCAAGATCTCTAACCATCGGTTGTTATCGTCTCGCAGACCCAAACTAGGTAGTCTGCACCTACCAACATGGCTCAGTTCTCTTGTCAGTGACTTCATGGATTTATGCCATGTTTTGGTCTGGCCGCCCCTAGTTTTCTTCCAACCTACTCCTACACCATAAAACATTGCACGTTGGGGCATTCGGTGGTCGGGCATGCGTAACATATGTCCAAACCATCTCAACTGATTAAGTTTCACTACTTCATCAATTGATTTGCCATCCTTACCTAGTACCCGTTTCCTAACAACTGAGTTACTTATTCGGTGGTCTCAGGATATAGGAACAATGTTTCGAAAACATCTATGATCGAATACTAGTAACCTACGAATATCCTCTCTTCTTACCGGCCATGTTTCACTGTCATAAAGTAGGACGGAACGCACTGTTGCGCAATAAACCCGTCCTTTGGCTGGTAGACGGATATCTCGTCTACACCACAAATGACTCAAGTTGGCAAAAGTTAGTCGAGTCAACGACAAAGTTAAACAAGAATGGAGAGAGTGGGCAGCCCTAACAAACACCACTTGAGGTAATCAGTTCTGATGACATAACTGATTACCTCAAGTTGACATGTGTGTGTATGTATACTTAATGAGAAATTAACTAGATATCGAGAATCGTACATTCAATGACTGAGATGAACACACATCAGACAACATCTCAGTCTGTTAGGCTGCTTGACTTTTTGGATTCAATTCATCTATTTGTGATGAAGCATTTGATGCTAATATCAAAGTTACTATGCGTCATCATACATTGGTATATCTAAATTGACCATCTGTTATCTTTCTATCCAGTTCCAATGTTGGTAAATAATGCTCGAAATAACCAATCAATTGTAAATATCACAATCCTTTAGGAGGTTACTCAATATCTGAATAACTCGTTGATGACATTTTAAACTGCGGAACTGTTTAACTCGGTGTTATGTTTGAGAGGGATGATGATTTTACCTGGTACCGGCGAACGGAACGAAGTTAGAAACGTAACAACAGGACAAGTTAAGGTATTACAATGAGCCTCAGTTTTGCTAACTATCCAGAGAAAATCATATTCAGCTGGATAAAATATATATCTCACAAGCAGCTCAACAAAAAAACGAACGAAAAGCACACAATTCATGCATAGATATAAAATACAAAGTACCTTTGAAAAATGTTACAAAATAACGTACTAATAGAGGAAACGAACCAGTGTCGTTTAAGGTCATTCCAGATGCGAAATGCGAACTTTAGGTAAAAATAGGCGCGAGAATGTGACATTCAAATTTGCATAATAAATTTACAAATATGAGACTTTGACCAAAAGGTTTCTGGTGATTAAACATCCACAATATTCAGATTTCAATTCATAAGTAGTCGTTAGTTCCTTCCAGATTGCAGGTACATCTTGGTGAAGAATACCATCCAAGGTTTCCTATGAACTTCCTACAACCACCTAACATTTCAAGAATACAATTGTGATTAATTGCTCTACAGTGTCATGTTCTTTCACTCAAATAATGCATTCTTGTTCAGCAAACAGTGTATGAATTACAGATGAGCTCAATATGGTGCTAACTTTGTAATTAGACTTGGAACCGTATAGTTTTAGGTTCGAACCCCATTTCAACTATTTTGATTAAGAAGGTCAGATTGTATAACTAGCGGTCCAATGAAAAAGTTTTTTTCAAAACTATCTTCAACATGAAATCGGTAACTATATGTTAAAGGTGGTCCTTTAAAATACATAGCATCGTTAAATATTTTGAAGTAAGATCACCACTGAAAAGCTCAAATTCCTGGGTGGTTATTTTGCTTTAGTATAAAACTCCTTAAGAGTACGCTTCCACGATTTTACACGAAGGGCTTGAACTCAAGTTCTTCGGCCTCTAGTGTGAATATTTAACCAACTATATCGTTGAACCGGCCTCCGACGATGTTAATGATTAACCTTAAGCAATCTGCATTAATACGCGACCATCTTACATTATCTTTGCTAGATAACTGCTTCACACGCTACCCAAACTAGCTTATTCCAAAACGAATTGGATGCCCTGTACTTCCAAGTTTCAGTGGTGGACCAACATAGATTGGTTCATGGCTTCAGTGAAATTAAACGTTCTCCCCAACTTCCATATTGTAAATATTCATGACAAGACTATCATTTATGAACGAACCAATCACGTATAAGATAATAGGTCTTGAATTTTGGCGCGAAATTCACTGATCCATTGGGATAAATAGCGTTTTGGCATTATAGCTGATGTCAGTTCGTGATGAAAACCCCCCAAATGTAATTCCTGACCTCAACCATCAATTGTAAATCATAATTCTAATTCCTTAAACTCTTTTATAATCCGCATTTAGTCCTAGTTATTAAGTGGACACTCTTATGATCAGTTTAGAGTCACTCAAAGGTTGTCCATAAATTATAGTCTCACCATATTCATTGTTACAGTGTTAGATAAATCCATATAACAACGTTTCTTCTTTCTTTAACTCAAATTTTATCGTCTACGAATATCAACACAATAGAATTAGATAGTTGAAGGTAGTCAGTAATCTTGCGGAAGGAGGGGGGGGCTGAAAAACCTCATGTGATTCGATCTTGTGTCACCAAGCTTTATCACATAAGATGTTATACTGTTGAGTTATTAGGAAAGCTACCGGTCTATAGTAAAACTGAAATACTTTCAATTGATGAATGTTTAAGTAGAGTGACAACATTCATGTATTTTATTTTAACATTGGCAGAACTCCAGGAACTTAATTATTTGAATATAACTTTTTATATCGTTAGGTCAGTTAATCAATATATGTTGCTTCCATATTAACAGATCATTACTTATAATAGTAGTGTACTGATATGTTTGATGCATATTTTGTCTTTTACCCCCCCCCTCAACTCCGTTTGTTTTTCTATCCTTTGTTTTAGTCCGCTGATAAAATTGATCAATTGAATGAATTACGATTTGAATTATTACGTTGTATTTGTGAACATGAACATTTCATTCCATTGAATTTGCCCATGTTAAATATATCCGATGGTTTAAGTAAGTTCACTTTCCTCCTATCTATCTTCATTTATAGTTTATAGTGAATGTTTAGTTTTTATCAGAAAAGGTTATGTGGAGATTTTAGAAATTTCACTGATTGAAATCATAAGTCAATTGAAGCTAGACCACCACCATGGTAAACCTGGAAGCACTGGATAGCCGTTTCGTCCTAGTATGGGACACTTTGGTGGCAGTGCGCATTCATGATTCCGCCCCCCCCCCTGCGTAGTTTTTGCGTACAATTCAAAATGCAATGATAGATTTTTATTTATATATTTATTTAAACACATAAATATTGGTACAAGGAGGCACCAAATAGATATGTGCCACATAAATCATTTCGATCTGTGATGAAATACTAGTGACTTACGAGTATCTTCTACTGTGTAATAGCCATGTTTTGCAGCCTTAAAGTAAAACAGCATGAACTGCCGTGCAATATAACTCGTCCTTTAATTGATAGATGGATATCTTGATGTAAGTTGGTAAAACAAACGAAGAAAACAGTTAACAGGAATAGAGATAGTCCAGATATTCAAGAAGGTTATAGGCAATCTAAACATAAAGCAAAATATAATCCTTATTATATCAATCTTATTAAAAACAATTAAATTATTCACTTGATATTGTTTCACTTGAATGCTTGTAAATTAAGGCAATACGCACAGTATGCACATATGCCAATATGAGAGACTGATCAATTACAGTTTTAAACATCAATGAGAAGATTCAAGTAAACAACAATATCAAGTGAATTAAACTTCATTCCATTGCATAAGCAAGTGGCTATCAGAATTCAGTAGCTAAGTGAATAACGTGCGATGGCGTTTGAAGCGGATGGTACTGGGTTCGAGTCATCGCAGTGTGAATATCAACTGCGAGATGCAATTATATCCAGCTGACGAGTAGTCCCAAATAAGACAAAGTGGCACGCGTCCTACATTCCATTGCTAACCCCTATCCATCTTTGCTTATAATTAAGTTGTTATTATTATTTTGTCAAATTATATATATAAACAATTATCACTTCTATAATTTACTCATTATATATAATAGCTGAACAATATTCTGTTAGCAGACTATATACTGTAAATATTGAGCATAGTCAAGGTATGTAATTTTGTTTGAATCACTATATGTATTACTATCCTATATACCATATATATATATATATCAATATACTTGATTATCTCCATGTAGCTATGCACTGCATTACATTAATTTTTATGATTATTGTATATGAATAACTATGATTATAACTGTACTCACTTCTTGTGTGTGTGTGTGTGAGTGAGTGAGAGGGTGTGTGTGTGTGTGTGTTGGTGTCTGCTTCGTTGGATTGTTTTTATACATGCATGATTTTAATAAATAAATAATAGTACTTTAGATTTCGCAACTTCACACACACACACACACAAAGATATACTTACATACATACACACTCACCCATATTTTATGTTTAATGTACTAGAACATTGAATCACTTCATTGAACTTTGAAAATCTATTCCTTTTATAATTAAATGGTACATTGTATATTGTATAAGAATATCAACAAAATACTTTTTACTTCCTTTCATTACTTGAAATGAGAATTTGTTTTTGTTTAAGGTAATTTATGTTGTTATTTGATGTGATAAAACATATACACATTGAAACATGTAAACAATGGTATAAGAAGGAACCGAATAGATGGGGGGGTTGGGGTATTGCCCGGGTGCTTAAACTTGAATCAGATGGTTTTCTGAAAGAAAGCCATTTCCTAAACCTTTAACCTGTAGGTTTAGGTCATAAGGCAATGGAACATCTTGAAGAGATGCAGTTCCATGATAACTGGTGATCAACAATAGGTTCATAGATCATTTGTTTTCTTAGGATCCTGATGCTAGTCCATGTTCACCATTGGTTTAGAATCAGAGTTTTCTAACTTCTCTAGTAGGTGGACTTTCCGTATCCATCAATCCGGTGAAAGCACCGGACATTTACTTTTCATGTTGTCAATTCGGTAAACAATGGTAATGGCACGAGAAGGTAGTGAGTAAGACTTATGTGGCAGTAGTTGTATGCAAGTGGTCATATGAAGGAGAGCTGACTCTCCCTACTCTCGGCCGTACCAGGGCATTTGGGGGCAAGACAACATTTAATGATTGCTAGTTAGTTATATCACTTTTCCTATGTTTATGTAATCCTTGAATTGAAAATCTATTCAAGAGCTTCCTACAACTATGTTTGTCAATTCTGGATATGTATCTTTTTATATTGTAGACAAGATAGCAAAAGATTAGTTTTTGAGATTAAATCAGTCATCTTGACATTTCTACCTTACTCGGATAACTTTGGTAGTTAAGTAGAGAGTGATAGCACAATAGTGAAAGTAATCGGTTTTCGATTATTAGATATTAGATTTAAATCTCTTTACCCTAATTTTGGTTGTTTCACAAGCAACATAACTCAAATTTAAGTGTTTTAATATGTTAACTTAGTAACTTGGTTAGTCAAATTATGTTACCTGTCCTTTCAGAAATGTATAGTACATAGCTAAATTAGTTGTTAGTATACACTTAGTCATTGGTTTCTAGTAGTGTTCATAATGATTCAAAGGTAAAAAATATGTTAGATGGGTTTTGTGGAGATTATAGTAATTTCAATGGTTGACATCATGAGTCAATTGAAGCTAGACCACCATGGAAAGCCTGGAAGCACTGGACGGCCGTTTCTTCCTATTGTGAGACTTCCCAGCAGTGAACATCCACGACCTCGCCTCACGAGAATCAAACCCAAGACCTATCAGTCTTGTATGCGAGCGCTTAACTTACTAGACCACTGAGCTGGCCGGTATCCAACGGTGTTAATGTCTAACTTCAACTAATCCACGAAATTGAGCGACACATCCACCATTGTCTTCAGTGACTTACTATCTCACAATTGACCCAGTTGAACTCCAGGAAATACCTTTTGAAACCAGTCACTAGTGAGCATATGTCGATTAATGTCAGAAGGGTTTTTTATAGATATTATAGTGATTAAGCGCTCGCGTGCGAGACGGATAGGCTCTGGGTCCGGATCTCGCGAGGCAGAAGTGTGGATGCGCACTGATGAGGAGTCGTACAATAGGATGAAACGGCCATCCAGTGCTTTCAGGTTTTCCATGGTGGTCTAGCTTCAACTGACTCATGATCTTAACCATTGTAAAAATATGTATTTAACTGTATGATATACTTTGGAAATCGGTTGTATTTTTTGGTATGATCGCATGTGCGGTTGTGAGTATATCCACTATAGAGAACACAACCATTTCATAGCATGCTCATATTTAATAATTTTCGTGTTGGGTAACAAATCATGATGAAAATAGCATTCAAATTAACAAAACCCGTAATTCAGAAGGGTTTTTGTGGAGATTTTAGTAATTTCAGTAGTTGAGATCATAAGTCAGTTGAAGCTAGATAACCATTTTAAACCTGGAAACACTGAACAGCCTTTTCGTCCTATTGTCGGACACCTCGGTGGCAGTGCGCACCCACGATCCCACCTCGCGAGTTCGAAGTTGAAGTTAGACATTTACACCGTTGGATGCCGGCTTAGTGGTCTAAAGGTTGAGCATTCGCACTTCACACTAATAGGTCTTGGTTTTGAATATCGCGAGGCGGGATCGTGGATGCGCAATGCTGAGGAGTCTCATATTAAGATGAAACGGCCGTCCTGTGCCTCCATGTTTTCCATTGTCGTCTAGTTTCAATTGACTCATGGTCTCAACTACTGAAAATCCGCATAATCGTATCCGTGTTTCCATTAATTTTCGTTTCTATGAGTCGCTACATCGAAAGAAAATGATATTCCATGTGTTGAAAATATTTCAATGTTTCAACAACGTGGAACTTCTGTACCTGGAAATAAAATTGATGTGATAAAACAATCGAAAATTCATTATTTATTACATTTAATGAATGAAAATTGATAGAAGATGAACAAAAATGAATATACAAGTTTAGTTTATTCATGTGTAGATTGGTTTCAGAAAAAATCAACTATTGAAACATATTCTACAGCTTCCCAAATTTAATATAAATGATTTACATTACTTAATAAGTAATAAGTAGTTAAATTTATAACGTAAAAAATGACAGAAATATCATATTCAATTTGATAAATGACGATAAACATATGACTCATTATGATATATTATGGTCACCGTTTGATACAACATACATTTTTACCGATTACAATCAACTTTCATCTAATTACATGAAATGGTCTCTATTTTAACACTCCAAAATATTGTGTGATTAAATTTTTTGGTGTATGGAAGATTTAACAAACAATGAATTTCAAATTTTATACATTATATATTAGCATTACTACTGAAAGTTATATTATGTAATAACCTGTGTGTTTGAGTGTCAGTTGGTTGATTATGAATACAATGGTCTTGGGTGCTGTTAGAGGTATAAGGGCGGTTATCACTTCCCAGTTGCTCACATTGTCGAAGGGTTCTTCCTGACAAGGAAATTACATTACAGGTGGTCTTAGTGACCTGAGAGCATGACCGCAGTGCTCAAGGGATAACTGCTTGAGGTCGGTCACACACGACCTTTTTATGAGTAACTTTCGTGATAGCTCCGTACCTGTTGAGACCTTACCGCCTGAGACGGATATCCATGGGGCAAGGCAAGGTGTGCATTATTAGGGTCGACCTTTTCTAACCCCACCTCTCCTTGTGGGAAGGCAGCATCGCTGTCATGCTGGTTGTCTGAAGGAAAAACCTTAGTGCTGTCACACCTCTGTACAGTCAGCAGTAAGACTTCGCCTTCGGACATTATTATTATTATTTTAACACATAAGTATAGGTACAGGGAGGCACCAAGTACATATGCGCCACACGAATCTCAATTGATTTGTGTGAGGGCTGTAATACTGCCCGGGTGCCCAAACCGAAGCAAGTGGTTTTCTTAGGGGGCCACACCCCGAGCCTTCGACCTGAACGTCTGACCCACAAGGCAGTGGAGCATCGTGAGGAGATGCAGTCCCATGGTAGCCGGTGACCAACGATTGGTACATACGCCATTTGTTCCTTCAGGATACTGGAGCCAACCCATGTGCACTATTGGTTTGGGGTCCGGTTGAAGCGCCGGGCATCCAACGCTCTCGATTGTGAATGCTCACTGCTGAGGAATCCGGCAACAGAACGAAACGGCCGTTCAGTAGTGCTTCTAGGTTTTCCATGATGGTCTAACATCACTCGGTTCATGATCTCATTCAGAAATTTAGTGATTCGTCGTTTTCATTAAACGTGTAAAATAAAATTCCTATTCCTTCATTAATTACGTTTCAAATGAGTTTCATTTTGTGTTTATCTATTTGTTACCTGATTGTTGAATCTTTTGATTAATTTGTACTGTATATCAATAAAATCCTTTTCTTTTGGTCTATTGTTTGCACTATTCATAACACAGCTCTGACAATCAATTATTTCATTATACATAATTCACATTATACTCTTTCGTTATAACATCTGAGTTACTGTTTTAAGTGTTGTCTGGTTGTTTGTGTTATCAATTGTATTCTCTCTGTTGTGACGTATCATGTCCAAAATCTGATACTGATACATGTTGTACTAAGTGCTAACCCCCCCCCAACTGACTGCTGAATGAGAAAATGTATTGGACTACCGAATGTAATGCACACACATATATATTATATATCACACTATCCTTAGGAAGTTGACCCGTTGACTTAATGAAATGCAGTTGACCTATATGTAACGTCTGATTGTCATCAATTGACCCTTTTATTAGGTTACGTCTGATTGGTTCTCCAGATCACTATCACAACAAACGTTGTGATTTGTGAAGTAATTTTGTTGGTTTTATGTATATAAGTATCTCCTTCCAGAGGCCTTTTAAGATGTATGCTGATCCGTTATCTTACTTTAAACCAATGACTATATGATCCCATTATACTTGTCAGTAGTTAGAAGATTAAAGCGATAGTGAATGTCATTGTTGCCTTTTGATATAAAGATATTTATTCACCATGTATTGTTTACTTGAATCTTCTTATTGATGTTTAGTATTGCAATTGATCGGTCAGTCTCTTATTGGTATATGTGCTGCAAGCATTATAAGCAAAAATGGATAGTGGTTAGCAGTGGAATCCAGGACTTACGTTTCATCTTATTTGGATCTCGTCAACTGGATGTACTTACATCTCAGAGTTGATGTTTGCTCTGGGACTTGAACCCATTAGCTAAGTGGCTAATACCATTACGTATAAAGCAAACAATACATTCAGATGATGTTCATTCTGGGACTTGAAACCAATAGCGTTCGCTTCAAATGCCATCGCGCGTTAAACACTTAACTACTGAGTCCTGAAACGCGCATCAAACTGGATTCCATTGCTAGTCACTGTTCATCTTTGCTTTAAAAAAAATGCTTGTGAATTAAAGCTATATCGAGCCAATCCTCACAAGTTGCACATATGCTAACATAAGACTGATCAATTGCAGTCCTAAATAACAATGGGAAGATACAAGTAAAGCAACACGACGTGAATTATTATAATGTTTTATTTATTTATTTATTTTAACACATAGATATTGGTACAAGGAGGCACAAAATATATATGCACCACACAAAATTTTATTTTTGTGTGGGCTGTGATACTACCTGGGTGCCCAGTCCGAAGCAGGTAGTTTTCATAAGGGGCCACACCCCGAGTGTTTGACCTAAAGGTCTAACCCATAAGGCAGTAGAGCATCATAAGGAGATGCAGTCCCATGTTAGCCGGTGACCAGCGATTGGTTCATACGCCATTTGTTCCTTCAGGATACTGGAGCTAGCCCATGTGGACGATTGGTTTAGGATCCGGTTAAAGCGCCGGACATACGCTTTTCGTCCTTTCATTTTCGTAAACAACAGTAATGCCACGTAAATGCAATGAGTAGGACTTCCCTGGTAGAGGTTATATACGCGTGGCTATGTGAGAGCATTTCGAGAGGGATGGCGGGCCCATCCCACTCTCGGCCATAGCAGGGCATTTGGGAGCAATTATTATAATGTTATTTTATCAAATCGATTGGTTTGTTGTAACAAGTTATAGAATCCCCTTGTTAATCCTCATTATATATATACACGTATATATTTGATGTTTATACCATTCATTCAATTATTTACTTTCCCTTCATTTCTGTATTTCTTTAAATGAATCCCTTAGATATTGGTCTTGAATTAACATTAACAGATCAATTTTGTCAACAACATTTTCCCATTGGAATATTATTGAATCAATTAAGTTGTTTATTATTTGGTTGTATAAATACTGGAAGTTGGGCAATCCTTAAATCAATATCAAGTCAACATTATAAACAACCTATTACAATATTACGTAATCTATTAATTAAACATACAATTGATCCTCGTTATTGTAATTCTAAAATAATTCAAGCTAGAATTTGTACATTATATCTTCCATTAATTCGTCTAGTATTAGATCATTGGGATTCATTTGGACCACCAGGTAATGTGTTTAATACTGTTAATGTTATTTAAATCATTTTAATATTTATTTATTTGAACACATAGATATTGGTACAAGGAGGCACCAAATACATATGCGCCACACAAATCTCATTTAATATATGTGAAGGCTGTGATACTGCCTGGGTGCCTAAACCGTAGCAGGTGGTTTACTTAGGTGGCCACACCCTGAGCCTTCGACTTGAAGATCTAATCCACAATACAGTGGAGCATCGTAAGGAGATGCAGTCCCATGTTAGCCGGTGACCAGCGATTGGTTCATACGCCATTTGTTCCTTCAGGATACTGGAGCTAGCCCATGTGCACCATTGATTTGGTATCCGGTTAAAGCGCCCCTAACTTTCTTCCAATTATTCCTAAGACCGGTTAGCCTTAAATGTCGTGGTAATCGGTGTTCAGGCATACGCAACACGTGGCCCAACCATCTCAGTCGATGAAGAGTCATAACCTCATCGACTGATTTACCATCATCATTACCTAATACTGTGAGTCTGACCTCACTACTACTTACCCGGTGATCCCAGTGGATGCGAGCAATATTTCTAAGGCACCTGTGGTCAAACACTAGTAACTTACGAATATCTTCTACTCTTAAAGGCCATGTTTCGCAGCCGTATAGTAGAACGGAACGAACTGCCGCCCATTATACCCGTCCTTTAAATGATAGATGGATATCTTGCCTTCGCCACAAGTGACTTAAGTTGGCAAAAGCCAAACGAGCTTTTCGAATCCGTGCTGAGATTTCGTCAGACACCAACCCATTAGGTGTGATCAGACTTCCGAGATAAGTGAAGTTGTCAACGTGTTCGACTACTTCACCGCCTATCCTTAGTTCAGGTGTTGACGCAGACCAGTCCTGAAGCAACAACTTGCATTTAAAAAGAGAAAAGTATATTCCAAACATTCTGGCGTTGTTGCTCATTGCTACCAAAAGACTATATTTTATCAGCGTCTTCACCAAACAGGACTATGTCATCTGTGTTTTTTAAGTCTATAAGTGGATCTCGTGGTAGGAGATTAATGCCTGAGAATTCTGTCGACGAGAACGTTATTTCCATCAGTAGGTTTATGATGAAGTTAAACAAAAATGGAGAAAGTGGAGAGCCTTGGGGGTCACCACTTGAGGTTGAAAAAGCAGATGATAGTTCGCCATTAGCTCTGACTCGACTAGTGGTGTTCGAGTAAATAGCCTTCACAAGGTTTATGTATTTCTGAGGTACACATTTCAAGACAGACACTGCCATAGAGTCAAACACTGCTTTTAAGTCAAGGAAGACCATCATTGTCGGACGCCGATAAGTATGCCTGTGTTCTAGAATGTAAATTAACAATAACAATGTAAATAAACAATACAGTTTATTAAACTGGGAAAAGGAGAGACATAAATAACATATTGAACAGTAACTAAAGGATAGGAAAAATGAGTCAACAAAGCTAATATTGTATTATAATAACCATGAAATTTTGCTTGGTGAATAAACAAAGCATAGTCGTGCAAGGTCAAAGAAAGTTAATTTGATGATGGGCGTTTCATGTTATCATTGGTGAGTTCGTTTCTCAATCACGCTTTACAATTTCATTACGCCCAATGTGCCGATCATCCACATATAATCTTGCTAAATGGCCAACAACATTGCTAGATCTTATCCGAAGACGTTTATATAAGTATTCTTTGAATGATACTTTTGAATTGATCGATTATTTAGATGATATTAATATCAAGAGATAGATAATGTATTTCATTTGACGTAAATTCCTTGTTCACAAATGTACCTTTGAAAAAGACTATTGATATATTATATGACTACATGTTGCTATGGGATTGCTATGGTTAATCCGTTAGGACCATTATTAGTGGATATGTTCATGGCACATGTTGAAATTTTGGCTGAATACCTCTTTATAGGAGATATATGAATGATATCTTAGTTATTTAAGAAAGGACGATATGAATTGTTTATTGAGTAAACTTAACACTCTCCAAAACCATATCAGCCTTTCATGTGAAGAGGAGAAGAATGACCAGCTTCTCTTCTTATATATACTAATAAATAGACGAGAAGATAGTTCAACCAAACGATCCATCTTTAGGAAACCAACATGGGTGGACCAATATCTTACTTACTATAGTTACTTCCCAGTACAATACAAACGACGTTCGATGAGCGATCTGTTTAATAGGATTAATCGTATTTGTACAAACGACGCTATCGATAACGCCGTTAGATTGTTAAACAAAACTTTAGTGGAAAATGGAAATAACATTATCCGACCGGCAATTTTCGTATTTTTTTAAAAATCCCCCCACCCCGTTAAAAATTTTTTCCCACCCCCAAATTACAATATTTTTCGTCCAATGAAATGGCTAGTTTTAAAAATTCGATTTAATTGGTTAGTTATGTCTTGAAAATTGTTATAAATTATCAGTACTTGTAGACAAAATACATTTTATTCGTCGTTATGGAGGACGGCAACGTGCCAAGTGCAAGCACTGGTGTTTCTCACGTCACGGAAATAGAGGAAGTCTTTTTAACAACCTTGTTTCTGGTTGCGTTCCCATCGGTTGAAGCGTTAAAGACCACTATCACAAATTTTGAAAGATCGACTTACAGTCATTATGTAGTGAGAGATACGCATATTGGCAGAGATCGAAATTCGCCACACATAGGACAATGCACTGCTCGTATGTTCGGTGATGGGTCGTAGGCACTGAAGGTATGAAACACTGCTTCACATCTACAGAAAACCCAACCAACCGCACCACTAGTTTCACACGGCGGCTGCGCAAGATTACAGATGTCGCATAGTCGATTCTCGTCATCCTCTTCTTCAGTTGGGATGTCCCGTTTAGTTAACTCTTCGGAGTTAATACAAATTACTTCCTCCTCATGGTGACTGAGTGTTTCATCCAAATCAACAGTTCCTCGTTGCATAAAGGGCAGTGGATCTGAACACGAGTGTTTTTCGATTAAGGTGATACATCTTCAACACTCGGTGACTCGTCTCAACGAAGTTCGTATTGTTTAGTTCAAACAGGGTTGATGGCGGTCGAAAAGCAGTGGACCATTTGTGTTTCCGTGGTAGAAGGTGGTCTCTGACGTATCTGCCAAACGTTCCGTCCGACATTTCGATTAACGAAAGTACGTTGTTAAAACTACAAAATCATGTTATGCAGATTTTGATTTACCTTTCAACCGTTCGAGTGAACATGAGGCGAAAGAACAGTTGTACAATTTCTGATCGCACCCTCTACATTAACGGTTAATGAGTTAATGTTAATAAACTATACACTTAATCTCTTTATCACATTCCGAACAAGGTGTACGCGACACAGAATATGGTGGGCATTCGGATACACCTGCGTGATAGCAGCAGCTATTGCGAGTGAATCATCGGTCACAATGCCTACCAGCTGTCGACTGTTGGTACACCGTTGGAATCCAGAAATGAATGTTGACGTTTCGCGACTTAAAAAGGCAATGCAGATGGGTATTGCCTTAAAATTCGTATCCAGGGCAACGACTTGATATAAATGAACGTTCTCGTTATTCGTTTTGTACGTCCCGTCCAAACCAATTACGTTACAAAAGTGACCGGCCAAATTCAATTGCTTAGCAGTCATGAAGAAGAAATACGATAGACAGTTATCATCGTCTAATTCGTATTCGCAAAGCCCCCCCAAGGATGTTATGTGAGCTTGTAATTTTCCGTAATCACCTATGGTGTACATTATAAATTGGCAAATTTCTTACCTGGAAGATTTGCGTGTGAGAACACTTTGTGCCGCATATTACAGACATCTTGATCAGATTGGTAAGCGAAATTTTTTATGTGGAATGCAGCGGTACCAGATATCAGCAGCGGTCTCACAGTTTCAAACTCCCCATCCGTTAACCTACGCATCCATGAATTACCTTGGTACCTCAGGGGATTGCACTCGTAATTGTGATACACATTCCCACGTACAACAGTCCAGTAGCCGTCTACAATCTTACAAAAATGAAGGCCGGACATTGGGTGTTCATGGAAGCCCTTCGTGAAACAAATTATAATAACAAGAACCAATTTACCTCCTCCTTCTAATACGCTGTGACGAACCGCTAGATCTTATACGCACGTTCCTCCAACACACAAATTTTACATAAGAATTTTGATCTCGACTAATATGCGAATCTCGCACAACATAATGACTGTAACTCGACCTTTCATAATTAATTATAGCCGTCTTCAACGCTTCAAGCGATGGAAAGGTAACCAGAAACAAGGTTGTTAAAAACACTTCATCCAGTTCCGTTACGTGAGAAACAACAGCACTTGTACTTGGAACGTCACTGTCCTCCATAATGACGATTAAAATGTACATCGTCTGCATGTACTGATAATTTATAACAACTTTCCAGACATAACTAACCAATTACATAGAAGTTTTAAAACTACCCATTTCATTGGACGAAACAGGGGATGAAAAGTATTGTAATTTGCGGGTGGGAAAATTTTTTTCAGGGGGGTGGGGGGACAATTTAAAAAATAAATTGCTGGTCGGATAAGATTATTCGAGTAATTGTGATCTCAAAATTAAGGTGTGTGAATATGTACTTTTTGTAGTGTTGTACAAAAGTGTGAAAGGGGGCATACTAAAGTTTATTGAAACCTTAACCGTACGAAAATTCAACCCCCGTTTTTGTATTCAAAAACAGTTTGTTCTCACTCATAAACCTACCCTAGTCAGAATGATAAGATTTCTCATTGTTTTTCATATTATTTTATCTATGATCTTAGTGGTGCAATTACAAATTCAACCAAATTAGTAAGACGTAATAAGGAGGGATGAATACAAAGTGAATGAATCATGTATAGGGGATATTAATAATGATGTTTAACCAATAATAATAATAATAAGTGCTCGCGCGCTAGGTCCTGGGTTCGAATCCCGCCTGGTGGGGTCGTGGATGCGCATTTCTGAGGAGTCCCACTATAGGATGGAATGGCCGTCCAATGCTTCCAGGTTTTCCATGGTGGTCTAGCTTCAATTGACTCATGATCTCAACTATTGAAATAGTAATAATACAAAGATTTGTGGATAAATATAACAGAGACAATTACAATTGACTAAGAAAGGTCGTAAGTACACTATTCAAATTAGGTCATTCAATAGCTAAGATTACAATTAATTAATTGACCTTAATGTTGGCCAGGGGAGGAGGAGTGGTTGAAGATATTTCTTCTGTACGTATAGCTCCGATTTCTTTATCCAGATGACTACTACTTCAGCCGTTTGAATGACTTTAAGTTTGACCAGCTTTGTCAAAAAATTTCTGACCCCGATAAATAGTTGAAAAGAATTGGTTTTTACTGGCACTATGACCAGTTTGTACTAAAAGGGGTCAATATCGAGCTGTTCACTTCATCAAACCTTTGTTTAGCCATGTTGGGAGGTGTTCACGAGCACGAAAATGTAAACTCCTAGAATTCCTAGAATATGAACAGTTTAGTTATTTAACAATTATCCGAAAGTTACCATTCATTATGCTTATTGGGACCTAACAAGGGTATATAATCCTAACATAATAGCTATTAATGCGAAATTTTCCAATCGTTTAAAGATAATAAAAACTAACTACAAGTGTCATGTTTACATTAACAATACGTTTGTATGAAGTTTAGGATTATTTTACCATCAATCCTTTTTTCAACGTCGGTAGATGTTGTTTTTCTTCCTTTGTACTACTCACCAAAAAAGGACTTGACATTAGATAGTGGTTGAAGGTAGTCGACAGGAAACCCTGGACCCGGGTTTCGTGCTACTTGGCACTCGTCTGCAAGGTATACCTGTAATCTTGAAGGAACTGGTGCTCCCTGACGGATTCGATCTTGTGTCACCCATCTTCACAGTCAGAGACGTTACCACTGAGCTACCCGGGCCGCGACCAACCTTCCTGTCGACTACCTCCAACCACGATCCAATCTCACAATAGTGCACACAGTGTCGAGTAGTCACCTAGACTGGTGGCCACATTGCAACATGGTCGATAGCAATCGGTGTGCACTAATAAGAACTTGAGACACATGGCAATGATTACCACCCAGTGATCAATCATTTGTAGTGGACTTGACGTATTTAGTATTTGTCACTGCTCAGAAATCAATCAATTGTAAATATATCTCAGTCTTACAAAAAGTTATTCGTTGCCCCGGATAACCCAGTGGTAAATTCTTTCACTGTAAATCTGATTCATACAGTGTCAATTCAATCAGGGAACATCTGTTTTCTTTAGATTACAGGCATACCTTGCTGACGAGTTCTAAAATGAACACAAAACGTAGATTCAGGGTTTCCTGTCGACTACTTCCAATCACCACTTTAATTAATTCAAACCAATTAACGGCTAAATTCTATTCAATTTCAAGATCTTCTGTGAGTTAATTGCATGACATGAGTTATAATTATGTTGATCATAAAACATGGATGCCTAAAATGTAGATACATGTGTGAAGCTATAAGTACTGACTGTTACGACTTACAGCTATTGACAAAATTCACATGACATAAACACCAATCGAAATCCATTCCAGCATTTAATAATCCTGAGTCAACGAAAAGCTCTTACTGGTCCTCGATTCGGTAGCTTGTCTTCTTACTCTCCGTGTTGAGACCAGAGCAGAATAATCATCCTCCATTACATAATATATTTCAATCAGACGTAACTTTTATACAGGCATATCAGACCGCATCACATTATAAAATAGGAAATAACATGCATACATGATCAAGCCAAATCCGTTGATCAGACACTATCAGTAACCACCTTCTGTGGGAGAGAACAAATCAGATCCCAGCGGAGGAAGAAATCAGGAAGAAGCGCTGGAAGTGGATAGGACACACATTGAAGAAAGCACCAAACTGCGTCACAAGACAAGCCCTCACATGGAATCCTCAAGGCCAAAGGAAAAGAGGAAGACCAAAGAACACATTACACCGAGAAATGGAGACAGATATGAGAAAAATGAACAAAAATTGGATAGAACTAGAAAGGAAGGCCCAAGACAGAGTGGATTGGAGAATGCTGATCGGTGGCCTATGCTCCATTAGGAGTAACATGCGTAAGTAAGTAAGTAAGTATGTAATGATCAAGTCAAAAAGGAGCTGTGAGTATGGAAAACTATTACTTAATATATATAATAATAGACCTTAAATTAATCCTGTCCGTTACCATCCCTTTAATCTTCGTCGGATACAATACTAACTTGAACTGTATCTAGTTTTAATACTTCTCCAATGTTTTTCTTGTCTTTCTTTATTTAATAAAAGGTGGTGCTTTACAAACAGCTGTTATTGCAGCTGCAGTACGTCGAGATTATGAAGAATCTTTACAATTAACTGATGGTCATAGTAATTCTAGTACATTGAATACAACATCACATCGACAACATTCTATTGATAAATCAAATAAATTAAATAAATCTAATATATCAAGTAATATAACAAATCATATTCACAGTATATCACATTATCGACCACAAAGTATGCTTAGTGATTATTCATTAGAAACAATTAATAATAATAATCATTCACGGCAACAACAACAACAACAACAACAGAACACAATGAATTCTGATAATGGATCATATGATTCCTATTTATCTATAACTAGTAGTAATCATTCATTTTCACAAACTGGTAGTCATGATAGAAAATCTTCTCTTTCAAGTGATCAAAGTGATAGTCAATCAATAAATAGTGGTTCTGCAACTGGTGCTTCTACTACTATGACTACTAATACTGCTTATTTAACTAAAGATGGTAAAGTACAAAAGCATATATTAGATCAAATTGCTGGAATTAATCAAGGTAAGTAATCATAAATCAATCTTTTTTTTTTAATGTTTACGGCGTAATTGATATTACCTTACTGTATAAACCGAAGTAAATAGGCTATTTACTTGAAGTTTCCTTTTCAGTAATCTTTAATTGAAGATTTAATCGATTAGACGATAATAGAGCCGACTGTAGGAGAAGCAAACCCTTACAGTTAGTAATTGCTATAGTACAATCGTACATCTTTTGTTTTCATAAAAGACTGAATCGCATGTATGTTATTGGTTAAGAATAAAAGTTTTTTTTTCATAGCTTTATTTGGTCGAAATTCTTCACTTCATAAGGAACTTGTGTTACATTCTATATTTAAGTGAATTGTTTTGTTCCGACTGTTGTTGCTACCTTGACGTGGTGGTCAGGCTTGTCAATCATGATGAAGCAACCGAGCTATTCTGGCTAGAACAACCGTTCCTCAAGGTTCTACCATGCCAGACAGGTCAGTTGAAGAGCGGTAAGACTTAAACCAACAAACCCAAGGTCTTAGGACGAAGTCGTACTGCTGACTGTACAAAGGTGTGACGGCAGTAAGGTGTTTCCTTCAGACAACCAGTATAGCAGCGATGCTGCCTTCCCACAAGAAGAAGTGGGGTTAAAAAAGGTCGACCCTAAAAATGCACACCTCACCTTATCCCACGAATATCCGTCTCTGGCGGTATGGTTTCAACAAGTACAGAGCTAACACGAAAATCACCTAGAAATAGGTTTTGTGTAAACGACCTCAAGCAGTTATCCCTTGGGTACTGCGGTCACGCTCTCCGGTCAATAAGACCGACTCTAAACTAATTTCCTTTTGAGGTACCTCCAGAAGAACCCTTACACGGTTTAGGCAACCGGGAATTGATAACCGCCCTCATACCTTTAACAGCACTGAATTGTTTTGTGAAGACTACTTCCAATGAATTCCAAATAATATACCTGAATAAGTATTAAAGTAACTAATCTGCTTTTATAATTTACCGTAAAGATATTAATTCGAATAAGTCTATACTTCTACCAGTTTTCTATGTTTTTACTTTGCGTCGTAAGAATTATAGTGATTCATTGTTTCATATATGAGTAATAGGCAACAGTGTTGTAATGGATATCATGTGATTAATAATAGATCGGTACATTTTAGCAGTAATTATGACCTCGTTAATTCCACTAACTATGTTGTGTTCATTTTGCCTATTACTGACTTATATTTATCCAACTCACTGAAGACAATGATGGACGGTGACGCGATTTCGTGGATTGGTTAAAGTTAGACATTAAGGCCGTTAAACACCGACTCAATGGTTTAAAGGTTAAGTGTTTGTGCACGAGACTGACAGGTCCCAGGTTCGAGTGTGACGTTCAGGATCGTGGATGCGCATTACAGAGAAGTCACATACTAGGTCTGAACGACCTTCTAGGGCTTCCAGGTTTTTCACGATGGCCTAGCTTTAATTGACTCATGAACTCAATTCAGTTAGTCAGTCAGTAACAACGCGGAACTTCGTACGTACGTACATCAGTTCGAATTGCCACACTATATCAGCACAGAGATGCTATTCATTATCTGTTTATTTTATAAATTTTCTAAAACACTAGGCCATTTAATGAGTTGTTTTAATGTGACAACTGTTCAATATTTTTGTGAAATGAATCCAGAATGTGAGATGGTGGAAAAGATTTGTAGTTCAGGTGGATGATTTTGATGGAGTTTTGTTCTCTGAGATGGATGGTTTGGTCGTGAAGCTTTCATCGTTCTTCTGAACGACATCATCAGCACAAACTTCTGTAAATGTGACAGGATTTATTTTGCTGTTGTTTTAACAACTCTATCAAGATTCATATTAACACTATTTATATATTACTACATGTAAGCTTTCTTTAATGAATACTTGCGAGCTTCCGTAAATTGCTTATCTCGGATCTGATTAACTAGAAATTCAAAATATATAACCATGATGGTTGGTATAGTTTACGATGCTTTCAAATGCCCTGGTACGACCGAGAGTGGAGAGAGTCAATTCTCACTCTTGAAATACTCTCACATGACCACGCGTATACACCCACTAATAGGGAAGTTGTAATCACTGGCTCTTTAACTGGGTTGGTGGATATAGAGAATCCATTTAGTGGAGTTGGGAAACCATGATTCCAAACCAATGGTGCACATGGTCTCCAATATCCTGGAGGAATAAATAGTGTATGAACCAATCGTTGGTTACCGGTTACCATGGGATTGCATCTCCTTACTTAGCTCCACTGTCTTATGGGTTAGACCTTTAAGTTAAAAGCTCGAGGAGTGATCCTCGAAGGAAACCATCTGCTTAGGTTTGAGCACCTAGATAGTATCACAGTCCACACACAATTGAATTGACTTATATGGTGCATATGTATTCGCTGTCCCTTTGTACCACTATTTTTATATGTTCAAATAAATTCAAATATTATAATTGGAAATAAAACTAATCATAAAAATATTCAATGAAATATGAATAGCAACTAATATTTACTTGTTAAATGCCTATAATACTTTGATCAGGTGGTGCTTTACAACGTGTACAAAGAATACGTCAACAGGACATTTCATCTATACCATCACCATCAACAACAATTATCACGTCGTCCATTGAATCTAATGTACCATCGATAATATCTAATCCATGTCCACGTTCTCATTCAATTCATTCTGTGGATAGTGTACAAAGTGGAAATTATGTATTATCAAGTCATACAAGTAGTAGTACATTGACATTAACTAGTCCTGATGTAGATAATCATAATAATAAAGATCCTATTAATGGTTTAAATGGAAGTAATCATATTGATGAGAATGATGACATTCATAATTTAACAAATGATTACAAGAATAATGAAATCAAACAGAATCACAATGAACTAAGTAAGTTGAATGTAAAATCGTCATTGGTGTTATAATATTTAAATTGACACTTTTAACAGTTCTAACTATGCTTTATCATTCCGTATTATGCTCAGTTAGTGTAGGGAATGATAGGTGTAGTAAGTAGTTAACTAGTTGATAATTTTATAGTTTACATTATAGAGTAATTTTAGTTATTTAACCATTAAAAACCAGGAAACACTGATCCTAATATGGAACTCCTCAGTAGTGTGTGTATCCTCAACTTTATTAGAGTCAGATCTCGTAGCTATGTCTTGGATAAAGCTTTTATACAATAATGGTATTGTATCATGGTTAAATAATATCACAAATCAAAGTTATAAATCCTAAACCATATGATATTAATTCAGTGATCTAAAGGTTAAGCATTTCCCTCAAGATATGAAAGTTTTGGATTCGATCCCTAGTGGGTCGTGACTGCATACTCCTACGGATTCCCGTAACAGAATGAAATAATTGTCCTGTCTATCCTAGTCTTTAATCTTTATCTAACTAAGGTCAGTTCTTGATGTAAACTACTTATCGACTTAGAATATGCAGATGAGATAGTCCTGTTTGAAAAGGATGTTGATAAAATGCAGTATCCTTTGGTAGCACTGAGCAACAACGCCAGAATGTTTGGAATATACTTCTGTCTTTTTAAATGCAAGTTGTTGCTTCAGGACTGGTCTGCGTCAACACTTGATCTAAGGATAGGGAGTGATGTAGTTGAACGCGTTGACAACTTCACTTATCTTGGAAGTCTGATCACACCTAATGGGTTGGTGTCTGACGAAATCTCAACACGGATTCTAAAAGCTCACTTGGCTCTCTCCAACTTACGTCACCTATGGCGAAGGCAAGATATCCATCTATCAATTAATGGACGAGTATACTGTGCAGCCGTTCGTTCTGTTTTACCTTACGGCTGCGAAACATGGCCTTTAAGAGTAGAAGATATTCGTAAGCTACTGATATTTGACTACACATGCCTTAGAAATATTTCTTGTATCTACTGGGATCACCGGGTAAGTAATAGTGAGGTTAGACGGAGAGTATTAGGGAATGATGATGGTAAATCAGTTAATGAGGTTGTGAATCTTCGTCGACTGAGATGGTTGGGTCACCTGTTACATATGCCTGAACACTGATTATCACGATTTGCAATGCTAACCGGTGTAGGAGACGTTTGGAAGAAAGTTAGGGGTGACCAAACTAAAACGTGGTATCACTGTTTGAAGTCACTAACTTCTGGTCTGAGCCATGTTGGTAGATGCAGACTGCCTGGTTGGGGTCCACGTGATTATCAGAACCAATGGTTGGAGACTCTTGATGACATGGCTCAGAATCGATCACAATGGCGTCGGTGTATACACTCTCTGTCTTACTTTAAACTAAGAGATTAAAATCGCTTCATATCTTTCTTTCTACGAACTAATTCTTTCTTCTTGTACTATGTCCTTATGCACAATCTTTCTTTTATATATTACCACCACTGAATTAACTACTTCTATGAATCCAGTGTTCATCTTGTTGTGCTAATGAGGCATGACAACTTGGATCGATGCATATATGTGCCTGGTCCTACGTTGTAGCTGACTGACAGACTGACTGACATACTTTATTTGGGTATAAAGCCCAGCAGTACTATTCAAATACTTAGATCCAAGTAATTAAAACAGGTTTTAAACTTATGACATAATAATTGAAAGTCGAATACTGTAATCACTAAGCCATCTCATCCTAACAGTTATAGAATATACAGTTCTCAAGTAAATTATTCCATACTTGTATGAAATATATAGATATATATAGTGTTATTAATCAATATGATTAATTATAGATAATGAACAAGATTGGGCAAAACAAGTTCTTACATTAGCTGGTATTTATACAGATCGTATTAATAATGTAAATTCAATGAGTTCACAATCTGTTATATCAAATCCTTCTCATGGAATTCCATTAGAAATGAATGTATCAGAGATGGAGTAAGTATTTGATGAATATTATTATGATTATGATTATTCATTTTGCCTTATTTTTATGCTCAAAAATAAGATTGTCCTATGACTTCAACTTTATATTTTGTATTTATTTTGATAATTTCATTTTATTGTACTGAAGTGAATGTCTGATGCTTTAACCGAGTGGGTGAATATGGAGGATCTACCTAGGGGAGTTGGAAAATCTTGATTCCAAATCAATGATACACATGGGTTGGCTCTAGGATCCTTAGGGAACAAATAGTGTACGAATCAGTTATTGGTCACCGACTACCATGGGACTGTATCTTCTTATGTTGTTTTACATTCTTATGGATCAAATCTTTAGGTTGAAGGCTACTGGTGTTTACTCCTAAGAAGAAGACCTGCTTCGTTTTGGGCATCCTGGCATCCTGCTAAATATATTTCACTATTATTGAACATTGAGAAAGGAATAATTAATCTCATATTATTTAAGTAATCATAAATAATATCAGAAGGGATTTTGTGGATATTGTAGTAATTTTAATGATTGAGATCATGATTCATTTGAAGCTAGACCACCATGGAAAACCTGGGAGCACTGGATGGCCGTTTCATCTTATTGTGGGACTCCTCAGTGGCAGTGCGTATCCACGATCCCACCTCTTGAGATTCGAAGTTGAAGTTAGACATTAACACTGTTGGATGTTGGCTCAATGGTCTAGTGGTTAAGCGCGAGACTGGTAGGTCCTGGTTTTGAGTGTGACATGTGGAATTGTGGATGCTCATTGCTGAGAAGTCCCGCGCTAGAATAAAACGGCCATCCAGTGTTTCCAGGTTTTCTATGGTGGTCTAGTTTCAGTTGACTCATGTTCGGTGATTTTCTGATATTTCGTGACTCCAATGTAAGCCACTTCTTCACATTAAATATCAAAATTAATGCAATTTTAAATAGGACAAATGAGCAAACCAAAAATATTAGGTACGATCAATCAGAAAACATGTCTGAACAGTTCAATGTTATGTCATTTCGGTCATGGTGATTCATAAATGACATGTATGTAAATTTGTGTGTGTATGTGTATGTGTGCAAGGTCGGGGATGAAAACATGTGTAATCTTTATGGTGAGAAAGGATAGAGTAATAACTGACATGGTAGCTTGGATAGATAGTCCAAGTCGGATGTAGAATTAGGCCTTCTTTCCTATTGAAAGGAGTAGGATTAAGTATTATACGGAAAGCTTCAGCTACTCTCCGTTCTTTGTAATTGATGATTTCTTTATATACCTAATATATTCTTTGGCTTGACTCAAGATCTCACAAGATAACTCTTCAATATAGAAGGTATCACAATTGACATAATCTAATTTGTAGACGTAGTTCTGAGATGGTGGAGAAGATTTATTGCTCAGGTGAATGATTTGTTAGATTTGAAGCGGTTATGAGTTCATTTAGTCTGCGAACGGAACAAAGACTCTGTGACCAAAGACTAATAAACTAGCTATTCTATTGCCTCTTAGCCCCGCTAACTAGAGAGAGAAATGGATGTCCGAAACGGGGAATTATATTCCACAAAAGGCTAGAAGCACGAACGATAACAACAGACACAAATCAAACGTATCTATACAGCATAAATCTGTCTTTAGGAAGCGTTACATAATAACATACTAAAATACACAACGGGCCATTAGGGTTAAGGATCCTCCCAAGTGGGTAATGCAACATGTTGGGGAACTTAGATCCACAGAACTCACTTGCAAAACGACCTAAGTTTGTAATTTTATTTAGAAAATTTGAATTTCCTTATTTTCGCGCCAAAAGCGCTCTTGTCACCTTCATGTCATATTTCCCACTTGGGAAATGTCTTATACGCTATTGATCCGTTGAGTGTTTTAGTATGCTATTTGTTAACTCTCCCTATATATATATATATATATATATATATATATATATATATATATATATATATATATATATATATACGTTTTGATTTGCGTTTGTTGTTATCGCTGATTTCTGGCTGTTTGCAGAATATACTTCCCCCTTTCCAAGGTTCAACTTCTTCCTCTATTTAGCAAGACTGGGACGCATCAAATAGCTGGCTTATTGGTTTTTGGTCACTGAGTCTTTGTTCCGTTCGCAGTCTAAGTGAACTCGTAGTAGCTTCAAACCTAGCACAACATAAAGGTGAAAAAAGTGCTTTTGGCGCGATAACAAAGAAATTCGAAATTTCAAAATGGGACCACAAACCCTCAGCAGTGCGCATCCACGACCGCGCTCCTTTGTGAGATTCGAATCCAGGACCTACTGGTTTCGCACACGAGCAGTTAACCACTAGACCACTGAGGCGGCATTCAACGGTGTTAATGTCTAACTTCAACCAATCCACGAAATTGAGCGACACATCCACATGGTCTAGTGATTAAGTGCTCGCTTGCAAAACCAGTAGGTCCTGGATTCGGATCTCGTGGGGGGGGGCGAGGTCGTGGATGCGCATTGCTGAGTAGTCCAACAATAGAATGAAACGATCATACAGTGCTTCTAGGTTTCCTATGGTGGTCTAGCTTCAACTAACTCATGATCTTAACTATTGAAATTACTAAAATCTCCACAAAAACCCCTAATAAAATTACAAAATTAAAGCACTAACCTACCAAATGAGTTTTAAAGATCTAAGGATCTTTAACAGTTCTGTATTGAGTAATCATTTGTCTTTCTTTTTTTTTCTCTTTAAATAGAAATACCGACAGTATTCATCAACCATCTCATGATCATCATCATCATACTATACGTAATAATCTTCAAAGAATATTTATGCCTGAATTATTATTATTATCATCAACTAATCAACTTATTATACGTCCACATATTCATCGTCGTCCATATGAATTAAATAATATAGATGGACCACGTCGTTTAACAGATCATTGTCAACGTGATTTATATATATGTATATTACATATTATGTCAACTATAACAATAGTACATTTAAAATGTTTATTTCATAGTTTTACTATACAAGATAGATTACATTTTTTAAATTTATTAAAGTAAGTTACATTTTCCTTATAATTCCTATTTATATGAGTTTATGTTTTGTAAGATAGGATAATATTTGATTGTGGAATTGTCATTATTGTTCTGAACAATATCGGTCAAATCAAAACATGATACAAATCTATGAAAGTCACAACTGATAAGTGAACTGAATGAGTCATGTTGCCCCTAAATGCCCTGGTATGGCCGAGAGTGGGGAGAGTCCGCTCTCCCTCTCGAAAAATGCTCTCACATGGCCATGCGTATATAGCCTCTGCCAGGGAAGTCCTACTTACTGCCTTCTCGTGGCGCGGGTGTTGTTTACAAAAATGAGAGGACGAAAAGCGAATGTTCGGCGCTTTAACCGGATCCCAAACCAATGGTGCACATGGGCTCCAGTATCCTGAAGGATTGAATGGCGTATGAACCAATCGTTGGTCACCGGCTACCATGGGACTGCATCTCCTCACGATGCCGCAGTGATTTGTGGGTCAGACGTTCAGGTCGAAGGCTCGGGGTGTGGCCCCCTAAGAAAACCACCTGTTTCGGTTTGGGCACCCGAGCAGTATCACAGCCCTCACACAAATCAATTGAGATTCGTGTGGCGCATATGTACTTGGTGCCTCTCTGTACCTATACTTATGTGTTAAAATAAAATAAAATAAATAAAATGACTACTTGGTTAGGGTCCATTAGATGATAATAACCGATGGTTAGAGATCTTGAATGATATGGCTCAAAAACGTTTGCAATAGCGCAGTGGTGCATCCACTCTTTGTGTTCTCTCAAACTGTAATCTTCTGAATTCTTCATGTCCTTTATATTCTTTCCAAATTTATTCCACTGGATTATACTCCTTAAATAACATCATCATACTCTAATGTTCCCTATCACTACCTCTAGCACTATGGGATTTGAATCGATGACTGAACCTCTGTGCTAATGCGGTAGGTATGGCAACTCGAACTGATGTACATACGTACATATGAAGTTCTATGTTGTTACTGACTGACTGATTGACTGCACAAACTTCAGATAGAAGTGAAGTATTCGAATTTTTTCTCATATAGTTCACAGCTTATCCTTGTACACCTCGATGTTGATTGATTCTTGTTAACCTTAAACGTGTCATTGTTTAGTTCTTTATTTTGGTTGTATCTCTAATTGGTTTGATTATTGATCCTATGTTCAATGTAATTGTTGATTATTAATGAATCTGAGTGTCAAGCGTCTAAAAAATTTCTCTGATTTATTTATTTTAACGCATAGATATTGGCACAAGGAGGCATCGAATACATCTGTGTCACATAGATCTCATTTGATATGTGTGAGGGCTGTGATCCTGCCCGGTTGCCCAAACCGAAGCAGGTGGTTCTCTTAGGGGGCCACACCCCGAGCCTTCGACCTGAACGTCTGACCCACAAGGCAGTGGAGCATCGTAAGGAGATGCAGTCTCATGGTTGTCGGTGACCAACGATTAGTTCATACACCATTTGCTCCTTCAGGATTCTGGAGCCAACCCATGTACACCGCTGCTTTGGGATCCGGTCAGAGCGCCGGACATTCACTTTTCGTCCTCTCAATTTCGTAAGCAACAGTAATGCCATGAGAAGGCAGTGAGTAGTACTTCCCTGGTAGAAATTATATACGCGTGGCCGTGTGAAAGCATTTGGAGAGGGAGAGCGGACTCTTCCCACTCTCGGCCATACCAGGGCTATTGGGGGCATAAATTATATAAAACATTCTTTAGTGTTTTTAGAATTTCCTTTATCCAAAATCTGCATATTTTTCCAGTAGAATATATGTCCGCGATCGTTCACGTGGATCTATATAAGTGTGAACATATCATGGCGTTTAAGTGCTAATTGATATTCATGTAGGTGAAGATGAAGAGAGTATTCTCTTTGTCCGATGTACAGTTGGTACCATTTATTTTGTAGATGATGTTTGATTTGTCTTCATTTTTCATTTCATCCTTTGTTTTGCTTACAATTGATTGTAGAGATTTTGTTGGTTAGTATTCAACACGTATTCCGAAAGTTTTCAGCAGTTTCATTGTAGTTTCTGATATGCCTTTTATGTATGGTAGGGTAATCCTTTTGTTGATTTCTATACTTGACTTTGTTTCTGATAATGTGTGCGGATGGTATTTCTTGATGATGTTTCTAAATACAAACGTTTAAAATGTCATAGTAGTTGTATACTTATGTTATATTCATAGTTTATGCTACATTGGAAGAGATTATTATAGGATCATCTAAAATTGTTGAAGGGAATGAAGGATCATTGAGACAATAACAACAACAACAACATAAGTTAAGCTATTCACTGTGCCTTAGACTTGTTAACTAGAGAGAGAAGAATACGTTCAGATGAAGAGAAAAATATATTCCGCAAACTATTGAAAGCACAGAATAACGTATTAAAAGACTAAACGAACCAATAACATTTCAGGTCCTTCCAAATGGAACCATTCAATCATGTCATGAATTCAATTGTGTATTTATATTTCATTCTTTTATCCTATTGTTTTTAGATTTTCTATACAACATCTACGTTATCGTGGTAAACATTGCATTCAACAATATGAGTAAGATTATATAAGAACTTTTTGTTTTTTTTTTTGTATTTCTATCGGTGTTAAGTTTGTTTTACATTGTTCCTATTCGCTTCTCTTCAATTGTTTTGCATATTGTTTTATACTACTTATTTAAATTCAGTAGATAGTTGTGTTTATAGTAATTTTTGTAAACTTGTGTTGTAACGCACGTTTATCGTGTACTATTCTGAAATATTTACATATACTTATAATGTTTATTGTATTTATCCTTATCATTAATTTATCTCAATCACTGTAGTAGTTATCTACAGTTTCGTGCATTTGTTTAAACACAACAATTTCTATATTGTTTTACTTTTGGTTCCGGTTTCAGTTGTTGATAAATTGTTATCAAGTTTAGACACAGCTTTCTTTGCATTATCGAAGCCCTTTTTTGTTTCATTCAAAAGGACGCATTAAACGCCACAAACACCTCACAAGTTGAGATTCTCTATTTTAGACTAATTTTTATTTCGCGAACTTCAGTTTTGCGCATATTTCAATTGAGTTACTTGGATGATTCAATAGACCTGACAATCAGTTTGTTTACTTCAATTGGAAATGGGAATCAAAATACTCTTTTTCGTGTAAAAAACAAAACAAGATATGAGTTGTTTTAGTTTACAGTGCCTTACTTTTTTGTATTCTGAGAATGGAGTAATATGTTAATCAGTCAAACGTATGTAGATCAGCTATACCCCACCCAACTTGAGACGAAGAATGAATATACTGTTTCTGTTGTATTTTTTGATAATTAACGGTATCTACTGACTTATATATTTATAACTTCTTGATGCTTGAAATTTCTCTGAATGATGAATAAGACACTGAATCATCTGTAAATATCTCCGTCTTACGAGAAGTTAGTTTCTGCTGAAATGGGTTATTGGCAATGTGTTAGATTAATAAATTGGGTGATATCATGATGAATCTAACGGGGAGCATAAGATCACAGACGTACACCCTATTGACCAGTGCTGAATGATGTAAAACCTAATCTGTATCAGCTGTTTATTTCATTCTTTGAGTATTGCCTACTTATTTTGTTATCAGTAGTTAAAGAAAGTATAGTTAATTCAAATCTGCGACCTAATTGTTTATCTGAACATAATTTTTTATTTCATTTAGACACATAAGTCACAGTAGTGTTGGACGAACTGGTGGTACTGGTCATCTTCTTCATATTAGCAATGCACTAGCTAGTAATGCTGCTTCTCGTAAAAAGAGTAAACATTTACAAAGTGATCTGTTAACTAAAAATGTTAATGAATTAACCCCTGAAGAAGGACATGATAATATACCAAGTAAGTTCTTTTTTTTGGATCATTTTTGTTTTAATACACGGTTTTACAACTGTGTTTTAAAATGTCACTTTATCGTAACGATGCGTTGCCATATTGCATAAGTAATAAACAAGAAAACATAACTCAAATCCATATTTCTATATTATGAGTGTTATAACTTGTGGGTTTTTGTGCCTCTATCAACGTATGACGTAATGACACCGCTAATTAGAGAGCAGCAAACGATCCATCGAATCAATGACGCATAAAACCTGTAAGAGCAGTCTACTGTCTTTGCCGATCCTGCTTCCTGCCTAACCCCGCCTGTTGAGTCCAGAACACCAATCTGAGCCTCTGCAATATGAATCATGTATTTCAAACATATTGGGTTTATATACACCAATAAAACAGACTACATTGTACCAATAAAATAGGAAACAACATTTGTATAAGATCTAGCCAAAAGTGGCTGTAAATGTGGGAGATAGTAATTGATAGACAGGGTATAACTCAAGAATGGTAAATCGTATAATAGTAGTTCTGTTATATCTGGAAGGTTGTTTACTTCATGATATACCGCGTATAACTGAGCACTAGAATGCCAAAACCCTTCCAAGTCGCAAGGAGAAGACAGAAGACTAATGAAAGGAATATTATTCTAAACAGTGTCAATTATAATACAAATTTGTCAGGTATTTATAGTTTTTTAGCAAGAACGAAATCATCATTACAGTCCTTCAATCCTCATACAGTGGGTTAATAGCATTGTCCAATCGGGAAGCTACACGTAGGAATTTTAGAATATTCTTCCGAGAGGTGATTGGATGGAATATCTTCAGTTCCTTCTGAGCTTCTTACAGGTTCTTCGAGTTCATCCGTTGTTCCGTCGTCACAAGTTTATAGGTCAAAATAAGGCTTTTGATAAGAGGAACACGAATATGAATAGTTTTGTTATTTAACAATTATACAATAAAAAAATATACGCATAGTATTGGTCCATAAATAGATCCCGAAAGTTACCATCCATTATGCTTATTGAGATATAATAGTGGGTTAATCTAACATCTAGTTTCTTATTTATATTATTTTTTATAGAAATGAAAGTTTTATTAAAAGCAAATTTGGCAACTGAATCAAGTTTGATTATCTTAGATTTGTTAAGTACATTTACAACAGTTTTTAAAGTAAGTTTTCTTTTTATGATTCTTCAATAATGTATATCCAAGATTCCGCTAGTTCGAGTCAAATCTAGGATATTCACTCTCGCATATGAACGTTTAACCTCTAGGCTACTGTATCGGTATCCATTGATGTTCATGTGTAACTTCAATCAGTCTGTAATCTTGCTCAATCCTTCATCGGTTGTCTTACAGCGAAGACGTATTAAACTCCATTGGTCGACATTAATAAGTATATGAATATAAACCCAATAGAATGAAATATTTACAAAACAGTTACTTAATTTTCACACCATCGTTTTTTTTACATTCATTTTACAGTGAAACTGAGATCACTCATACTTTTGATTCAATATAATATGAGCTACTTAAATATTTTTTCAGTAGCTAAATTGTTATCATCAAATATCGTATGCCTTTTTTCTAGCCTGTTATTTTCCTACAGGATTGGGTTGCTAACTCCATATCCAACTGTTCTCCTTTATCTGAACTTAAGACCAATATTAGACCCCTAGAGAGAGAGAGAGAGAGAGGCTCCAAGTGGATCATTTTGTTTAATGATATATTACTGCCTAAAATGTAAAAAAAATTGTTTAGTTATATCAAACATGATAGATTCTCTATGAATACATCATCTGTTATCTTTCACTTTTCATCATATCGATTTGTTTCCTGTCAAATACTTTCAACGATTAATCATTAAAACATATTACAATTAATGATGACTTGTTTGAAGTTGTAATTATATTATACCTATCTTCAATAAAATATGATCATGATAAAGGATTGAATAATAGTAGTTAGTCAATTATTAATTTACATGGTATCACAATGAGTTCACCCCTATAGTTTATATGGATTCATAAATTATTGATTTTTTTCTCTCTCTAAAATAGTTTTCTTTTTCTTTTCTTTTCTTTTCTTTTTTTTCTTTTTTTGTAATTTTATTTCTAGTCAGAATTGAATACATGTAAACCAAATGATCCAGTATTTTGTTCATTAATTGAAACTTATATTTGTATTTTATCAAATAATCCATCGGATTATGTAATACGTCATACATTCTCTGCATTACGTGTATTTATTCATCAAAATTCACAGGTAATAAATGTATATTTTATTCATTTAGATTACATGTATCTTTCTATTGTTATTAAAGACTGAAATAGATCAATCTCATGTTGGAGGTATATTCAGTTGACGAGTCCAAAAAAAATAGGACGAAACATATATCAAACTGGATTCCGCTGTTAACCAGTATCCATCTTTGCTTATTTTATTTATTTATTTATTTATCTGAAAACAAATACTGGCACAAGAGGGCACCAGATACATATGCGCCACACAAATCTTATTTGATTTGGTTTAGAGTGAGGGTTTTCCAACTCCCTTAGGTGGACTCTCCGTATCTATCAACCCGGTTAAACGGTCGGACATTCGCTTTTCGTCCTTTCAATTCCGTAAACAACACCCCTGCATCGAGGAGGCAATGAATAGGACTTACCTTACAGATGCTGTATACGCGTGGCCATGTGAGAGTATTTGGAGAGGGAGAGCGGACTCTCCTCACTCAGAGCATTTGAGGGCCCATCTTTGTTTAATTTACATTAATTTCAATATTTAAGATCATGAGTCAATTGAAGCTAAACCATCATGGAAAACCTGGAAGCACTAGATGGCCGTTTCATGTTATTTTAGGACTCCTCAGCAGTGCGCATCCACGACCTCTCCTCGCGGGATTCGAACCCATGACCTATCAGTTTCGCGCGCGAACGCTTAACCGCTAGATTAATTGTTGTTAAGATGTTCAAATAATCAATACCTCTTTGTAAAACATAATCAGCCTAACAGAATAAGGCTCTTGATCACTAGTTATACAACGTGTTGTTTAGTGTTTAATACTAACTAAAATTTATAGACCAATTTATGAACTTTAGTATACTTGTTTCATTTATCGCTTAACGGAACATTAAATAAGATTCATTTGATGTACGCGATGTTATTTTAGAGTCGATTTCTTTCAATCACTTAACATTGTTAGGAAGTTGTAATGTCGATTACTATATTAAGTCCACATAACTTATTCTAGCTTTTTAATAGGTCAATCTATCCATTCTTCTTGTGTCACATTGAGTTACTTTTTCTGGTTGCCGTTGTTTTAGTGAGTTAGTTTTCTACGGGATGGGGTCGCTAACCCCATGCCGAACCCTCCTCCTTTTTCCCGGGCTTAGAACCGGCAGTAGCCCCTAGAGAGACTCCATGCAGAGTTTAGACCTTATTAGTTAATCACTTATCAACACTGACGTTTTATATAAACGTATGGATGTGCAAATCTTATTCTGTTTGCCACAAATTTGTAGCTTATTTTTTTTGTGACTATAAATATTGATTAACGCTCCATCGCGTGTCATTTTACTTCGCTCTCTTTTCTTTGTTTCATCTCCTTGATTGACTGTTCAAATCACTGAATGTATGAAATATACATATACAAAATCCATTGTCATATTCAGCTTATTTACTTCCGTTATATTCAGTAATATAGATTAAGTTGATAATAATAATATACGAAAATAGTCAGGATGTGTATATTTCGACTATAATCATTCATACAATAATATGTGTGCTACTTATATTCACATAAGTAGTATAAAATGCTAGTTAGAAATAAAAATGTCTAGCAGCAGAAAGTCAAGAAGGAAAGAATAAGGACAATGAAGTCTGAGACGATTTGAGAAAATTAGTCATCCCCAATTGTATGTTCTCATTCACTACAATACAATCTACTTAGAGTCAAATCTCAGGTTACTAAAATGTGTATGGTTTCTCATACCCTCATATAAAAATGTCAGAGTTGATAAGTGATTAACTAAGAAGGTCTAAATGTGACTTAAGAAGAATGGTTAAATTGACCTATCCAAAAGCTAGAATAAATTATGTGAGCTTAATATAGTAACCGACACTACAAGTTCCTAACAATCTTAAATGATTAAAACAAAAAAATTGACCGATGCATATTTCTGCTTGATCGTACATTGTAGCTGATTGACTAACGATAAACTACACACATTCTGTTGAGTTAGATAACAGGGAAATCCTACTCATTGCCTTCTCCCCACTAGGGTGTTGTTTACAAAATTGAGAGGACGAAGAGCGAATGTTCGGCGCTTTAACCGGGTTGGTGGACATAGAGAGTTCACCTAGGGGAGTTGAAAAACCCTGATTCCATACCAACGATGCACATAGATTGGCTCCAGTATCCTGAGGGAATAAATGGCGTATGAACCAATCGTTGATCACCGGCTACCATGGGACTGCATCTCCTTACGTTGCTCCACTGCCTTTAGGTCAAGGGATCGGGGTGTGGCTCCCTATGAAAACCATCTGCTTCGGTTTGGGCACCCAGGCAATATCACATATGTATTTGGTGCCTCCTTGTACCAATATCTATGTATTCAGATAAACATGATTATAGTGTTACGACTAGTAACGAGTATATTTATTTATTTTATTTGAACACATAAATACTAGTATAAATGGTCACCGAATACATATACACCACACAAGTCATTTAATTTGTGTGTGTGTGTGTGTGTGGGCTATGATACTGCCCTGGTGTCCAAACAGAAACACGTTTTCATCCACGATCTCCACTTTGCAAGATTCGAACCCAGGATCTATCGGTTTCACACGCGAACACTTAACCTTGAAACTACTGAATTATAACAAACAACAAATAAGAAAAATCTCATCAACATTAAACTAGTAAATTTATGAAAGTCATTAACTGTTTACTTGTAGTAGTAAGTAGATTTGTCTGACATGTGAAGAGTCAGTCGGTCAATCAGTTGCAACATACAACCAGGCACATATATGCATCCGTCTAAGTTACCATACCTCATTAGCACAACAAGATAAACATCGGATTCATAGAAGTAGTTAATTCAGCGGTGGTAATATATAAAAGAAAGATTGTGTATAAGGAGATAGTACAAGAAGAAGGAAAGATAAAGATATAAAGCAACTTTAATCTCATAGTTTAAAGGAAGACAGAGAATATATACACCTACACCATTGTAATCGATTCTGAGCCATTTCACCGAGAGTCCTCAACCATTGGCTACGATAGTCACTCGAATCCCAATTAAATAGTCTGCATCTACCAACATGTCTAAGACTAAAAGTTAATGAGTTCAATGACTGATGTCATGTTTTGATATAACCGCCCGTAACTTTCTTTCAAGAGATATATGGTTCATGGTTAAACATTTCGAATCAATGTTTCTTCCCAGTTTGGAATTTTTGAACAGAACAGATCCATTGTTTCATCAAAGGTTACACATACAATCACGATAAGCTTGCTACTACTTTTGAATTACTGAGTTGAAATTCAAATGGTTCACATGCTCGATTTCAGTCAATTCATTCATTATACCGCTGGCATGGTTATCGGCGCTACTTGTTTATTATAAATATAAAGAACAACTAGGAATGATTGCTTACGGATAATTTATATTTTATCAATAAATTACAGTGAGACTATAATTTATGGACATCTAGGATGCAGTTGGATGATCTATCGTAAACGCGACACCAAATGCAAGAGAAGACAACCAGTGTAGCTGCAGCCTCAGCAGCAATAGGTCTCAATATACACAAAGGGAAAAGCAAGATTCTTCGATACAACACAGCATGCACCAATCCAATCACAATTGACGGAGAAGCTTTGGAAGATGTAAAAACCTTTACATATTTGGGCAGTATCATCGATGAACACGGTGGATCTGATACAGATGTGAAGGCACGGATTGGCAAAGCAAGAGCAGCATATTTACAAATGAAGAACATCTGGAACTCAAAACAATTGGCAACCAACACCAAAGTCAGAATTTTCAATACAAATGTCAAGACAGTTCTATTGTATGGGGCGGAAACCTGGAAAACCACGAAAGCCATCATCTAGAAGATACAGGTGTTTATTAACAGTTGTCTACGCAAAATACTTCGGATCCGTTTGCCGGACACTATTAGCAACCACCTTCTGTGGGAGAGAACAAACCAGATCCCAGCGGAGGAGGTTATCAGGAAGAAGTGCTGGAAATGGATAGGACACACATTGAGGAAATCACCGAACTGCGTCACAAAACAACCCCTCACATGGAATCCTCAAGGCTAAAGGCAAACAGGAAGACTAAAGAATACATTACGCCGGGAAATGGAAATAGACATGAAAAAAAAGAACAACAATTGGATGGGAACTAGAAAAGAAGGCCTAGGACAGAGTAGGGTTAAGAATACTGGTCGGCGGTCTATGCTGCTCCATTAAGAGTAATAGGCATAAGTAAGTAAGTAATAATTTACAGACGACCTTTGAGCGATGCCAACCTGACCTTGAAATTGTCCATCTAATAACCAGAACCAAATGAATGGTATAAACCTGTGTGAAAAATTGCAAATTATGATTTACAATTGATAGTTAGCATTAGGAACTAGAGTTTGAAGTCGAGGGATTATCACGTACTGACATCAATTATAACAACAATACTTTATTTAACCAAACGATTGAATGCATTTCACACCATAATCTGAGATTTGTTTAGCTATATTTTATAGTTTTGTTCAAATGACTTCTTTTTATAATATTTTGATGACTTTTCTTTTCTTTTCTTCTTTTGAAATTGAAATTTTAGACACTTTTCTCTGAATCAACCAATATTCTAAGTATGCTTTGTTTAGCTGGTTTAAGATGTTCTAATCAATGTTTTCTTTCATTATCATCGGTTATCTCTTCTTCATCATTATCAGTTTCATCAATATCATCGCCGCCACCACCACCACCACCACCACCACCACCGACACCGCCACCACCAATAACAACAACCACCTCATGTCTTGTCACTAATTCAACAGATTCCAATACCAATATTTCAATGGATAAAAGTTCACAAATATCATTTGATACAACAGCATATATTAAATATAAACATCCAGTATTACCTAAATTGAAAAATATTGAAATTAATGATACAAATCAGTTAATATCAAATACTAACCATTTTAATCATAGTAATGATTATGATAATAATAATAATAATAATAATAATAGTAATATGAATAATCAATCATTAATAAGTAGACTTTGTCTAGATGCATGCGGTTTCTTATATCGTTTATGGAAGTGTAGTTTTGAAACATATCAACAAGTTGGATTTCATCGTGTACATTTACAGGTAAGTGGAAGATGATGAGTCAGTCGAAGCTAGACTACCATAGAAAACCTGAAAACACTGGACGGCCGTTTCGTCTTATTGTGGGACTCCTCAGTGGCAGTGCATATCCGCGATCCTACCTCGAGAGATTCGAACCCAGGACCTATCGGTCTCGCGTGCGAGGGTTTAATCACTAGACCACTGAGGTAGCCAGTATCTAACAGTGTTAATACTTAATTTCAGCTAGTCGACGAAATTGAGCGACACATCCATCATTGTCTTCAATCAGTTACTATCTCACAACAGACCCAAACCCTGTTGAATTCCAGAAAATACCTCTTGAAGCTAGCTACTAATGAGCACATGTTGATTTTTGTGGATATTATAATGGTTAAGCGCTCGCGCGTGAGACCGATAGGTCCTGGGTTCGGATCTCGCGAGGCAGAATCGTGGATATACACTGATGAGGAGTCCTAAAATAGAACGAAACGGTCTTCTAGTGCTTCCAGGTTTTCCATAATGGTCTAGCTTCAATTAACTCATGATCTCAACCTTTCTGATATATGTTTATAACTGGATAACAATCATTTTCGTATTAGTTATTAACTTAAAGATGGATTTTTAATATTCTTGTGAAATATTATAACTGGTAGAATGTATTCATGTTGACAATGTGATCAATTCTTCTCTTATATACGAAACATTGACTACATTTGAAGATTTAATACATCGTTATTCTTCTAAATGTAGCTCAACTGGATCAATTGAGTGTGATTTTAATGTTCTTTATATCGTTTAATCGATGATGGGTTCAACAGAATAGATTTAGTTAATTTGTTATTCATAAGAAACATAGAAACTTGACAAATATGTTTCACTTCAAGTTTCTTCACCATAATAACATAGCCAACTAAAATGATCAAGAAGAACGTTTGATTAGTAACAATAGTAACAGTATCAATAGAACTGAAAAATATATAAGGCGTAAACAATATGATTCAAGAAGAATATATGAATTTTATTGAATAAAATGTATCGTTAGGTCTATCAAAGCGTCCAGGTCACTTAATTGAGTTACGCGTAAAACAACAATTTGTCTACAATACTTACTTACTTACTTACGCCTGTTACTCTTAATGGAGCATAGGCCGCCGACCAGCATTCTCCAACCTACTCTGTCCTGGGCCTTCTTTTCTAGTTCCATCCAATTCTTGTTCATTTTTCTCATATCTATCTCCATTTCCCGGCGTATTGTATTCTTTGGTCTTCCTCTCTTCCTTCGACCTTGAGGATTCCATGTGAGGGCTTGTCTTGTGACGCAGTTGGGTGTTTTCCTCAATGTGTGTCCTATCCACTTCCAGCGTTTCTTCCTGATTTCTTCCTCCACTGGGATCTGATTTGTTCTCTCCCACAGTAGGTTGTTGATTATAGTGTCCGGCCAACAGATCTGAAGTATTTGGCGTAGACAACTGTTAGTAAACGCCTGTATCTTCTGGATGATGGCTTTCTTAGTTTTCCAGGTTTCCGCCCCATACAATAGAACTGCCTTGACATTTATATTGAAAATTCTGACTTTGGTGTTGGTTGCTAATTGTTTTGAGTTCCAGATATTCTTCAGTTGTAAATATGCTGCTCATGCTTTTCCGATCCGCGCCGTCACATCTGCATCAATTCCACCGTGTTCATCGATGATACTGCCCAAATATGTAAAGGTTTTTACATCTTCCAAAGCTTCTCCGTTAATTGTGATTGGATTTGTACATGTTGTATTGTATCGAAGAATCTTGCTTTTCCCTTTGTGTATATTGAGACCCATTGCTGCTGAGGCTGCAGCTACACTGGTTGTCTTCTCCTGCATTTGTTGTTGCGTATGCGATAGAAGAGCCAGATCATCTGCGAAGTCTAGATCATCCAATTGCATCCTAGCTATCCACTGTATCCCGTGCTTCCCTTCACGGGAAGGGGCTACCTGTAATGGTAACATAAACAATAATTACAATATACAATATAGTACAAAAGACAGCTGATAACTGTGTATAAACTTGGTAACAGTTTATCAACAATTGAAAGCCGTAACAAGAGCAAAACAAAATAGAAACTGTTGCGTTTAAACAAATGCACAAAACTGTTGATAACTGTTACAGTGATTGAGATAAGGTAATTATGATGATTATTACAATAAACATTATAAGTATATGTGAATATTTCCGAGTATTACATAAGTTTAAAATTTACTGGGAATTAAACTACTTACTGAATTTAAATAAGTAGTATAAAATAACACGCTAAAGAATGAAAGAAAAGCAATTAAGAATAATGTAATACAGACTTAACATGTATAAAATTATCTTAAAAATAGAAGATATAAGGGAATAAAATGAGTGAATGCATCTTACTTTATTGTAATCAATTCGAAATCATATCAACCAAAGTATTCAATCTTAGGTGATGATAATCGTTTGGATCTAAAAACAAGTAGTTTGTATCTACCAACATAGATTAATCTGTAAGTTAGTGACCCTATGGACGAATGTCATGTCTTTCTTTGATTATCTTTAACTTTCTTTCAAACTACTCCTACATCATCAAAAAATCGTTCATCAATCATTAACCTATTTTAGTTTAATTTTATCTCAGTCCTACAGGAGGTCGGTCGCGGACCGGATAACTCAATAGTAAAGTCTCTGACTGTGTAGCTGGGTGACACAGGATCGAATCTGTTATGGAGCACCAGTTCCCTCAAGATTACAGGTATACCTTGCTGACGAGTGCCAAGTAGCATGAAACGCGGATCCAGGTTTTCTGTTGACTACTTCCAACCACCATCTAATTTCAACATAGTGCATGCAGTGTCGAGTAGTCACCTAGAGTGGTGGCCACATTGCAATATGGTCGATAGCATTCGATCTGCACTAATATAGACTTGACACACATAGCATTGATCACTACCCAGTGATCAATCAATTGTGAAATATTTTGTATCTACCAACGTAGATTAATCTATAAGTCAGTGAGCTTATGGACGAATGTTATATCTTTCTTTGATCATCTTTAACTTTCTTTCAAACTACTTCTACCTCATCAAAGAATCATTCATCAATCCCTAACCTATTATAGTTTAATTTGATCAAAATGAAATTTGACTATGATGCAAATATAATGAATTGTCAGTGAATCTTAATTTGTATGCTCAAGGGTGCGCACTGCTGAAGAGTCACACAATAGGACGAAACGGTTGTCCAGTGCTTCCAGGTTTTCCATGGTGGTGTAGCTTCAACTGACTCATGATCTTAACCATTGAAATTATAACAATTCATTGATCTGAAATATTTGATTATGTTGACAACAGACTAGTCACTTGTAATCTTTTCTCTCTCTGTCTCTCTCCCTCTCTTTTTTTATTGATAGACAATTATTGCTATATCAAAACTTGTAAGTGAACTAAGTCCTGGTTTTGAAGCAAGTTTAAGTCTTTTGCATAGTTTAGCTCAAACTGATATGCAAAGAATTTCAGAATCAATGTCGACAATGTCAATAACTACAACAGGAACAACAACATCGTCATCATCATCAAATGCATCTGGGAAATTGTTTTGGACTGATTCAAATATTCGTTTATTCTTAGATGATATTGACGATTTAATTCATCGTATATTAACTGTATTAACTGCTACTGCTGAAATGCGTCGACATTGTGATGATCCTGAACGTATAGTTGACTTACAATATGCATTAGCTAAATCATACAGTAGTAATCCAGCATTAAGACGGTAAGTTTTCTTTCATTTTATTTATAAAGTTGTTTTTTTTCTCGAATCCTTTGCTAAATAAACAATCACACTGTCCATCAGTAGTATCCAACTTTATCAATTTATAATGTACGCGATCACTTGAAGGCTTTGGAAGTTTTACATAGTAGTCAATTAGCCAGTATTAGTGTGTTTAAGTGTAACAGTAGTGAAAAGTCTCAGGACCGATAGGTCCTGGGTTCGAATCTCACGAAACGTGATCGTGGATGCGCACTGCTGAGGAGTCTCGCAATAAAACGAAATGACCGTTCAGTACCTTCAGGTTTTCCATGATGGTCTAGCTTCAACCGACTCATGATCGTAACTATTCAAACAAATATAACTGTTTAATAATCATCTTTGCAAAGTATTCAGTAGTTCGGAGCAAAATTTAGAAGTTATTGTTTAAATAATACTTGGAATTGGCAGGAAATTCAAAATATTTACAATGTAAAGATACATCAAAATCTTCTTAACATTGTTAACGATCATACCGTTTGTGCTGTATGGAGGTCATCACTGTAGTTGGAGATATGAATTTGAAGATATGGTGTTCGGCGCGAAATCTTAGATTTCTTGCAATGTAGTAGATAACCTCTTCTTTAATACTGTTCTCTTGGTAATATCGATTCTTCATAAAATATCTTTCGATATATTATTATTTTCTGGTTACCGTTGTTTTTAGCTAGTTAGTTTTCTACAGGATGGGGTCGCTAACCCCTATACCTAACCCTCCTCCTTTATCTGGGCTTGGGACCAGTAGTAGCCCTAGAGGGACTGCAGGTGGAGTTTTTGATATATTAGGTCAATTAAAACAGAAGTTCTAACATAAAACAGTATGGTAAATAAACTGAGACGACTGAAGAATTGTAATCTATACAAATAGATCCTTATGAGTCCTCTATAATTATATTAACCGTATTTGTGTCTAACTTCCTTCTCATCCTAATATGTAACTCCTTAAAGTTATACATCGATGACATCACCATGGGTCGAACCCAAAATCTTTAGATCTCAAAACAGACATCTTACCTTCGAACTATTGAATTGAAACTTATTTGAATTAAAGGTATTAATAAAAGTAACGAGTTAATACTCATATAATTCATCATTCAAATATATTGCAAAAATTTAGAAGACTCTCCCAGTCTCCTACATTGTACGAGCATTCCATGGATCTAAATAAATGGTTGCTCTCGTTGTCAGAAGGGGCATCGGCCTCGTGACTTTCGAAGGAACTCGGCTTTCATCATGAGGCTTCATAATTCTTCTGAACGAAGACCTTCTGACTCCCAGAGCAGAGTTTAAATAGTTTGAATAATTTTTTTCTAGTTAGCGCTTTTTTTAGCGAGTTAGTTTTCTACGGGATGGGGTCGCGGACCCCATGCTCAACCTTCTTCCTTTATTATCCGGACTCTCTAAATGCTATCACATGGTCACGTGTATACACCCACTCCTATTTAATGCCTTTTCATAGAATTACTGAGGGTCTACTTACGAGATTTGGAAAACTCTGATTCCAAACAAATAGTATACATAGGTCCTAAGATCCTGAGAGAAACAAATAGTATATGAATCAATTATTGGTCACCGATTACTATGAGACTATATCTCCTAACATTGTTCCAATTCCTTATGGATTAGACCTGTAGGTTAATAGTTCAGGAAGTGGCTCTCGAAGTAAATCACTTAAACTACAGTTTGAGTGTCCAGGTAGTATTTCAACCCTTACACAAATCAAATGATGAATTATGACTCACATAGATATATATTTAATGCATCTTTGTACCGATGTTTATCCCAAATTATGTTCACATGTATATCTATGCACTTTATGCGTATATACATAGAGAAATATGGTTAAGTGTAACCATTTCAGTACATCAATTCAAATATAGTGTGCACTTTGTAAATAAATATAAAAAAAACAAAACAACACTTGATTGACATATCAACACTTTGTATACACTTTTAAATAATAATCCAATTTCATTGGAAATACAATTTATGAAAGTACATTCCATTTCACTTTTATAATAATAAAAAGAAAACATTCTTTTGTTGCTATCCCCCCCCGCCCCACCACAACCACTACCACCACCACCACCACCACTTGTACTTCTGTTATTTCAACAAAGTCAATATGAATCATTGTTTTAATTGTTAAAGTATATGATTTGGAATAAATGGTGCATAATACATTGAAGCCTTAGATCGTTGGTTGTAGTTATGCTTCTCGAAATTAGAATCATCAATTCACATGGTTTCACAAATAAACCTTTAACTTAAAGCCTCTAGTAACCGAATATCTAGTGACTTTACATTATTCAGTTAATATAATATACCCTTGTTGGGTCAGAATAATTTTACATTGGTTCTCCGGAATACTACACATTATCCAGACTTTCATATGACAACCCAAATAGTACAGCTCAACCTCGTTTAACAGGAGAGCCAGACACCACTCATGCTTAAATTTTATAAACTGAACAGTTCAATTGAATACCGCTTCACAGGAGAATCAGACACTGTATAGGCTTTAATGCTACAGTTCAATTCTATGGTGCAATCACACAGGTACCAAACACCATGGTGGACTATTCTCACTATTTATGTACACATTCACATCAAATGTATAGTTATTCCAATCACTTATTTTAAACACTCACTATACTAACTATTCTATACCACTTCTAAACTTTCACTAATCTATAAAAACCAATAATCAAAAATGGTTGATGTTAGATACTAACACTATTATATGACGGCTCAGTGGTCGAGTAGGTTAAGGGTTTGCGCGCGAGACAGAAGGCCCTGGGTTCGAATCCCGCCAGCGGAGTCATGGATGCGCACTGCTGAGGAGTCCCATACTAGGACGAAATGGCCGTCCAATGCTTCCAGGTATTCCATGGTGATTTATTTGAACACATAAATATTAGTAAAAAGGGATATCGAATACATATACGCCACACAAGTCACTTGATTTGTGTGTGGGCTGTGATCCTGCTCGGGTGTCCAAACCGAAGTAGATGGTTTTCTTAGGACACCATACCAGAAGCCTTCGACTCAGACGTCCGATCCACATGGCAGTGGAACATCGTAAGGAGATGCAGTCCCATAGTAGCCGGTGACGAATGATTGGTTCATACGCCATTTGTTCCTTCACGATCCTGGGTCCAGCTCATGTACACCATTGGTTTGGAATCCGGTTAAAGCGTCGGACATTCGCTTTTCGTCCTCTCAATTTCGTAAACAACACCCCCACCATGTGAAGGCAGTGAGTAGGACCTACCTGGCAGAGATTATATACGCGTGGTCATGTGAAAGCATTTCGAGAGGGTAAGCGAACTCTCCCCACTCTCGGCCATATCAGGGCATTTGGGATCAATTGACAAAGTGTTTCATCGAGATATTATTCTGAAGTTTAAATAAACTTCAACACTTTTTATGAAAGAAACCATTCAATTTGTTCTGAGGTTGATTTGTTAGCACTACACAAATATTTGTCTTAAAACTAGTCATTCTTGACATTTCCATATACTTTTCCCCCCCCCACACACACACACCTGATTAAGAAAATGGTTTAGTTTACAGTCTAGGTACTAATGTATTGTATTACATAAACAATATATACATTACTATCTATTAAAATCAATATTGAATTAAACATGATGATAATCGAACCATATTACATAACCAAATATCATTAGAAATTCAATTAATTCAGTTCAGATTAATTGGTAATGATTGTTATGGATTATGTTTATTTTTTATAAGGGGATGAATGACATTTTCTAAATTAATTGAATTGGTTAAATTTCAATTGAATCCATGTTATAGAATTCAAAGAAAGTTTAAACACAGATACAAGGTGATTGGATACCAAAAGTAAAAGAAAGGAAAATTACTGTCATTAAATAAAGACAATGATCACTTTATAATTAATAAAGTGAGTGATTCAAAATGCCTCCAAATGCCCTGGTATAGCCGAGAGTGGGGAAAGTTCGCTCATCCTCTCGAAATGCGCTCCCACATGAACACGCGTATATAACCTCTGTCAGAGAAATCCTACTCACTGCCTTCTCGTGGTGGGGGGTGTTGTTTACGAAATTGACAGGACGAAAAGTGAATATCCGGCGTTTTAACCGGATCCCAAACCAATGGTGCACATAGGCTAGCTCCAGTATCCTGAGGGAACAAATAGCGTATTAACCTATTGTTGCTCACTAGCTACCATGGAACTTCATTTCCCTACCATGCTCCACTACCTTGTTGATCAGATCTTCAGGTTGAAGGCTCGGGGTGTGGCCCCCTAAGAAAACCACCTGATTTATTTTGAGCACTCGGGCAGTATCACAGCTCTCACACACATGGCAAATGAGATTTGTGTGGCGCATAGGTATCTGGTGGCCCGTTGTACCAATATCTATGTGTTAATATAAATATTCAAATCAAAGGAACGATACTCCAAATTGTCAACATATATATATGTCTTTTCAAATGACTTGTTATTCGATTTGTTCAAGGGCTTACATATTTTGCCGGTTGTTCAAATCGAAGGAACGATACTCCAAATTGTCAACATATATATATGTCTTTTCAAATGACTTGTTATTCGATTTGTTCAAGGGCTTACATATTTTGCCGGTTGTTCAAATCGAAGGAACGATACTCCATATTGTCAACATATATATATGTCTTTTCAAATGACTTGTTATTCGATTTGTTCAAGGGCTTACATATTTTGCCGGTTGTTCAAATCGAAGGAAGGATACTCCAAATTGTCAACATATATATATGTCTTTTCAAATGACTTGTTATTCGATTTGTTCAAGGGCTTACATATTTTGCCGGTTGTTCAAATCGAAGGAACGATACTCCAAATTGTCAACATATATATATGTCTTTTCAAATGACTTGTTATTCGATTTGTTCAAGGGCTTACATATTTTGCCGGTTGTTCAAATCGAAGGAACGATACTGCATATTGTCAACATATATATATGTCTTTTCAAATGACTTGTTATTCGATTTGTTCAAGGGCTTACATATTTTGCCGGTTGTTCAAATCGAAGGAACGATACTCCATATTGTCAACATATATATATGTCTTTTCAAATGATTTGTTATTCGATTTGTTCAAGGGCTTACATATTTTGCCGGTTGTTCAAATCGAAGGAACGATACTGCATATTGTCAACATATATATATGTCTTTTCAAATGACTTGTTATTCGATTTGTTCAAGGGCTTACATATTTTGCCGGTTGTTCAAATCGAAGGAACGATACTCCATATTGTCAACATATATATATGTCTTTTCAAATGACTTGTTATTCGATTTGTTCAAGGGCTTACATATTTTGCCGGTTGTTCAAATCGAAGGAACGATACTCCATATTGTCAACATATATATATGTCTTTTCAAATGACTTGTTATTCGATTTGTTCAAGGGCTTACATATTTTGCCGGTTGTTCAAATCGAAGGAACGATACTCCAAATTGTCAACATATATATATGTCTTTTCAAATGACTTGTTATTCGATTTGTTCAAGGGCTTACATATTTTGCCGGTTGTTCAAATCGAAGGAACGATACTCCATATTGTCAACATATATATATATCTTTTCAAATGACTTGTTATTCGATTTGTTCAAGGGCTTACATATTTTGCCGGTTGTTCAAATCGACGGAACGATACTCCATATTGTCAACATATATATATATCTTTTCAAATGACTTGTTATTCGATTTGTTCAAGGGCTTACATATTTTGCCGGTTGTTCAAATCGAAGGAACGATACTCCATATTGTCAACATATATATATGTCTTTTCAAATGACTTGTTATTCGATTTGTTCAAGGGCTTACATATTTTGCCGGTTGTTCAAATCGAAGGAACGATACTCCATATTGTCAACATATATATATATCTTTTCAAATGACTTGTTATTCGATTTGTTCAAGGGCTTACATATTTTGCCGGTTGTTCAAATCGAAGGAACGATACTCCAAATTGTCAACATATATATATGTCTTTTCAAATGACTTGTTATTCGATTTGTTCAAGGGCTTACATATTTTGCCGGTTGTTCAAATCGAAGGAACGATACTCCAAATTGTCAACATATATATATGTCTTTTCAAATGACTTGTTATTCGATTTGTTCAAGGGCTTACATATTTTGCCGGTTGTTCAAATCGAAGGAACGATACTCCAAATTGTCAACATATATATATGTCTTTTCAAATGACTTTTTATTCGATTTGTTCAAGGGCTTACATATTTTGCCGGTTGTTCAAATCGAAGGAACGATACTCCAAATTGTCAACATATATATATGTCTTTTCAAATGACTTGTTATTCGATTTGTTCAAGGGCTTACATATTTTGCCGGTTGTTCAAATCGAAGGAACGATACTCCATAATTGTCAACATATATATATGTCTTTTCAAATGATTTGTTATTCGATTTGTTCAAGGGCTTACATATTTTGCCGGTTGTTCAAATCGAAGGAACGATACTCCATATTGTCAACATATATATATGTCTTTTCAAATGACTTGTTATTCGATTTGTTCAAGGGCTTACATATTTTGCCGGTTGTTCAAATCGAAGGAACGATACTCCATATTGTCAACATATATATATGTCTTTTCAAATGACTTGTTATTCGATTTGTTCAAGGGCTTACATATTTTGCCGGTTGTTCAAATCGAAGGAACGATACTCCATATTGTCAACATATATATATGTCTTTTCAAATGACTTGTTATTCGATTTGTTCAAGGGCTTACATATTTTGCCGGTTGTTCAAATCGAAGGAAGGATACTCCATATTGTCAACATATATATATGTCTTTTCAAATGACTTGTTATTCGATTTGTTCAAGGGCTTACATATTTTGCCGGTTGTTCAAATCGAAGGAACGATACTCCAAATTGTCAACATATATATATGTCTTTTCAAATGACTTGTTATTCGATTTGTTCAAGGGCTTACATATTTTGCCGGTTGTTCAAATCGAAGGAACGATACTCCATATTGTCAACATATATATATGTCTTTTCAAATGACTTGTTATTCGATTTGTTCAAGGGCTTACATATTTTGCCGGTTGTTCAAATCGAAGGAACGATACTCCAAATTGTCAACATATATATATGTCTTTTCAAATGACTTGTTATTCGATTTGTTCAAGGGCTTACATATTTTGCCGGTTGTTCAAATCGAAGGAACGATACTCCATATTGTCAACATATATATATGTCTTTTCAAATGACTTGTTATTCGATTTGTTCAAGGGCTTACATATTTTGCCGGTTGTTCAAATCGAAGGAACGATACTCCAAATTGTCAACATATATATATGTCTTTTCAAATGATTTGTTATTCGATTTGTTCAAGGGCTTACATATTTTGCCGGTTGTTCAAATCGAAGGAACGATACTCCAAATTGTCAACATATATATATGTCTTTTCAAATGACTTGTTATTCGATTTGTTCAAGGGCTTAGATATTTTGCCGGTTGTTCACATCGAAGGAACGATACTCCAAATTGTCAACATATATATATATATCTTTTCAAATGACTTGTTATTCGATTTGTTCAAGGGCTTACATATTTTGCCGGTTGTTCAAATCGAAGGAACGATACTCCAAATTGTCAACATATATATATGTCTTTTTAAATGACTTGTTATTCGATTTGTTCAAGGGCTTACATATTTTGCCGGTTGTTCAAATCGAAGGAACGATACTCCAAATTGTCAACATATATATATGTCTTTTCAAATGACTTGTTATTCGATTTGTTCAAGGGCTTACATATTTTGCCGGTTGTTCAAATCGAAGGAACGATACTCCAAATTGTCAACATATATATATGTCTTTTCAAATGACTTGTTATTCGATTTGTTCAAGGGCTTACATATTTTGCCGGTTGTTCAAATCGAAGGAACGATACTCCAAATTGTCAACATATATATATGTCTTTTCAAATGATTTGTTATTCGATTTGTTCAAGGGCTTACATATTTTGCCGGTTGTTCAAATCGAAGGAACGATACTCCAAATTGTCAACATATATATATGTCTTTTCAAATGATTTGTTATTCGATTTGTTCAAGGGCTTACATATTTTGCCGGTTGTTCAAATCGAAGGAACGATACTGCATATTGTCAACATATATATATGTCTTTTCAAATGACTTGTTATTCGATTTGTTCAAGGGCTTACATATTTTGCCGGTTGTTCAAATCGAAGGAACGATACTCCATATTGTCAACATATATATATGTCTTTTCAAATGACTTGTTATTCGATTTGTTCAAGGGCTTACATATTTTGCCGGTTGTTCAAATCGAAGGAACGATACTCCATATTGTCAACATATATATATGTCTTTTCAAATGACTTGTTATTCGATTTGTTCAAGGGCTTACATATTTTGCCGGTTGTTCAAATCGAAGATGGAATGCTCCAAATTATCAATGTCAATGGTTTTTCTTTTCTCTATTGAATATATTTTCTTATTGAGTATTTCTTTATTCAAATTAATGTTTGGTTGTTTTTTTTTTGATAATTTCTAGGACATGGTTAGAAGAATTAGTTAAATTACATATGAATTCAAGAAGTTACACAGAATTAGCTATGACTAAATTACATATTGCTGCATTAATGGCGGAATATTTAAAATGTAAAGGTAATTACATAATAATTTGTGTATACATATAACTATGAATTTATCTATAAAAGAATCATTTGAACTTAGTTTATCTTACATTCTTATTTATTTAGTCCTGTTACTCTTTGTGGAGGAGCGTCGATAACTTATCAATAATCTTTATCAAATTTTATTCTGAACAATCCTTTCCAGTTGTTATTCATTCATTCATTCATTCATTACTTACTTACTTACTTACTTACTTACTTACTTACTTGCTTACTTACTTACTTACTTACTTACTTACTTACTTACTTACTTACTTACTTACTTACTTACTTACTTACTTACTTACTTACTTACTTACTTACTTACTTACTTACTTACTTACTTACTTACTTACTTACTTACTTACTTACTTACTTACTTACTTACTTACTTACTTACTTACTTACTTACTTACTTACTTACTTACTTACTTACTTACTTACTTACTTACTTACTTACTTACTTACTTACTTACTTACTTACTTACTTACTTACTTACTTACTTACTTACTTACTTACTTACTTACTTACTTACTTACTTACTTACTTACTTACTTACTTACTTACTTACTTACTTACTTACTTACTTACTTACTTACTTACTTACTTACTTACTTACTTACTTACTTACTTACTTACTTACTTACTTACTTACTTACTTACTTACTTACTTACTTACTTACTTACTTACTTACTTACTTACTTACTTACTTACTTACTTACTTACTTACTTACTTACTTACTTACTTACTTACTTACTTACTTACTTACTTACTTACTTACTTACTTACTTACTTACTTACTTACTTACTTACTTACTTACTTACTTACTTACTTACTTACTTACTTACTTACTTACGCCTGTTACTCTTAATGGAGCAGCATAGACCGCCGACCAGTATTCTCCAACCTACTCTGTCCTAGGCCTTCTTTTCTAGTTCCCATCCAATTGTTGTTCATTTTTTTTCATGTCTATTTCCATTTTCCGGCGTAATGTATTCTTTGGTCTTCCTGTTTTCCTTTAGCTTTGAGGATTCCATGTGAGGGGTTGTTTTGTGATATAGTTCAGTGCTTTTCTTTAATGTGTGTCCTATCCACTTTCCAGTACTCCTTTTTGATTTCTTCTTCCGCTAGGATCTGGTTTGAATTTTATCCATTATAAGATAATAAATAAGTCAATCAATGAATTCTTAGTAGTGACCAGTGGAGTTCAACCAGGTCTGTTGTGGGATAGTAACTCACTGAAGACAATGGTGGATGTGTCGCTCAATTTCGTGGATTAGTTGAAGTTAGACATTAACACCGTTGAATGCCAGCCGGCTCAGTGGTCTAGTGGTTAAGTGCTCGCGCGCGAAGCCAGTAGGTCCTGGATTTGGATCTCGCAGGGGTCGAGGTCGTGCATGCGCACTGCTGAGGAGTCCCATAATAGGACGAAACGGCCATCCAGTGCTTCCAGGTTTTTCATGATGGTCTAGCTTCAACTGACTCATGATCTTAATCATTGGAATTCTTACAGGAAATTTTCAAATAATTCGATTTGTATTTTTTAATTTCTATTCATAGATATGAAACAATTTGATCTGGTAAATTTTTGTTTCGTTTTAATTATTTCGATTCTCATTGGATGTGTACATTGTTTGTTTAATGCATTACTACTATTGTTTCTTCAATTCTTATCAGTATAGGAGTTATGGGAGATTATTAAGTTAATGATTGAGATCATGAACTAATTGATGTTAGACCACTATTGATAACCTGAGACAAGTATCTACCTCAGAACAATAGAAGATGGTCGCGCAGTTTTGTGGATTGGTTGAGGTTAGACATTAACACCGTTGGATACCGGTTGCCTCAGTGGTTTAGAAGTTAAACGTTTGTTCACGAGACTGAAGGCCCATGGGTTCGAATCCCGTGAGCGGGATCGTGGATGCACACTACTAAGGGAGTACCGTACTATGACGAAACGACCGTCCAATGCTTCCAGGTTTTCAATGATGGTCTAACATGAATTGACTCATGATCTCAATCAATATCTTTAATTGTTGATTAAATAAAAATTGATTGTTATCACTTGATAACCTTGAGAATTCTCAGCAGTTTGCATCCACGATGTTACACATGAGACTCGAGCCCAGGAAGTTTGATGTTAATGTCTAACTTCAATCTATCTATGATCTTGTGCAATCGTTTATACATTATCTATGATAGATAACTTTCTCATATCTGATATCAAATGAACTCCACTGGTCATAACTTCTCACTACAACTTCAAGTTATTCATCTTGAAGCTAATCACCAATGGGATTTGTGATCACTGGTCGATTTTATCACTAATTGTATGATGTAATTACATTGTAATCAAGATATTCATCATATTGATTAACACTTCAATAGTTCAGTCATATAACACAATTCATATATGAATAATATCAGAAAGGGTTTTTTTCGATTGAGATCATGAATCGACTGATGTTAGACCACCGTTGGAAACCTGGAAGCACTGGACGGCCGTTTCGTCCTAGTATGGGACTCCTCAGCAGTGCGCATCCACGATCCCGCTCGCGAGATTCGAACCCAGGGCCTTCAGTCTCGCGCGCGAACGCTTAACCTACTCGACCACTGAGCCAGCATCCAATGGTGTTAGTGTCTAACATCAACCAATCCACGAAATTGCGCGACCATCTTCCATTGTACTGAGGTAGATACCTGTCTCTACCCGACACGGATTAGCTCCACTGGTCACGGCTTCTCACTAGAACTCCGAGAATTCCCTCACGAAGCTAGTCACTAGTGAGCACATGTTAATTATCAGTATTGGGGTTGTGGAGATTATTAAGCTTTTTGATTGAGATCATGAATCGACTGATGTTTTTTTCTTTGGATATCATCATCACATTTCAATAATTAAGATCATAAGTCAATTAAAGTTAAATCAACATGGGAAACCTAGAAACATTGGACAATTGTTTGGTCTTATTGTGAGACATTTCAGCAATGCACATCCATGATCCCCACCACCACCACAATAGAATGAAACGGTCATCTAGTGCTTCCATGTTTTCTATACTGGTCTAGCTTCAACTACCTGATGAATAAGGAAACAAAAAACAATTCTATTTAAATAGACAATAGGTATCAACTAGAAAACTTGAAAGAAAAAAAAAAAAGAATTCTCCTTTGTCAGAAAAGGTTTTGTGGAGTTTTTTTTAGTAATTTTTCAATGGTTAAGATCATGAGTCACAATTGAAGCTAGACCACTATGGAAAACCTGGAAGCATTGGATGGCTGTTTCGTTCTATTATGGGATTCCTCAGCTTTTAGATTTTTCATGATGCTCTAACTTCAACTGATTCATGATCTTAACTATTGAAATTCTCTTTTGTTTTGTTTTGTCAAAATGTTTATCAAATTGAATTTCTTTCTTGTTGTGAAACTGAGACGATGATGATGATGATGATGATGATGATGATGATGATGATGATGAAGAACGAGAAGAGTAAACTTTGTCTAATACAATCTAATCATCATATTTACTTTTTCATTTAGGTATTTTAGATTGTAAGTTAGTTTTTGTTTTAATAATTAAACTTGGTGCAAAAATTGCTTTGTGTATTTGTTTGTTTGTTTGTTTGTGTGTGTGTGTGTGTACAGACTCATGCATCTATTACATTATTATTGATTTGCATAAATGCACTACTTCTATTACCAGTACTACTTATTTACTGACTTACACTCATTGACACACACACACAGACATACACATATGAGCATGCATCTATTTTGTTTACATGTACATATGAAATATGTTTGTTTATTGATTTAGAGGGTATGTCTGATATGATAGGTAGGTGGGGGGGGGTGATATGTTCTCCTAGATATTGAGAGAGAGAGAGGGAGAGATTTTAATATGTATGTTTACATATATGATTACATAATCTATGTATTTGTATTACATATACATTGAAATGTAAATGAAATGATTACACAATGATTAAAGATCATAGAGAGGGTGCTATTGTTAAATGTTTAGATGACATTTAAACAAAATCAAGATAGAAACACAAAAGTATCCTCAATTGATTGTTTATTTAAATAAATGTCATACTCACAAATTTTAACTTGTACGTAAATAAAAAAAACACCGTTGGATACCGACCGGCTCAGTGATCTTATGGTTAAGCGCTCGTGTGCGAGATTGATAGGTTAGGTCCTGGGTTCGATTATCGTGGGTGTGGGTGGGTGGGTGGCGGGATTGTAGATACACACTACTGAGAGAGTTTCATACTAGGATGAAACAACCGTCTAATGCTTTCAGGTTTTCCATGGTAGTTTATCTTCAATTAAATGTTGTTTATATGTGAGAGAGCTTTAATTCAAATGATCAACTAATCATTGTTTCATTATCTTGGTCTGTACTCATTTGTATAATGTGAAGTTATGAATCTTCATTGATGGAGGAGGTTACTAAGACATGTATTATGTATATTCAACCACTACTTACTTCAATACATAATGCCTTCTCGTGGTGGGGGTGTTGTTTACGAAATTGAGAAAACGAAAAGCGAATGTTTGGCACTTTAATCGGGTTGGTGGACATAGAGAGTCCACCTAGGAGAGTTGGAAAACCCTGATTCCAAATCAATGGTGCACATGAGCTGGACCGAGGAGTGTGAAGTAACAAGTGGCGTATGAATCAATCGTTGGTCACCGGCTACCATGGGACTTCATCTCATTACGATGCTCCACTGCCTGGCGGATCAGACCTTTAGGTTGAAGGCTCCGGGTGTGGAACTCTAAGAAAATCACCTGTTTCGGTTTGGGCACCCGAGCAGTATCACAGCCCTCACACAAATTTCATTTGATTTGTGTGGCGCATATATATTTGGTGCCTCATTGTACCAATATTTATGTGTTCAAATAATAATGATAAGTCGGAGATATATCAGTTAGCGTAGACTGCTTGATTATAGTTCTAAAAGATTATTGTATTGGATGACACGATTCAGAATTGATTACAATAATGAAGATGCATTCACTCCTCTTATCCTATTTAATCTTCTATTTTGAAAATTATTTTTTTTCTCATCAAATTCACTCATTCTTTAATGATTGAATTCATGAGTCAATTAAAGTATAGACAACCATTGAAATCCTGGAAGCATTGGTTGGTTGTTTTATCCTAGTATGGGACTCCCACTCGTAGTGCGCATCCATGATCTGGTTTGTAGGATTCGAACCCAGGGTCGATCGGTCTTGCACATAAACGCTTAACTAACTATTCAATTACTAAAATCTTCACAAAATCGCTATCTGATAATAATAACCCGGTTAAAGTGTCGGACATTCACTTTTCGTCCTCTCAATTTTGTAAACAACACCCCCGCCACGAGAAAGCAGTGATTAGGACTTCCCTGATAGAGACTATATACGCTTGTCCATGTGAGAGCATTTCGAGAGGGTGAGCAGATTCTCCCCACTCTCGGCCATACCAGGGTATTTGGGAGCAGACGTTTTTTAGTATAATTGAATGATCTATTTTAGTATATAGTTAACCGGTGAACTATGTAATATTCTATCATTTTTGATGTCTGATCATATTTCGTTGAAACAGACAAACAAATTGGATCAGATTGGATCCTTTTAGTTTAATCAGTGAATTATCATGTTGTGTAGATTAAACTACAATGACAATTATATAGTATAGATATATGTATTATTTTAAACACGTAAACATTGGTACAAGAAGGTACTATAGATATATTGCGCCAGACTTCATCATTCCAATTATGTAAGGGCTGGACTACTGTTTGAACATCCAAATCAAAGCATGTAGTTTTCTTCGAGAGCCACTTCTCGAAGCATTAACCTACATGTCTAATCCATAAGGAAGTGGAACAACGTTAAGAGATTCACTCTTATACTAGCCGGTGACTGATAACAGGTTCATAGATCATTTGTTTTCTTAGGATCCTGTAACCCATTTCAACGATTGGCTTGGTATCAGGGTTTTCCAACTATTCTAGATGAATACTCTTAAACCAACGATCCGGTTAAAGTACCGAACATTTACTTTTCATCCTCTCAATTTTGTAAACAATACCCTCACCTAGAAGAAGGCAATCAGCAAGAATTCTCTGATAGTGGTTATATACATGTGGTCATTTAAGAGGCAACCCAGTTTTTTGCGCCAGTCATTCACATTTCATTCTCTTCATTTCATTAACAATATCTCTTTCACAATTAACCATTGAATAGAGAACTTCAATAGTAGTGACTGTGTATATATCACTATGTGAGAGTATTTCAAAAGGGATAACGAATTGTTTTCACCCTCAATCATAGGGGTAAATTCATATTGTTACCATTCCTCTTTTTATTGATTTCATTTGGTGATATGAATATTTTTGATTTTGTAATTTTATAATCTTTTCACTTGACTACAACTTGAAGTTATGATTGATTCATATGTATCTAAATTGGAATCTTTGATTTGCATTGAATCCATTGAATGTTTTTGTTTTGTATATGCTATTTGATTATAATGCATATATTACTTAGTTCCTTTCAATAGACATTCATCTATTAATGTTCTTTGTTTAATGGGGAATGAGTGAATTATTCAGCTAACTTAATCAATTCATGTGAATGTGAGATGTGTATTGAATGAATGTTTCCATGGTAACAGTCAATAATGAACAGGTTTTTTTTTCTTCATCTACAATGTAATGATTCATATTATCCTTAAATGTTTTTTTGGGGGGGGGAAATCTATTTTTAAACTTTTATCGAAAATTCTATTACTAACGGTAGAATAACTATTGTTATCAGGATAAAGTGATGGTGTGTTTGAAGTGAACGGTACTGAGTTCGAGTCTCAGAGTGTGAACATTAACAAGTTTGAAATGTAGATACATTTAGCTGACGAGTCGCAAAATAGAACGAAATGCGCATCAAACTGGATTTCACTGCTAGTCACTATCGATTGTTGCTTAAAAAAAATGCTTGTAACTTCAAACAACATTGAGACAGTCCACACAGGATACATATATGTCAACAAGAGACTGATCAATTACAGTCCTAAATAACAATCGGAAGATACAATTGAATAAGCAATGCTGTGTTTTTATCAGTATTGGGGTTGTGGAGATTATTAAGTTTTTGATTGAGATCATCAATCGACTGATGTTAGACCATCGTTGGAAAGCTGGAAGCACTGAACGGCCGTTTCGTTCTAGTATGGGACATCCCCAGTGGTAGTGCACATCCACGACATCGGTGGTCTAACATCAGTCGATTCATGATCTCAATCGAAAACTTAATAATCTCCACAACCCTAATACTGATAATCAACACGAAACCATGGACCCGGGTTTCGTGCTACTTGGCACTCGTCAGCAAGGTGTACCTGTAATCTTTGAGGGAACTGGTGCTCTCTGGCGGATTCGATCCCGTGTCACCCAGCTTCACAGTCAGAGACGTTACCACTGAGCTATCCGGGCCGCGACCGACCTCCTGTAGGACTGAGATGTAATCACAATTGATTGATCACTGGATAGTGACCAATGTCATGCGTGTCTAGTCCTTATTATTAGTGCAGATCGAATGCTATCGATCATGTTGCAATAAGGACTAGACACGTATGACATTGGTCACCCAGTGATCAATCAATTGTGATTGCTTATAACTTTATCAATCCTTATAATCTATCAAAATGAAATCTTTTATTGATTATCATTTAATAATAGAATGTTTGTAGTTAAGCCTTAATTTCTGATTGATTCTTTACTTTTATGAAACTAATAATAAACTCCCCGACCCCCCTCCCCATTGTTGATTGTTGTTGTTTTTTTTTTCTTTTTTTTTGTTGTTTTTGTTTTAGGTGAATTTCCTCAAGGATGTAATGCATTTAAAACAATTTCATCAAATATTGATATAGAAGAAAATGGATTAAAAACAAATTCTACAATATTAGAAATTTCTTATACACAAGTAAATATATTAGAATAATACGAGAGGGGGGGTATTATTATTTTTTTTTTCTTTTTTTGGGTGGATATTATAAGTCATTTCAATAATTGAAATCATAAGTTACTATGGAAAACAATTAGGAAGCATAAAATGGTCATTATGTTCTATTGTCGGATTCGTCAACAAATTTGTACTCAGGATCTATTGATCTTGTGTAGGAGTATTAAACTACTAGATTATTGAATTAACATTTAATGATGTTAATATCTAACTTGAACATTGAATTTTGTAAGATACAATTATGAATGAACACTACTGAAGTGTTTTACAATAGGATGAAACAGTAGTCCAGTTCTTCCAGATTCTTCATAATGAACTTATTTATTTATTTATTTATTTTAACACATAAGTATAGGTACAGGGAGGCACCAAATACATATGCGCCACACGAATCTCAAATGATTTGTGTGAGGGCTGTGATACTGCCCGGGTGCCCAAACCGAAGCAAGTGGTTTTCTTAGGGGGCCACTCCCCGAGCCTTTGACCTGAACGTCTGACCCACAAGGTAGTGGAGCATCGTGAGGAGATGCAGTCCCATGGTAGCCGGTGACCAACGATTGGTTCATATGCCATTTGTTCCCTAAGGATACTGGAGCCCATGTGCACCATTGGTTTGGGGTCCGGCTAAAGCGCCAGACATTCGCTTTTTGTCCTCTCATAATGACCTAGCTTCAATTGATTCATAATTATTTAGTAAATACAATAAATTTTAAAGTTATATTAAACTAAATTAAATTTATACAATCTATTATATACTACTGAAAAGGGATTGCTTAAAATATAGAGTTTAATGAACAATCCTACTGAGTAGTCTATGTATTCCTCCAGGAGGGTTAATATACGTAAGTTAGTAAATAAACTATATATTATATTGATAATCAGGTGAATTTTCTTTGTGTATCCTCTTTGCAAGATCGATCATCTACACGAATTCTCATGTTCCAAAAATCTTTAAAGTAGAACATCACGGGGGGGGGAGGAAAGTTTTTTAACGTAGAGAAAGTTACGAATTATCGGTCATAGATACTTTCAAAACATTGCTTGTGTATGTTATGACTACTGTATGAGCTACAGCAAGATTAAACACAGTGTAGTACGTACAGATGACAAATCGATTGATAAGGTGGTGTATTTTTATTTATGGAGGTGGTTAGGGTATTTATTATGTAAACTTAACTAACTATCGCTTTCGACGACTTGTGTTAGCTGGTATAGAAGTAGAAGTAGATTCGAAGAAACTTAAGGGGGGTAGCTAAATCAAAACATTATTATTATTTGAACACATAGATATTGGTACAAGGAGGTAACAAATACATATACACCACACAAATCTCATTTGATATGTGTGAAGGCTATGATACTGCTCGGGTGACCAAACCGAAACAGATGGTTTTCTTACGGGACCACATCACGAGCCTTCGACTTGAAGATCTGATCCACAAAGCAGTGAAGCATCGTAAGGAGATGTAGTCCCATGGTAGCCGGTGACCAACGATTGGTTCATATACCATTTATTCCTTCAGGATACTAGAGCTAGTCCATGTGCACCATTGGTTTAGGATCTAGTTAAAGCGTCGGATATTCGCTTTTCATCCTCTCAATTTCGTAGACAACACCACCGTCACGTGAAGGCAGTGAGTAGGACTTCCCTGGCAGAGGCTATATATACACTATATACCTTTCTATAGTCATTATGTCGTTAATGTTTATAGAATAGGTACAATAATGTATATATGTTTAACATTGTTTTTAATCTTTACTTTTCTTTAAGGAGAATTTATTAACCGATTTAAATGAAGCTGCATTAGCTTTAGAATCAGCTGGATTATATGAATGTATTCAACCAGTATATAATTTAATTATACCAGTATATGAATCTAAATGTCAATATAATAATTTAGCTCAAATTTATCATCATATTGGTCGAACTTATGAAGCAATCAATCGAATTGAATCTTATGGACATCGATTATTTGCAGCATATTATCGTGTTACATTTCATGGTCAAGTAAGTTATGTTCTTATTTGATTTAGATCATGAATTGATTGATGTTAGACTATTATTGAAAATCTGGAAGCCATAGATAGCTGTTTTGTTCTAATCTGTGTTGAGTAGAAACAGGTGTCTACCTTAATACAATGAAAGATGGTTGCATAATTTTGTTGGATTGATTGAGATTAGACATTAACATTGTTGGATACTGGCTAGCTTAGTGGTCCAGTAGGTTAAGTGTTCTCATGCGAGACTGAAGGCTTTGGGTTTGAATCCCATGAGTGGGATCGTGGATGCACACTGCTGAAGAGTCCAACAATCGGACGAAATAGTCATTTAATGCTTCTTTGGTTCTTTATAATGAATCTAGCTTCAATTAATTCATGATCTTAACTATTGAAATATAATTCTCATTATTCAATCTACATTAATTTGACTTTCAGTAAACGTGTTGTTATAGAGTTTTTACAAAAGAAAACAACTACTTTTCTTTATCCTTCCCTCTATCTCTCTCTCTCTGTCTTCGTCTTTGTGCATTTCTAGTTATTTGAATCAATGGCTGGTAAATCATTTATTTATCGTTCAAATCCATGTCAAAAATTAAATGAAAAATGTAATGAATTATTACAATTATATCGTCATAAATATGGTGAACAATCCATTGAATTAATAACAGATAATTTTATTAATCGATCAATATTAGATCCAATGAAAGCATATGTTCAAGTAAGTAATATGAATCTTTCTTTCTTTCTTTCTTTCTTTCTTTCTTATACATAATGTCTATTCTTCTTTGATCTGATAATGTTCTAGTGAAAGAAAGAGAGAGAGAGACAGAGAGAGAGTCTTCCATAATCAACTTACCTACACATATTGCTCCCAGTGGAACATAGACCTCCGACTAGTATTCTTCAACCGACTTTGTCCTAGGTCTTCTTTTCTAGACCCTAAATGCCCTGGTATAGTTGAGAGTGGGGAGAGTCCGCTCACCTTCTCGAAATGCTCTTAAATGTCCACGTCCATACAGCCACTGTCACAGAAGTCCTACTCATTACCTTCTCGTGGAGGGGGGTGTTGTTTTAACAAAAATGAGAGGACGAAAAGCGAATTTCCGGCGCTTTAACCTGGCTGGTAGACATGGGGAGTCCACCTAGGGGAATTGGAAAACCTTTATTCCAAACCAATGGTGCACATCAGCTGGCTCCAGGATCCTGAAAGAACAAATGGCGTATGAACATGTTGTTGATCACCGGCTACCATGGGACTGCATCTCCTGACGTTGCTCTACAGCTCTGCGAATTTGACCTTCAAGTCAAAGGCTCGAGGTGTGGCCCGTTAAGAAAATCACCTGCTTCTGTTTGGGTACCCGGGAAGTATTACAGCTTTCACACAAATCAAATGAGATTTGTGTGGTGCATATGTATTTGGTGCCTCCTTGTACCAATATTTATGTGCTCAAATAAATAAATAAAATAAATTTCTATTTCCATCCAATTGTTGTTCATTCTCATGTCTGTTTCCAGTTCTCGGCGTAATGTGTTCTTTGGTCTTTCTGTTCTCATTTGACCTTAAAGATTTCAGGTAAGGGTTTGCTTTATGATGCAGTTGGATGCTTTCATTTATGTGTATCCTATCCACTTCCAGCGCTTCTTTCTGATTTCTTCCTCCACTGGGATCTGATTTGTTCTCTCCCATAATTGGTTGTTGCTTATAGTGTCCGGCCAACGGATCCGAAGTATTTTGCGTAGACATTTGTTCATAAACACTTGTATCTTCTGAATGATGGCTTTCGTAGTTCTCCAAGTTTCCGCCCCATATAGTGGAACTGACTCAGATATGCGTTACCTCAAATCTCCATCCCTTATGAATAAAACGAGATTAAACTTAACAAAAATAGCAGAGTGAGAAGAACTAAATATTAAAACGATGATTCCTAAAAAAGAGCTGAAATGGTGTGTATAAAGGAGTATTCAGAGGTACGAACTACCTACAATATCATAGTTCATACAATTTCGAGTCACCTAGAAGAGTGGCTCTTCTATCGCACACACAACAATAAATGCAGGTAAAGACGACCAGTGTAGCTGCAGCCTCAGCAGCAATAGGTCTCAATATACACAAAGGGAAAAGCAAGATTCTTCGATACAACACAGCATGCACCAATCCAATCACAATTGACGGAGAAGCTTTGGAAGATGTAAAAACCTTTACATATTTGGGCAGCATCATCGATGAACACGGTGGATCTGATACAGATGTGAAGGCACGGATTGGCAAAGCAAGAGAAGCATATTTACAACTGAAGAACATCTGGAACTCAAAACAATTGGCAGCCAACACCAAAGTCAGAATTTTCAATACAAATGTCAAGGCAGTTCTATAGTATGGGGCGGAAACCTGGAAAACCACAAAAGCCATCATCTAAGAAGATACAGGCGTTTACTAACAGTTGTCTACGCAAAATACTTCGGATCCGTTTGCCGGACACTATTAGCAACCACCTTCTGTGGGAGAGAACAAATCAGATCCCAGTGGAGGAAGAAATCAGGAAGAAGCACTGGAAGTGGATAAGACACACAATGAGGAAAGCACCAAACTGCTTCACAAGACAAGCTCTCACATGGAATCCTCAAGGCCAAAGGAAAAGAGGAAGACCAATCCAAACACATTACGCTGAGAAATTGAGATAGACATGAGAAAAATGAACAAGAATTGGATAGAACTAGAATGGAAGGCCCAGGACAGAGTGGGTTGGAGAATACTGGTAGGTGGCCTATGCCCCATTAGGAGTAACAGGCGAAAGTTAGTAAGTAAGTAAGTAAGACTAGTAGCCACATTACAAATCGATCGACAGAATTCGATCTGCACTAAAAAAGAATTGATATACAACCCCAGTATTCATTCAATTGTAATTACATCTCAATCCTACAATAGATCAGTTGCCACCCGGACAACTCAATGGTAACATCTGTAACTGTGAAACTGGATGACACGAGGTCGAATCCTCCATTGACCATCATTTCCCTCAAGATTACAAGAACGCCTTGCTGATGAATGTCAAATGACACGAAACCTATGTCCAACGTTTCCTGTCAACTACCTTTAACTACCAGCTTATATTACTGACAACATTCGACAATCACTCTACTGTATCTAAATTTTAACAGAAGCTATATATCTAGACTAATGTTATCATACTGATACCATATATTTGCTACAAATCCTAAACTCTGTGAGAATGATGATATGTGGGGTTAACCATTGTTGAGGAGCCTCAAACTAGGACGAAGGATCTATTCATAGATCAGCGGGCTATCAGTCAGTGTTAAATCCACCGCCTACCTGGATGCTCGATGTTTTTAGGGGCAGGAACACGTTCGAATAAAACTAGGTTCAGCTAAGGTAAAACGTGGCACTAATCTACGAACTCACCACGTGTTTGACTTAACCGTGGTGGTGGGTCCAGATTACCTGATTTTGGTTCGCGCAATTGTCGTGACCAACAACTGTAGACGTTGGGCGAAATGGCCCAGAATCTATCGTAATAGCACAAATGCAATCATTGTTTTTACTTCACCTAGATATTGAGTTTTAAAATTATCTCTATTCCATGAATACATTCTCAAATCATATCATCTGTTTCCTATTCTTTACTACCACTGATACTATCATCAGTCCTATTACTATGGTGTTCGTCTTACATATTTCATCTGTTTGTACTGATGTGGTTTCGCAACTTGGATTCTACCTTGCTTGTGTCTGACTGGCTTTGGTAAATCTGATCGATATCTTTAGTTAATGATGTATTGCATAATATTTAACTGTTTTTACTCCTAACTAGATCATAGCTTATCCATTCAGACGAAAATGTAAATTGCTTCACTGAAGTCGTCAGACGTTAACACTGTTGGATACCGACCAGCTCAGTGGTCTAGAGGTTAAGCGTTCGCGCGCTCAAGATCGTTAGATCCCGGGTTCGAATCTCTCGAATATACTGTGCAGCCGTTCGTTCTGTTTTACCTTACGGCTGCGAAACATGGTCAATAAGAATAGGCTACTAATATTTGACCACAGATGCCTTAGAAATATTGCTCGCATCTGCTGGGATCACCGGGTAAGTAATAGTGAGGTTAAACAGCCATATCAAAACATGGCATCAGTGCTTGAAGTCACTAACTTCTGATCTGAGCCATGTTAGTAGATGCAGACTACTTTATTGGGGTCCGTGTGACTATGGTAACCAAGGGTTGGAGACTCTTGGTGACATGGCTCAGAATCGATTGCAGTGGCATCAGTGTATATACTCTCTGTCTTCCTTTAAACTAACAGATTAAAACTACTTTATATCTTTCTTTCTACGAACTAATGCTTCCTGTGTTACATCCTTATAGACAATCTTTCATTTATATATTACTACCATTGAAGTATCTACTTCTATGAATTCGGTTTTCATCTTGTTATACTGATGCGATATAGCAACTTAGACCGATGTATGTATGTACCTGGTCCCACGTTGTAGCTGACTGACTGACGAATAATAACTATAAAAATAGTTTTATAGTTATTATAATAGGCCGTGCGCATCCATGATCCGCCCCCTTCCCGATGAGATTCGTCAGTCAGTTCATCACTAAAACTATGATGAACTGACTGACGAATCTCACAGGGGGAGGGGCTGGATCATGGATGCCCACGGCCTATTATAATAACTATAAAAATATTTTTTGTGAAATCTATAAATGAACCCATTTCTTTGAATCCATGAATTCTTTATAACCTTCCATATATATTTTTTTAATCTATAGATTACTTATGTTGAACCATATAAAGAAATAAAAGAATCTGATAAAAAACCATTAAAATCTTATGAAAAACATCATGATATAAGACAATTTATGTTTGAATCACCATTTCTAAGACAATCAGGTAAGAACTTTACATATCGTCTTGATTATGTTTATGTTTTGGTGGTTGGTTGGTTGGTTTGTTTGTTCTGCGTCTAACAACTCTTCAAATTAAACTTCTTAATTTTGATGGAGTTTTGTTCTCTGAGCTGGATGGTTTGGTCGTGGAGCTTTCATCGTTCTTCTGAACGACATCATCAGCACAAATTTCAGACTTCTATCTGACCAAACCATCCAGCTCAGAGAACAAAACTCCATCAAAATCATCCACTTGAGCTACAAATCTTCTCCACCATCTCAAAAACTTCTTAATTGTTGTATGTAGTATTGGTTGCTATGTATTATTAGTTGTGTCCTATATACCTTGTTACGACTTTTACTTCCTCTAAATAGTCAAATTAGGTCATCTTCTCAGCATCAGTCGAGCGGCAAAGCCACTACAACGACACCAATCCAACGACCTCACTAAACCATTCAATCGGTAGTAGCGACGGGCGGTGTGTACAAAGGGCAGGGACGTAATCAGCGCAAGCTTATGACTTGCATTTACCAGGAATTCCTCGTTCACGGGGAATAATTGCAAGCCCAGATCCCAGTCACGACGGTGATGAAACAGTTTGCCCAACCCTTTCGGGCCAGGTTTCCAGACTCGCTGGCACTGTCATTGTAGCGCACGTGTGGCCCCGGACATCTAAGGGTATAATGTAACGATATCGTCAATTAGAGAGAGAGAGAGAGCAGTGAATTATCGATTGAATCAATGACACATAAACCCGTACGACAAGTCTAGAGTCCTGATAGGTTATGCTTCCTACCTAACTTAGCCAATTAAGTTCAGAACACCAATTTCAGCCTCTGCAATATGAATCATTATATTTTAAACATACTCGGTCTATATACCAATCAAACAGACCACATTGTACCAATAAAATAGGGAAAAATATTTGTACAAGAATTAGCCAAATGTGGCTGTCATTGAAGGAGGTAGTAATTGATAGACCGGGCATAATTCAAGAATGGTAAATCGTATAATAGTCATTCATAGGTCAAAATAAAGCTCATAATAAAAGGAATATGAATATGAATAGTTGAGTTACTTAACAATTATACAACATAGTACTCGTTCATAAATGGATCCCAAAAGTTATCATTCATTATGCTTATTGGGACCTAACACTATGTTAAGCTCATATAGTTTATTCTAGCCTTCGGATAGGTCGATTTATTCATCCTTCTTGAGTCACATTTTGGCCTTGTTAATTAATCCTGATTGTATTTATATGATCGTGTGTGTGTGTGTGTGTACACTTCTTATTCTATTCATCATATATCTGTAGCTTATTTTTGTGTTGATTAATGCTTGATTAAATCGAGTTGGTTTATGAGCCTTCTCTACTGCGCATCATTTCTCTATGGTCACTTCTATTCACTTCATCCTTCTCATTTCCTGTTCAGATCAGTGAGTGTACAAAATTCATTCACGTTATTGACTAACTCGATCTAAGTCGATAATTATATACGAGGAATTATTTATTTGAACACATAACTATTGGTACAAGAGGGCATCAAATATATATGCGCCATACAAATCTCATTTGATTTGTATGAAGGCTGTGATACTGCCCGGATGCCCAGACCGAAGCAGGTGGTTTGCTTAGGAGTCCACATCCCGAGCCTTTGACATAAAGGTCTGATACACAAGGCAGTGGAGCATCGTAAGGAGATACAGTCCCATGGTAGCCGGTGATCAACAATTGGTTCATATGCCATTTGTTCCTTCAGGATACTGGAACCAACTCATGTGCACCATTGGTTTGAAAGCAAGGTTTTCCAACTCTCCTTGATGAACTCTCCATGTCCACCGACCCGGTTAAAGCGCCGGACATTCGCTTTTCATAAGCAATACCACAACCACGAGAAGTAAGTGAGTAGGACTTCTGGCAAAGGCTATATACGCGTGTCCATGTGAGAGCATTTCGAGAGGGAGGGCTGGCCCACCCCACTTTCGGCCATACCAGAGCACTTGGGGGTATGCAAAGAATAACAATTAGATATGATCAAACTGGAGTCAGATACTGAGATATTAAAGTGATGATCCCGTTGACAACATCGTCTGATCTAAAATTGATAAAATAAAGGGCTTCCCTAAAGTATTATATAGGTTAAGACCCACTTAGCCAGTCAATAATAGACATACCTATTTATTTATGATACTATTTAATAAGACAATAAGTAACCTATAAAAAGCATATTTTTGATTGAGATCATGAACTGATTGATGTTAGACCATCATTGAAAACCTGGAAGCACTGGATGGTCGTCTAGTTCATGATTTCAGTCAGAAACTTAACAATCTCCACAACCACTTAGACTGATACAAAGCATATTGTTCAATTACTTATTTGTTAACTATCATATTCATTGCTCGTATATCCTGGGACTAACGAGTAAGTAAGGCAGTTGTTACGAAACGGGTACTAGGTAAGAATGGCAGATCAATTGATGAACTAGTGAAACTTCATCAGTTGAGATGGATAGGACATGTGTTACGCATGCCCAACCACCGACTGCCCCGACGTGCGATGTTTTATGTTGTAGGAGTAGGTTGAAAGAAAGCTAGGGGGTGGCCAGACCAAAACATAGTACAAATCCATGAAGTCATTGACAAGTGGACTGAGACATGTTGTTAGGTGTAGAGTACTTGGTTTAGATCCGCGAGACGATTAAAACTGATGGTTAGAGATCTTGAAGGATATAGCTCAAAATCGTTTGCAATAGCGCAGTGGTGCATCCACTCTTTTTGTTCGCCCAAATTCTAATCTTCTGAATTCTTCATGTCCCTTTTTTTTTCTCTTTCTCTTTCAAACTCTAATCTTTCCGATTACTGCTCATACTTTTACTACCTCTACCATTATGGGACTTGAATCCATAACTGAATCTCTGTGCTAATATGGTATGGCAATTTGAACTGATGTACGTACGTACAAAGTTCTACGTTGTTGTTGACTAACTGACTGACTAATTCGGTTGTGAATCGTTTATTAGGAGAAGTGAAGTGATTCCAATCTGTGTATACCAATATCGATTGAGTATCCAATCTAGTCATAATGTATTAATCCATATTCACTTGAATTATAGACATATAATCAAATTTATGATGGATCATATTATAACCTATTATAACAGGATGATATAATCTATTATGTGACCTTTTTTCTGACCTTTTTATGCTTCATGGTAACTCTTTTGATTATAATATATACTTAAAAGATTATCCCTGTTTGCTTATATTACTCTTTATGTATATGTCTGATCTTTATCTGTCCATATATTGATTTCTTCTTTGTAGATAGGTTTGACCTCGTCAAATCCCCATCTATCTGTATTGACTCATGTATAAAATATGCATATCTATAGGACTATTGTATCTGACTTATTTCCCGTTATTCATTAATATAATAAGGTCGATGAATTAAGGAATTATATTTCAGAAGGAGTTCTGTGGAGATTTTAGTAATTGCAGTAGTTGAAATTATGAGTCAGTTGAAGCTAGACCTCCACCATGGAAAACCTGGAAGCACTGGACAGCCGTTTCATCCTAGTATGGGACTACTCAGTGGTAGTGCGCATCCACCAGGTCTGTTGTGAGATATCAGCTCACTTAAGACAATGGTGACGGTGGCGTAGTTTCGTGGATTGGTTGAAGTTAGATATTAACATTGTTGGATGCCGGCCAGCTCAATGGTCTGATAGTTAATCGCTCGCGCGCAAGACTAATAGTTCCTTAGATGGTGGTTTCGTGCTACTTGGCACTCGTCAGCAAGGTGTACCTGTAATCTTGTGGGAACTGGTGCTCCCTGACGGATTCGATCCTGTGTCACCCAGCTTCACAGTCAGACATGTTACCACTGAGCTATCCAGGCCTCGACCGACCTCCTGTAGGACCGAGATGTAATCACAATTGATTGATCACTGGATGGTGACCAATGTCATGCGTGTCTAGTTCTTATTAGTGCAGATCGAATGCTATCGACCATGTTGCAATATGGCCACTAGTCTAGGTGACTGATAGTTCCTGGGTTCGAATCTCGCGAGGTGGGATCGTGGGTGCGCACTGTAAACTGCTTCCTGATCCAAATCATAATGATTCAAGTGATAATGATGTTAACGACTGAATCTACCGATTAAATAAGAAAATATAGTGCACAGATTGAATGGCAACTAATCCATATGGCTAGTTGTGCAGTTAATAACAAGACAACTGTTGTTGTTCATTCAAATTCAACGATCTTTCATTATTACTTTGTATAATAAGTGATATAGCATTTAGGGGATCTACAGTGCTAACCTTACAAATGTAGACTTCTAATATTCTTTTTTCATAAATGATGGAATTCGTCTGTTTTAATAATCTTGAATAAGATTTGTTATATTAGGGCTGTTACTCCTTGAAGACTATGAATTCATTGGCATTCAAAGTTATTCGAGATGTAATTGACTTCCTCATATTGACTCTTCATTAAGTTGTGGATTTGATTTCTACAATCCAATAACGATTTAAGGATTAAACAAATATGAAATTGATCATTAGTCAATGAATGAATGATCACTTCATTCCTATAACAGATCAGGTTTTGGCTTTAATAACTTCATGTTGAGATCTCAGATCGTTCAACAGCTTGTTGTAGGTTCAGATTCTACAGGGAGAGTATTAATTCCTACTGACTATCTTTAATTCAATTAACATTATGTATATCTTCTTATAAACTCCATGTTTATCAAGATTACTATATTGACTTTTTGAATAGGTTTATCTACAGAAGAATGTCTATTAGCATCAGGTCCAAAACAAAGTGACGATTTAACTATTCAATGGAAACGTCGTACAATATTAACTACTGAAGCAACATTTCCACATATACGTCGTCGACTTGAAATTATACAAGTAACAGAGATTGATTTCACTCCAATTGATTCAGCAATAGATGCTATTCAAGTAAGTCAAAATAGAATATAAACTATTTCGTTTTCTTTTAGACTTCTTTGATATTTATATCATTTTATAATTCAATTATTCTCATAATTGTTCATTGTCTTATATATACTCCTTAACGATCTACCTTTAAGACTTGGGCATTAGTGTATATTTTTTGTTCAAAACCCGAGAAAGATTGACTCGCAAGGAGCAGGCTGGGTTTCGTTCTGGTCGAGGATGTATTGATCATATCTTCACCCTCCACCAAATGTTAGAACACCGTCATACTTATCAAAGGCCAACAATCGTAGTGTTTCTTGACATCAGGGCTGCCTTCGATTCGTTGGACAGAACTGTTCTCTGGGAATGTCTATTGAAGAAGGGTGTGCCTGAAAAGTTTATTAACATCCTAAAAGCCGTATACACAAACACTTCAGGCAAAGTGAGGGTATCCAACCACCTTTCTCCATTATTCCATTCGAGCAGTGGGGTTAGACAGGGTTGCCCAATCTCACCATTCCTCTTCAACTTTGCCATCGACGACATTCTAGAAAGAGCTCTGATGGATGTAAATAATGGTGGTGTGGATCTATTGCCTGGAGAAAGACTTCTTGACCTTGAGTATGCGGATGATATTGTTTTACTGTGCGATAATGCCCAAGCCATGCAATCCGCACTTAATCAGTTGGCAATCAATGTCCGTAGGTGTGATATGTGCTTTGCACCTTCGAAGTGCAAAGTACTTCTACAAGACTGGCAGGATTTTAATCCTGTACTCACTCTGGATGGTGAGCAGATAGAAGTTGTCGAGATGTTTGTGTATCTAGGTAGCTGCATAAGTGCTGGTGGTGGTGTGAGTGATGAGATCAATGCACGTATAGTGAAAGCCAGAGCGGCTTATGCCAATCTGGGCCATCTTTGGCGCCTTCGTGATGTTAGACTGGCTGTAAAAGGTTGGATCTACAACGCGTCGGTGAGAGCAGTTTTGCTCTATGCTTGTGAAACCTGGCCTCTCCGAGTTGAGGATGTTAGACGACTCTCTGTGTTTGATCATCGTTGTCTCCGAAGGATTGCTGGCATCCAGTGGCAACACCATATTAGTAATGTACCCCTTCCATAATCCTGCTTCGGTTTGGGCACCCGGGCAGTATCACAGCCCTCACACAAATCAATTGAGATTTGTGTGGCGCATATGTATTTGGTGCCTCCGTGTACCTATACTTGTGTTAAAATAAATAAATAATATTAGTAATGCAGAGGTTCAGCATCATGTGTTCGGGCACAGAGACGACAATCCAATCGGTGTCATCGTCTTGAAACATGGAATTCGGTGGCTTGGATATGTTTTATGAATGTCGTCCCAGAGAATTCCACGTCGTGCATTATTATCAGATATGGGTCAGAATAGGAGCCGATGGCGATCCTGCTGTAACCTTCGTTTACTTTCTTCATAAAAAGTGGTTGCTCCTTCCTTAACTGAAAGATTTTTTCTTATTATCATTCTCTCGACAAAATCAGTTTCAAAGTGCCAAGATTCGTCCCATACGATTTCTTGTGTTTTTACCTTGTTTATTTACTGTTATAGTAATATTGAATTGGAGTGAACTTCAGGGAACTTTGCAGTCAGTCGCGCGCGAACGCTTAACCACTAGACCACTGAGCTGGCCGGTATCCAACGGTGTTAATGTCTAACTCTGACTAATCCACAAAATTGAGCGACACATCCACCATTGTCATCATTGAGTTACTATCTCACAACAGACCCCGTTGAACTCCACTTGTCACTGTTTCAAGTAAGAAGCAATCAGATAGTAACTCACTGAAGACATTGATGGATGTGTCACTTAATTTTGTGGATTGGTTGATGTTAGACATTAACACCGTTGGATACCGGCCAGCTCAGTGGTCTAGTGGTTAAGTGCTCGCGCGAGAGACTTTTAAGAACCTCGGTTCGAATCTCGTGAGACGAGTGGGTGGATGCACACTGCTACTGAGGAGTCTCACAATAGGATGAAACGGTCGTCTAGTATTTCCACGTTTTCCATGATGATCTAGCTTTAATTGACTCATGATCATGACTATAATATCCACAAAAAAACCCTTCTGATATATATGATTAGTTTGATATTTTCGTTAGAATCCATATGTGATATATATATCCGATGTGTTGATTATCCACCACTAGATGATATGTCACTGTTTATTGTATTCTTTTCCGAAAGCCTTAAAGATGTTCCATGTGATAGTTGGGAGAGAACGTTGAAAGATATTGTATGATTAGCTATCGTTATGTAATGAAGTATTTGTTTTTGTTCATGACTATCCAGTTATTATTATTATTATTATTATTTCTTATTTATACAGTGTAAAAATCAAGAATTAATGAACCATGTAATAACTCTATGTAATAATCTATCCATTTGTCATCATTCAGGTTAGTTATATTAAATGACTTTTATATATCAGATTAGATAGTTTCTATTCTAAAAGATGGAATGTATCATTTTTTTCATGAATGTTTATTTATTTATTTATTTATTTATTTATTTGAATATATAAATATTGGTACAAAGATCGGGGGGGGGAGGGGAAACGAATATATATGCGCTACACAAGTCAATTGATTTATATGTGAGCTATCCTACTGTCTGGGTGCTTAAACCGAAGCAGATGGTTTCCTACAGGGGTCACTCCCTGAGCTTTTGACTTAAAGGTTTGATCCTCAAGGCAGTTGAGCAACGTCGGGAGAAGCAGTCCTATAGTAGCTGGTGATCAATAATTGATTCATCAGCCATTTACTTTCTTAGGATCCTATAACCGATATGCATCATTGATTTGAAATAAGAGTTTTCAAACTCTCCTAGATGGACTCTCTGTGTTCTCTAACCCGGTTAAAGAACCGGACATTCGTTTTTCGTCCTCTCAACTTCGTAAACAACACGCCAATAGTAAGAAGTTAATGAGTAGGACTTTCCTGACAGTGTCTGCATACGCGTGACCATGTAAGAATATTTCGAGAGAGAGAGAGAGAGAACTGACTCTCTTCACCTTTGATCGTATCAGAGAATTTGGAGGCTTCCCTGAATGAACTAAGATTAATGAACAAAAAGATCATTTCATTTGAATATTTCATACGTGTTAACCTTAATCATTACAGTATTGTTGAAGTTAAGTTGAATTAATGAATATTGTCTCTTTATCGAATACTGTTTATCAAACATATTGAGTTTGTTCTCATAAGATATAATCGTACTGCTAAGAATTTCATCTGAATTAATCATATATATATCGCTTCTCGGCTCTCTGAGCTAAGATCATGTGTAGTATCTGTTCTTTGCAGTGTATTTTTTGCAACGGTCTCTAAACTGAGATCAATGAAATTACCTGTATTTTTCACCTCCGGACGGCTGCTGTGAGCTTGCTCAACCCCGTCCACGGGTCAGCCTCGTATTGCATTACCTCGAGGATTGGCCCATTAATATTTTTTGCCCCCAAATGCCCTGGTATGTCCGAGAGTGCGGTGGGTTCGCCCTCCCTCTCGAAATACTCTCACATGGTCACGCGTATATAGCCTCTGTCAGGGAAGTCCTACTCATTGCCTTCTCTTGGCGGGGGTGTTGTTTACGAAATGAGAGGACGAAAAGCGAACGTCCGGCGCTATAACCGGATCCCAATTCTATGGTGCACATGGGCTCCAGTATACTGCGGGAACAAATGGCGTATGAACCAATTTCTTGGTCACCGGCTACCATGGGACTGCATCTCCTCACGATGCTCCACTGCCTTGTGGATCATATGTTTAGGTCAAAGTCTCGGGCTGTGACCCCCTAAGAAAACCTTCTTCGGTCTGGGCACCCGGGCAGTACCGCAGCCTACACACAAATCAAATGAGATCTGTGTGGCGCATATGTATTTGGTGCCTCCTTGTACCAATATCTGTGTTAAAATAAATAAAATAATACATATATATAATAAATAAATAATATATTTGTAATATCCCAATGATTTGAATAATTTTTTCTGGTTAGCGTTTTTTTAGCGAGTTAGTTTTCTACGGGATGGGGTCGCTAACCCCATGCCCAACCCTCCTCCTTTATCCGGGCTTGGGACCGGCAGTAGCCCCCGGAAAGGGACTCCAGGCGGAGAGAAGTGGCTTACACTAAGTCACGAAACGTCAGAAAATCTAATTTTCTACTCATTGGGATATTACAAATATATTATTTATTTATAACAATCAACCCAATGCTCAATTTATTCGAAATTATCAAATCATATATATAATAGTTTTCTTATTTATCAGTTTATAAGTAGTATATCTCTAAATGTTTATATTCTTGATTTGATGCGTATAACTTGAGCATTTGATCGCTACAACCCTTCCAAGTCACAATGAGAAGATAGAAGACTAATAAAAAGAATGTTATTTCAAACAGTTTCGATTATAGTACAATACTGTCAGGTATTTATACATTTTAGCAAGACCGAAATCATTATTACAGCTGTCCAATCCGTACACAGGGGGGTGATTAGCATTGTCCAATTGAGAAGTTACACATAGGGATTCTAGAATATTCTTTCAAAAGATGATTGAACAGAACTCTTTAACTCAATGTTGAATGTATAAGTCTGTGCAATTGATCAATCACTGAGTAGTTACAATTGTTGTTTGTCTAGTTATATGGTGTTAATCAAACTTTATTAGTGTAACGTGGTGTCGAGGCGCGATTGACTATGAACACCACTACAAGAAAACTACATGCCAATTAACCAATAAGATCCCCGTAAGCCAATATCAGAAGAGAGATGATAGCTTTAGTCGAGATGTATTTGTTGGCGATGTCGTAGTATCGAAAGGATACCGAGATCGTGCCGAAGAAGTACAAGCGTGGTAACTGAGCGCAACTGACTTTAAAGTCAACGGGAGAGTAAGTGTAATGGCCGTCATTAGCATAGTTAAACAAACGAGCACAGTAAAACAGTCACTGGTACAATTGGTTATAATAATAATTGTTTTCATTGAACCAATCGCGTTCTGTTGACAAAAATAGGTCACTACATTAGTATCTAGGTTCAGGATTGCCTTTTCATTGTGTTTATTATAACTTGCGGCTTATGTGCCCTATTATTGCATAACGTAATGATATCGTCAATTAGAGAACAGTGATTTATCGATCGGATCAATGATGCGTAAACCTGTATAAGCAGTCTACAATCCTTATTGGTCTCATTTCCTGTCTAGCCAAGCCAGTTAAGTCCAGAACACCAATCCGATTCTCTGCGATATGAATCATTTATTTCAAGCATACTGGATTTATATACACTAACCAAACAAACCACATCGTACTATAATATAGGGAACAATATTTATACAAGAATTAGTCAAATGTGGCTGTGAACGTGGGAGGTAGTAATTGATAGTCTGGGGCATAACTCCAGAATGTTAAATCGTATAATCATAGTTCATAGATCAAAATAAAGTTTATAGTAAGAGGGACATGAATATGCAGATAGTACTCATAGTATTAATCCATAAATGGATTCCAATAGTAACCATTCATAGTTCTTATCGGGATATAACAGTGTTCAATCATCTAACTTAGAAATCATCAACTAATCTTAGTTGGATAACCATTAAAAAACCTGGAGATATCAAATGGTTATTTCGTACTAGAATGAGATTCCTCAGCATTTCACATCTAATCCATAATATAAATCTGTATTTAGTAAATGAGTTACTAATGGGTGGATGTGTGTGTGTGTGTGTGTTGGGGGGGGGTCTTTTCTCTAATAGATGCTTGTTTTTGTGATGAATATTTTCTTCTTTTCTCTCATTTTTGTTGTTTTAATTTTCTTTATTCATGTTTTAAATTATAATAATCTCGCGGGGTGCGAGGTCGTAGATGTGCATGGCTGAGGAGTCCCACAATAGGACGAAACGGCCGTTCAGTGCTTGCAGGTTTTTCATAGTGGTCTACCTTCAACTGACTCATGATCTTAACCATTGAAATTATTATAATATCCACAAAACTCCTGATATTAATCGACATATGCTCACTAGTGACTGGCTTCAAGAAGTATTTCGTGAAAATCTAGCGAGAAGTAGTGACCAGTGGAGTTCAACTAGATCTGTTGTGAGATAGTAACTCAATGATGACAATGGTGGATGTGTCACTCAATTTTGCAGATTAGTTAAAATTAGACATTAACACCGTTGGGTGCCGACCAGCTCAGTGGTCTAGGGGTTAAGTGTTCGCTCGCCAGACTGATAGGTCCTGGGTTCGAATCTTGTGAGGCGGGGTCGTGGATGCACACTGCTGAGAATTCCCACAATAGGACGAAACAGCCATCCAGTGCTTCCAGGTTTTCCGTAGTGATCTAATTTCAACTAACTCATGATTTCAACCATTGAAATAAAAAAAAAAAGGATTAAAACTGAAATAATCTGTAATTTGTTATTTGTTCATACATACAAACTATTTACTAAGGTAAAATGTAACATTATTGATTGATTTACTTTTCGGTAAAACAAACAACACAATCCATAAAACTTTGTATGCTATACACTAACCCTCCCTCTCCCCCTCTCCACCAAACTGACTCCTTGAGTGAGAACGTAAGATTAAGTGAGAAAGTGTATTGGTCTACCGAATGAAATGAATAAATACAACCCTGTTCTAAGAAAATAGACCCATTAACCGAATTAGATATAGTTGACCTTTAAGTGACTACTGATTACCATCGATTGATACTTTCATTAGGCTCATTCTGATTAGTTCTCTATATGACATGTATGGATGTGTTCAAGGAATCTGAAATCATGTTGATAGTGAGACTATTATTACCAATGACATTAAATGTTCGTCGTGGTACATAACTAAGAGATATGAGCTGGAAATATTAATTATTAAATCTACAATTGTGAAGACGTTCCACGGGTGAACTCGAAGAACGTCAGAAAGAACCGAATATATTCCATCCGATCATCTTTTGGAAGGATATTCTAGAATCCTTATGTGTAGCTTCCCAAATGGACAATGCTAATCAGCCCCCTGTGTACGGATTGGACATCTGTAATGATGATTTCGTTCTTGCTAAAAAGTATAAATATCTGAAAGTTTTGTACTATAACTGACACTGTTTGGAATAACATTCCTTTCACTTGTCTACTATCTTCTCATCTGCGACTTGGAAGGGTTGTAGCGTTTAAGTGTTCAAGTTATGCGCGGCACATTAAGAATCTAAGCTCTAGATATAACAAATGGTGACGGATTGTCTTATCAAGATGTCATTTACCTTTGAACAATTTTGAGTCTTGGTGGAGCGTCAAGAAAAACGTTTCGAACAGTTCCACATTAGTATTATAGAGACGCTAAGCCAGCAGATGAACCTGAATCAAAAAGAAGTTACAGATGATCCTTTCAAATCTCATGTCGACCACATTATTAATTGTATCCATGAATTTAATTTCGATGGGTTGGCTGGCATTAATTTTGAAACCTGGTTCAAGAAATATGTAGATTTGTTCAAGGTTGACCTCAGAAAACTTGATGATCCGCCAAGGTCAGAATACTCTTAAGAAAACATGGCACGGTTGAACATGAACATTACAGTAACTTTATCCTTCCAAAGAACACCCAAGAGATTTTTCTTTTGATGCAACGATTGATATTTTGCCGCAAATCTTTGCTGAACAGTCACCCTTGTTGATTATTCGTTATCAATGTCTCAAGATAACAAAAGCAGGTGATGATGACTGGGTGAAGCATGTGAGTTTAGTAAACCGTGAGTGTGAGCAGTTCAACCTATCAGCAATGACAGAAAATCAGCTTAAGTGTCTCGTGTTTGCGTGCAGCCTCCGATCTCCCGAAGATGCTGATATTAGAACCAGAATTTTGAGTAAAATTGAACAATATTCGAATATAACACTACAGGAAGTAACCACGGAGTGCCAGAGATTGGTAAACTTGAAATACGACACTTCCATGATTGAAAATAATAGCCGGTTGCCATACGTTCATGCTGTAAGTGGAAAGAAAGATACCGGCTCAAGAAAATCATCACACACAGACAATCAGCCCTCATCTCCATGTTGGTCGTGTGGAGGATGGCACTATAAAAAGTTCTGCCCATATACAGAACATTATTGCAGTAAATGTCACCGAAAGGGCCATAAAGAAAACAGATGCAGAAAAACAACCCATAAACGACATTCTTCGAAGCCCTATCTCAAGAAATACAGATCTGGTGGTGCATGAACTAACAAAATATTAGAATCATATAACCGAGCACGAATTTACCACCAAAGGAAGTATGTAACCTTAGATATTAATAAACAACGTACTCGCCTGCAACTTGATACAGCATTTGATATTACTGTAATCAGTCGAAGAAACGGGAGGCATAATGAAAAACCCCAGGTGCTCCCAACAACCGCATTACCTTATAGTACACCTGGAGGGAAGTTAAATATTGTTGGAGAGGTTTGTTGTACAGTTTCAAAAGGAAATACGAAGACGAATCCAGGACTAGATTTGCTGGGTATAGACCTAATAGAAACACTACAACTAACAAACCACTCCACTAATCATATATACAATTGCGTGAGAACCAACAAACCAGAGGACAAGAGTCTCGGGAATGTTGTTTAGGAGAAACACAGACAAGTGTTCATGGAAGAACTGAAGGAATGCAAAAATGTTAAAGAAGAGGAAGTGCTTATAGCTGCCGTAGATATTGAGCCTGAGGTTCACACAGTATTGGCAGACGCAGTTTCCGTACTTCCGGTCACATTTGAAGCCATTAAAAAAGCTAGTGAGAAGAATGATGCGTTAAAGATTCTTTGACAGTTGTCGATTCGTGCATTTGTGGTAAATCCATTCAACTACTGTATTATTTATCTGCTCACTGTAATTTAGACACTTAATCCACTATAGAACAGAAATGTCGCAGTTGTTGGTCCTGTGTAGAGGCCACAACGAACCCAACTAAAGCTGAACCATAACTATGGCCAAAACTGGACGGGCGTTGGCTAAGAATACGCTCTGATTTCGACGGACCAATACAGCGCAGAAGTTACATGGATGTTGTCGATGTTCTCAAAAAATGAGGAGCTGTATATATCTATTATTTCTCGACTCTGGCACCGGCTGTTTCAATGTCATATTAATCTAGGCAGTGCAAATCTATATGATAAAATTCAATAAATAGACTAAACATTTGGGTATAATACTTCAAGCTTCTTGATTTGAGTCAATATGAAGATTGTAATCAATGAGATTGTATTCTTCCAATGTAAACATCAAAACAATCCCATTTAATCGAAATTATTCACTTAGAGGAAGTTTTCTTCACAAAGTAAATTCAGAGGTACATGGAACTTGTGTATTATTTTAGGTCAAAAAGTTATTCTCTATAATCACCTTCTAGTGTATAAGCAATGGGGATCTCTTTCTTCAAGTTTCTTCATAACTCTGATACAATCAAATCGCTGAATAATCGTTTCATTAATCAATACTTCCATCAATTCATCATAGTGTATCTTCTTCATTCATTGTTTTCATTAGCGATTTATTGTTTCTGATTGAGATTTTGAACCGATTGATCTGAAACTATCATTGAAAACCTTGAATCACTGATTTGACGTTTCGTCCTTTTGTGGGACTCTTCAGCAGTGTTCATCTATCTACCTTAGTACAAACGAAAATGATCGCATAATTTCGTGGATTGTTTGAAGTTAGATATAAACACCATTGAATGCCGGCTATGTCAGTGGTCTAGTGTTTAAGCTCTCACGGCGGGGGGGGGGTCGTGGATGCGCACTGTCACTGAGGAGTCTCACAATAGAACGAAACAATCGTCCAGTGATTCCAAGTTTTCAATGGCTATCTAACATCAATTAGTTGAAGATCATAATCAATCACTTAATAATCTCCATAATCCAATATACTAATCATTTACTGTTTGATCATGACTACTCATATTGTATGTTTACATCAATATTTTACTATAAGTAGTATATCATCTAATTTTCTAATTATTCTTTTGTTATTTTTTTTATAGCTAATCCAACATTGAATGAAGATAAACATGTCTCTATCAATAGGATTAGTTTACATTCACCTATTCTAATAACAAATCCTTCTTCAAATATTCCGAATCTCATAACAACAACAACAAGAACAACAACCACTACTACTACTACTACTACCAATCATACTACTAATACTATAAATAATAGTAGTATTAATGAAAATAATTCAAAAATATCTTCTTATAAAATACCATTATTAATGGATATGCAATTACAAGGTGCATTATTACCTACAGTGAATGCTGGTCCAATGGCTTATGCTCAAGCATTTTTAAAAGTGGAAAATCAATCATTATATCCTATCAATAAAGTGAATCGATTGAAAGAGTTATTTTTGTAAGTGAATATGATTGTTTCTTTGTTGCGGGGGGGGGGTTTGGGTTGTGTGGTTAAAGGGATTAAGCTTTAAGTTTTATATGTACAATATTACTCGTAGAGATTTAATGAGAATCTGTAACCAATGAAGTTCAACCATGTTGAGTGCCCCCAAATGCCCTGGTATGACTGAGAGTAAAGCGGGCCCTCCTTCTTCCTTATTGAAATGTTCTCACAGCCACGCGTATGCAGCCTTTGCCAGGGAAGTCCTACTTATTGCCTTCTCGTGGCAGGGGTGTTGTTTACGAAAATCAGAGAACGAAAAGCGAATATCCGGCTTTTTAACCGGGTTGATGGAGATGGAGAGTCCACCTAGAGGAGTTGGAAAACCTTGATTCCAAACCAACAGTGCATGTCGGCTGGCTCCAGTATCCTGAAGTAAAAGACGGAGTATAAATCAATCGTTGGTCACCGGTTACCGTGGGACTGCATCTCCTCACAAAGCTGCACTGCCTTGTGGATCAGACCACTAGGTCAAAGGTTCGGGGTGTGGGGCCCCCTAAGCATACCACTTGTTTTGTTTTGGGCACCCGAGCAGTATCACAGCCCATACACAAATAAAATTTTGTGTGGCGCATATATATTTGGCGCCCTCTTGTACCAATATTTCTGTCTTCCAATAAATAAATAAATAACCATGTTGAGTGTGAAATAGTTTGTCCATTGAAGACAATGGGAAACGGGTGTATAATATTTTAGATTAGTTAAAGTTTAGACATTAGCACTGTTGGATCTCATCTCCGAGTTCATGAGAGACTTCACGTTTTGGATTTGATTTCGGTGAGTGAGGTTGTTTATATTCACTGCTGAAGATTTTTCACACTAGAACGAAATGGCCTTTCAATGTTTTCACGTTTTTAATGGTGATCTACAATTGTTCAGTTCATGATTTCGATAAAACTTAACAAGCTTCACAAACCTGTACTGACAAATATATACTTTTTTGATCTCAGATAGGTTGTTTGCTTTAATATTAATGTTTAGTTATTTATTTGAAGACATAAATGTTGGTATAAAGGGTCACCGAATACATATGCGCTACACAAGTCACTTGATTTGTGTGTGAGGTATGATACTTCTCGGGTGCCCAAACCGAAGCAGATGGTTTTCTTAGGAGGCCACATCCGGAGCCTTCGACCTAAGGGTCTGATCGTCAAGGTGGTGGAGCGATGTCGGGAGATGCGATCCCATGATGGCCAGTGATCAATAATTGGTTCATACGCCATTTGTTCCTTCAGGATACTGGAATCCGTGTCCATCAATCAGGTTAAAACGCCGGACATTCGCTTTTCGTCCTCTCAGTTTCGTAAACAAAACCCCAGTGATGTGAAGGTAATGAGTAGGACTCCTCTGTCAGTGATTGTATGAACGTAACCACTTTAGAGCGTTTGGAGAGGGAGAGTGAACTCTCCACCACTTTGGCCGTACCAGGGCATTTAGGGACAATGTTTATACTGCTCTTCTATATTATTCCTTGGTAATTAGTTAGTAATGGGAGGTGCACTGTGACAATATACCATCTGTACTTGTTATAATTCTAAAAAGCGATTTGAATAGTAGATCGAAAGAAACGTAAGCAGGATAGTCATATCAAGTTTTGACAACTTCTTATGAAATCACCAGTTGTTTAACAGAACCGTAGGTAGGGATGCATCAGTTTGTTGGGATTCTCACAATTATCATAATTAATGATTAGTAGAAATTCATTTATCCATTATCCCGATTATTGTTGCTACCTTGACATGGTGGTTTGGCTTGCGTATCGTGATGAAGCAACCGAACTTTACCGTCTGGAATAACCGTTCCTCAAGATCCTAACATGCCAGACAAGTTGGTTGAAGGGTGGTAAGACTAAAACCAACAAACCCAAGGTCTTAGGACGAAGTCGTACTGCTGACTGTACAGAGGTGTGACAGCAGTAAGGTGTTTTCTTCAGACAACCGGCATAAAAGTGATGCTGCCTTCCCACAAAGAAGGGGAGGGTTGAAAAAGGTCGACCCTAAAGTTGCCCACCTCGTCTTGCCCCAAAGATATCCGTCTTTAGCGGTAAGGTCTCAACAAGTACGGATCTAACACGAAAATCACCCAGAACTAGGTCTTGTATGACCGACCTCAAGCAGTTATCCCTTTGGGCACTCAGGTTACTAAGACCACCTCTAATCTAATTTCCTTGTTAGGAAAAACCCTTTCACAATGTGGGCAACCAGGAAGTGATAATCGCCACCATACTCTCTTTAATCAGTATTCAGGACCATTGTATTCATAATCAACCACCTCCCCAATTGATTCATTCATTATCTTCTCTTAGATATTAAATTTCATAATGAATTGATACTTTTTAATAATCAATATTTTATCCATAATAAGTTCATCTCATTTTACTTTTTAAGGCATGATAACTTATTGTACTACTGATATACTTATATGTGTTAGGTTGTGCATTGCATATGAACTGATTGATTGATTGATCGATTGATTGATTGATTGATTGATTGATTGATATATTGTTTATATCATTGATGGTATATTCTCATTACACTATCTACTCTTGTTTGTTTCTCTTTTCTATAATTCCATTTTAATGTATAGTGATTTCTTATCAACATGTCTGGTACTTCTTACTTATTATTATAATCTAATGTCCAATGTACATGAAGCAAAATATCGTGCTATGCGTGATGCATTAGATCGTTATCGAGTTGATTTAAGTAATTTATTAAAAGAAGAAGTAAGTTTATTTATTTATTTATAAATATATCATTATTATGATTGGTCACGGTATACCATGGACAACTTGGAACCAATTAGACGATTTGGTCTTTGCAGATCATCTAGCCCTCCTATCGCATACATACGAACCAATACAGATAAAGACAGCTAGTGTAGCAGCAATCTCTGCATCAATAGGCCTCAACATACATAAGAGGAAAACCAAAGTCTTCAAATACAACACGGAGAACAACAATCCAATCACTTTTGATGGAGAAACTCTGGAAGATGTAGAATCCTTCACATATCTGGGAAACATCATTGATAAATAAGGAAGGTCAGATGCAGACGTAAAAGCGAGGATTAACAAAGCAAGGACAGCATTCATTCAATTAAACAAAATATGAAACTCAAAACAACTGTCTCTCAATCAATATCAAAGTCAGAGTCTTTAATACAAACGTCAAGGCAGTTCTACTGTGCGGAACTGAAATGTGGAGAACTACAACAACCACGATCAAGAAGGTACAAGTATTTATCAATAGCTGTCTACGCAAGATACTCAACATCCATTGGCCGGATATCATCAGCGACAGCCTTTTGTGGTAGAGAACAAACCAACTTCCAGCTGAAGAGGAAATTAGGAAAAGACGATGGAAGTGAATAGGACATACATTGAAGACAAGCGCTAACTTGAAATCTTGAAGGGAAGCAGAAAAGAGGAAGGCCAAAGAACACAATACGTCGAGAAATACAAGCGGATATGAAAAGGATGAATAACAAGTGGAAAGAGCTGGAAAGATTTGCCCAGGACAGGGTTGGATGGAGAATGCTGGTGAGCGGCCTATGCTCCTTCACGAGAAGTAACAGGCGTAAGTTATTAAGTAAGTAATATCATTATTATTGCTAAGAGTTAATTGTAGGTAGACACAGTTGACAGCAAATCTTACTTTACTTTAAGCTTTATGTTCATTGACATTAGTAAAGAAGATCTGCTGTGAAATTTTGAAGGAACGAATACTTCATCGTTGATCATTTTCTTAGTCAGTCAGTCAGCTGCAACGTAGGACCAGGCACGTATATGCATCGGTCCAAGTTGCCATACCGGATTAGCACAACAAGATGAACACCGGATTCATAGAAGTAGTTAATTCAGTGGTGGTAATATATAGAAGAAAGAGTGTGTATAAGGATATAGTACAAGAAGATAGAATTAGTTCGTAGAAAGGAAGATTTGAAATGATTTTAATCTCTTAGTTTAAAGGAAGACAGAGAGTGTATACACCGACGCCATTGTGATCGATTCTGAGCCATGTCACCAAGAGTCTCCAAACATTGGTTACGATAATCACGTAGACCTCAACCAGGCAGTCTGCATCTACCAACATGGCTCAGACCAGAAGTTAGTGACTTCAAGCACCGATGCCACGTTTTATTTTGGCCGCCCCTAACTTTCTTCCAATCATCCCTAACACCGGTTAGCATTGCGCGTCGTGGTAATCGGTGTTCAGGCATACGCAGCACGTGACCTAACCATCTCAGTCGATGAAGTTTCATAACCTCATCAACTGATTTACCATCATTCCCTAATACCCTGCGTCTAACCTCACTATTACTTACCCGGTGATCCCAGCAGATGCGAGCAATATTTCTAAGGCACCTGTGGTCAAATACTATTAACTTACGAATATCTTCTACTCTTAAAGGCCATGTTTCGCAGCCGTATAGTAGAACGGAACGAACCGCCGCTCAATATACTCATTTTCTAACTCTTATCAATATAATTTATCCAAACTAGGTAAATATGATATTAATTTCACTTGGTATTGTTCTCCTCATCGCACAAAGAGATGACTATAAGGGACTCAGAGTAGTTCAATCTATAACGCGATGGTGTTCCAAGCGAACGGTACTGGGTTCGAGTTCTAGAGTGAAAATCCATTCTGGGATACAAGTACATCCATCTCATGAATCTCAAATAGGACGAAACTGAATCTCAATGCTAGTCAATATGCAACTTTGCTTAAAAAATATGACATTAGTTTGTTTATCATTGATCAATCATATGTATATGCATATAGTTAGACTAATGTACAACATTCATTGCACGGTAGTTTTTACTTAATTGAGTCAATGATGTGAAGTAAATAACTTAAAGATGAGTAAGTTATTATTGTCAGTCTGTTTGAGTTATAGATGTTATTACAACTCATAATAATAACCGACATACAGGGTTTCCTGTTGACTACCTTCAACCATCATCTTTTCTCAACATAGTGAACGGAATTTCAAGCCACCTTGATTAGTGACCACATTACAACTTGATCGATAGAATTCGATCTACACTAAGAAAGACCTGAAATACATGACATTGACCATCACCCAGTGATTAATCAATGGTAAATACATCTCAGTTCTTCAGGAGGCAAGTGATGGCCCAGTTAACTCAGTGGTAACGTCTCTGTCCGTGAAGCTGGATGACACGGGATTGAATCCGTCTGGGAGCATTAGTCGCCTCGAGATTACAGATACACAATAAGTGACTATCACTGATGCCCCCAAATGCCCTGGTACAGCAGAGAGTGGGGAGAGTCCGCTCACATTCTCGGAATGCTCTCAAATAGCAACGCGTATATAGCCTCTGACAGGGAAGTCCTACTCATTACCTTCTCGTGGTGGCGGTGTTGTTTACAAAATTGAGAGGACGAAAAGCGAATGTCGAGCTCTTTAACCGGGTTGATGGAGAGTCCACCTAGGGGAGTTGGAAAACCCTGATTCCAAGCCGACGATACACATGGATTGGTTCCAGGATCCTGAGGGAACAAATGGATTATGAACCAATTATTGGTCACCGGCTACCATGGGACTTCATCTCCTTACGTTGCTGTACTACCTCGTGAATCAGACCTATAGGTCGAGGGCTCGGGGTGTGGCCACTTAAGAAAACGATCTGTTTCAGTTTGGGCACCCGGTCAGTATCACAGCCCTACATTATTGTGATCGATTCGGAATCATGTCACTCAGAGTCTTCAACTATTGATTACGTAAAAAAAATTATTAATTGATCAAAATATTTGTAAAGAATACATCGAGAAATTATCGAATATTCTCTTTAAAATGTTTTATTTATTTTAACACATAGGTATAGGTACAAGGAGGCACCAAATACATATGCGCCACACGAATCTCAATTGATTTGTGTGAGGGCTGTGATACTGACCGGGTGCCCAAACCGAAGAAGGTGGTTTTTTTAGGGGGCCACACCCCGAGCCTTTGACCTGAAGATCTAATCCACAAGGCAGTGGAGCGTCGTGAGGAGATGCAGTCCCATGGTAGCCGGTGACCAACGATTGGTTCATACGCCATTTGATCCTTCAGGATACTGGAGCCCATGTGCACCATTGATTTGGGATCCGATTAAAGTGCCGGAAATTCGCTTTTCGTCCTCTCATTTTCTTAAACAACAGTAATGCCACGAGAAGGCATTGAGTAGGACTTCCCTGGCAGAGGCTATATACGCGTGGCCATGTGAGAGCATTTTGAGAGGGAGAGCGGACTCTCCTCACTCTCGGCCGTACCAGGGCATTTGGGGGCCCTTTAAAATGTTTATCAATCTGATATGTAGTCGAGAATATGATCATGATTAGTTGTTTGCTTAGTCAGATATATGTAGATTAGTCTGATAGATGTCAGATAAGTTATATATTCCCTTTATCTTCATTATTATGATATACTGGCATTTATTTATATGATTATTCATTGTTGTTAGATTGTGTCGGGTTTTTAAGTGTGGTCAAGTGTTCTTGATCTAAGTCGTGTAGAAAGAATAGACACTGGGAGGTAATCTAGTGTAGGTAAATTAACATCTCATACATGTAAACGTAGAAACTCAGCCGTTATAACATTAGATGAAGTAAAACTCGAGCATTATAACACAGTCTTATCATATTTTTATTTATTTAATGTTTACTTTTTATTTCCAGATTATTATTAATGAAAAAGAATTAAGAATTGGACCGAAATCATCATCATCCTCCTCCTGTTCATCATCCTCTTCATCGTCGTCGTCATCATCATCATCAACAACAACAACAACAACAACAACAACGTTGTCTTCCTCTTCAATGAATCAAATTCATTGAATGAACATCCATTTTAAATTAGTAACTTATGATAAACTCTATTACTTTTTCTTTCTTCTCGTCATCTCTCTTTCATGTTTATCATATGAATAGTATATTTGTATATATAATCATGGAGTCATTGTTCCATTAGCATTTTCTACAGGATAAGGTTACCAATCCACATGCCATCCTCCTCCTCCTCCTCAATAACCTTTCTTCTTTTAATCGAAATTTGGAATCGATAATAATTTGAGGAGAAGAAGAAGAACTACAGATGTACTGACATTGTATTCATCAATCATCTGTATTACATTCTTATCAATATAAATTGAATAGAAAAAAAAAAAGTAAACATTCCAATTATTATTCACATATCGTTGTAGTATGTGTTTACACACAGATGAGATATACTACTACTGATATCTATCAATATATATAAAAAAGTAGTATATAATACCAAATAGAAATGAACAGACAGCTTGTTTCATTTTGGATATTATGTTGTTTTTGACGATATAAATGATAGAAGAAGTCCTTCCTTTTTTTTTATTTGTTTTTTTTTTTGAATGCTATACTGAATAACTCTATTGTTTTTGGAAGGCAAATTATATATTATGTAACTTGGATTAAATGTATTTATCATTATTGATTATAGATGATGAGTATTGATTAAAATGCATTTCTATGTCAGTTCTATTTGATCCCTTCTTTCTTCTTATGATTATGATCAATGATAATATTGTACACTATTTATTTTCTATTTCAAATTGATAATTATTTTGTAAAATAATGACATAATATAGTAATGATTATACTCTGTATATATGTATATGTATTCAAGTTGATAGACTTGTTGTTACCAAGGCAACAGTGTAATAGTTTACTTATATGATAAATCTTGCCCCCAAATGCCCTGGTACGGCCGAGAGTGGGGAGAGTCCGCTCCTCCTCTCGAAATGCTCTCACATGGTCATGCGTATATAGCCTCTGCCAGTGAACTCCTACTCACTGACTTCTCGTGGTGGGGGTGTTGTTTACGAAATTCAGAGGACGAAAAGCGAATGTCCGGCGCTATAACCGGATCCGAAATCAATGGTTCACATGGGTTGGCTCCAGTATCCTAAAGGAATAAATGGCGTATGGACCAGTTTCTTGGTCACCGGCTACCATGGGACTGCATCTCCTTACGATGCTCCACTGCCTTGTGGATTAGACCTTTAGGTCGAAGGCTTCTACTTTGATTTGGGCACTCGACAAATATCCCAGCCCTTACACAAATCGAATGATTTATTTGGTGCCTCCTAGTATCAATGTTTATATGTTTAAATGAATTAAATTATTATCTACATTTTCTTTGAAAATTTCAAATATGAGTTTAAAATCATTCTAAAAGAAAGTGTACAATATACACTTGATCCAATTCCGTCAGGGAGCATCAATTACAGATACACTTTGCTAACAAGTATCAAGTAGCAGGAAATCTGGGTTCATGGTATCTTAGTGATTACCTTCAACCATCATTTCTATCTTAACATATTGTCCACAATGTTTAAATCATCTAAACAGCTGACCTGAACTATGCTCAATAAGTGATTTGTTATCACTTTGAGTATATGATTTAATCCTACTGATTAATCAATATGACTATACAAATCAATATATAAATGAGTGTATTTTAGACTAGGTTCGTCGTTGTCATCATCATCATCGTCATCGTTGTGTTTTGGGGCTAATAAATTTTCATTTATACCAGTTTTTGTATTGTTACTTTCACGTTGTAGGAATTACAGAGGTCCTTTTGTTTTAAATATAAATGATCAGAGTCTTTCTAACACAACAATCAGTAACAATCAAGATATAACAATCATCTACCCAGTAATTAATCAATTATACATGTACCAACTAACCAATCAAATACATGGATGATATTTAAAGATATATTAGAATAGAAAAAGTCAAGTTGTTTAGTCATTGAAAATGATTATTATCATTATATATATAGAAGTAAAAGTAACGTTTCAATGATTTGATATGATTGTCAAGTCAATAGTATCCAGGTAAGATTGATTTATTCAATAGAAGAAGAAGAAAAAGAAGAAGAAAAAAAACAGATCAATAATGATACATGTGTCTAAATAAATATAAGAACCGATCAAACAAAACGATCAGTTCCAATATCATATAAAAGAGGAAAGAAAAACAAAAAGAAACATCAATCATACATCATAAATGATCTTGATAATGAATAGGGTTATAAAAAGTATGAATTTGTGTGTGTGTGTATGTGTGTGTGTATTCAATGACAGTACACAAAATGGATAGAAGGTCTTTGTGAAATCTAAGAATCATATGGTAGATATTTCAGTTGTGGAAGTATTCCTCAATTGTCTTAGACTTGATTATCCTTCTCGTTTCTATATCAATCAATCAATCATTCATTCATTGTTGTTGTTGTTGTTGTTCTCTTCGATTCTTTCAACTTACTGTCATCAAGCATTTCGATCTTCAATGGATCATACATACTACTTATATCTATTGATATCAGTAGTACATACCATACTACTATTATCACTACTACTACTAATACACAGTTACCTGAATTGTTAATAAAAGGCACCATAGAAACAGACTAGGTTGAAACCATTCTATAACAAGAAAAAAAAACAAACTAGAAGAGTAATCGTCCATAGAAGAATGATGTAATATATCCTATTGAATAATAAACTAGAAAATCAATACAAAAACATAAAACAAACAAACAAAAAAAAAAAAGAAGGAAGCAGTAAAATCAATAATTTTTCTTTTTTTTTCTTTTTTCTTTTTTTTTCTTGTTTTCTTTTCATAATTGTAAACATGATTATATCATCAATAGAAGAATTAATAATTCAATATTATTCAATAGTTGCCTTGGCAACTTTATCTAAACGACGTTGAAGTTTTTCAGCTAATTCATTTGTTGTTAATGATATAATATCATGATTGTGATGTGATTGATGAAGATTTATTTCCTATAAACAAGAAGAAAATACAAAATTGATTATACAATTAAAGTTGAAAAGTAACATTGAATAGTCAACTAGTAGATTGATATTTGGAGGCCCAGAAATGCTCTGATACGGTCAAGAAAGGAGAGAGTCCGCTCTCCCTCGGCTACGCGTACATAGCCCCTGCCAGGGAAGTCCTACTCACTGCCTTCTCGTGGTGGGGGTGTTGTTTACGAAAATGAGAGGAGGAAAAGCGAATGTCCGGCGCTTGAACAGGATCCAAAACCAATGATGTACATGGGCTAGCTCCAGTATCCTGAAGGAACAAATGGTGTATGAACCAATCGTTGGTCACCGGCTACGATGGGACTGCATCTCTTTATAATGCTCCACTGCCTTGTGGGTCAGATCTTCAAACCGAAGGCTCGTGGTGTGGTGCTCTAAAAAAACCACCTACTTCGGTTTGGGCACCCGGTCAGTATCACAGCCCTCACACAAATTAAATGAGATTTCTGTGCTGCATGTCTATTTATGCCTCCTTGTACCAATATCTATGTGTTAAAATAATAATAATAAATAATAACATCTAAATAATGTACCATTTGTGTGACGACAGACCACGGATGGACTCGTGGAAGCTGTAAGAAGCTCAGAACGAGCGGAAGGCATTTCATCCAATCACATTTTGGAAGAATATTCTAGAATTCCTACGTGTACCTTCCCTATCGGACAAGGTTAATAACCCCTTGTATGAGGATTGAAAGACTGTAGTGATGATTTCGTTCTTGTTAAAAAAAAAACTATAAATACCTGACACGTTTGTACTTTAATTGACACTATTTGGAATAGTATTGCTTTCATTAGTCTTCTGTCTTCTCATCTGTGACTTGGAAGGGTTTTGGCGTTCTAGTGCTCAGTTATACGTGATATATCAAGTAAACAACCATCTAGAAACACTGGACGGCCGTTTCACCTTACTGTGGAACTCGTCATCAGTCTATGATCCTGTCTCATGAGATTCGAACCTAGGATTTGACAGTCTCGTGCGTGAGCGCTTAAACATTAGACCAATTAGCTGGCATCCAACGGTGTTAAAGTCTAACTTCAAACAATCCACGAAATCACGCTACCGCACCATTGTCTTCGGTGAGCTGATATCTCACAACAGACCTGGTTGAACTCCACTGATAATGGCTTCTCACTAGAACTCCAGGAGTATCTCTTGAAGTCACTCAATAGTGAGCGAATGATTACTATCAGAACAGGATTCGCGGGCAACGCTGACAGTTCATGGGTTCAACTCTCACGGGAAGCGGGATCATCGATACGCACTGCTGAGGAGTCCCACAATAGAACGAAACGTCTGTCCAGTACTTCCAGGTTTACCATGGTAAGTCTAGCTTCAATTGACTTATGATTTCAATTATTGAATTAAATTAAACAGATTTTGTAATAGACATCTATTTATTTATTTTAACATATAGACATTGGTACAAAGAGTGACCAAAATACATATGCGCCATACAAATCTCAATTGATTTGTGTGAGGGCTGTGATACTGACCGGGTGCCTAAACCGAAGCAAGTGGTTTGCTTAGGGGGCCACACCCGGAGCCTTCGACCTGAATGTTTGGCCCACAAGATAGTGGAACATCGTACAGAAATACTATCCCATGGAAGCCGGTGACCAACGATTGCTTCATACGCCATTTGTTTCTTCAGGATACTCGAGCTAGCCCATGTGGACGATTGGTTTAGGATCCGGTTAAAGCGCCGGACATACGCTTTTCGTCCTTTCATTTTCGTAAACAACAGCCGTGGTGCGAGAAGGCAGTGAGTAGGACTTTCATGGTAGAGGCTATATACGCGTGGCCATGTGAGAGCATTTCGAAAGGGTGAGCGGACTCTCCTTACTCTCGGCCATACTAAGGCATTTAGGAGCATATTATTATTTAGATGTCAATTGACTGAACTACTACCTTCTAACTAGAGACTATTCAACAATATGTTATCATCAGTTTCAATCAATAAAGAATTCTATATTGTACCAAAATCAATCATTATAAATACTAACTATGATTTGAAAGACTAATGTAAATGATTTTAAACTTAAGGTCATATAAGTTCAATGAAATCAATAGAAAAACCTTTATCATTTCTAATAGATTGATTATTGAGTAATGTTAGTCAATATTTATATTGATTTAATATTGTTTGAATTTTATTGATTATGTTACTATATGATCATTACTCTCAGTAATTCAATATGATATGGGACTATGTTGAAATGTTAGATACTTAGAAGTAGTAATATTCACTATGGGAATTGAACTCAGTACCGTTCGCTTCAAACGCCATTGCGTTATCCAGTTAAGTATTGAGTTCTGATAGCCATTTGCTTGTGCAATGAGGTGAAGTTTAAATTTACTTGGTATTGTTTTTACTTGTACCTTCCCATTAATGTTTCAGGACTGCAATTGATCAGTCTCTTATTGGTATATGTGCATACTGTGTGTATGCCTCGATATTGTCTTAAGTCACAAGCTTTTTGTAAGCAATGATAGATAGTGGCTAACAATGGAATCCAGGACGCCCGTTTCGTCCTATTCGGGACTCGTCAGCTGGATGTGTGATCAGTCGTAATTGGTTGGTGTCTGACAAAATCTCAGCACGGATTCGAAAAGCTCGTTTGGTTTTTCCCAACTTACGTCACCTATAGCGAAGGTGAGATATTGTTCTATCAACAAACGGATGAGTATACTATGAGGCATTTGGTTCCATTCTACTTTAAGACTGCGAAACATGGGCATTAAGAGTCGAAGATACTCGTAATCTACTAGTATTTTATCACAGATTCCTTAGAAATATTGCTCGCATCTGCTGGGATCATCGGGTAAGTAATAGTGAGGTTAGATTCACGGTATTAGGGAATGATGGCTAACAATTTGATGAGGTTGTGAATCTTCATCGACTAAAATGGTTGGGCCACGTGTTGCGTATACCTGAACACCGATTACCACGACATTCTATGCTAACCGGTGTTAGGGATAACTCGAAGAAAGTTAGGGGCGGCCAAACCAAACCGTGGCATCAGTGCTTGAAGTCACTAACTTCTAGTCTGAGCCATGTTGGTAGATGCAGATTACTTGGTTGGGGATCGGATGACTATCGTAACCAATGTTTGGAGACTCTTGGTGACATGGCTCAGAATCGATCACAATGGCGTCGGTGTATACACTCTCTGTCTTCCTTTAAACTAAGAGATTGAAATCACTTCAAATCTTCCTTTCTACGAACTAATTCTTTCTTCCTGTACTATCTCCTGATATACAATCGTTCTTCTATATATTACCACGCCTGAATGAACTACTTCTATGAATCCAGTGTTCATCTTATTGTCCTGATGCGGTATGGCAACTTGGATCGATGCACATATATGTGCCTGGTCCTAACGTTATGGTCGTTATTGTTCTTTCTTTCTTTCTTTCTTTCTTTCTTATTACTTTTAACACGCATCTTAAATTCTTTATCTCTTCCTATTCTCATTGTTATTGTCCAACGCATATGTATCTGTTGCCTCCCCCCTCCGCCGCCGCCTTGTACCAATATTTATATATATTCAAATAAATAAATAAAATATAAAAGAATCAAGCATAAAAAACAATACAGTACCGTTTATAAGTTAGCCAATTTACAATTTCATTTTTATCAATGACTGACATGTTAATCTATACATGAATATACCTTAGAGATTAGGTTACTATTAATGTATATCATACTGAAACATAATGATGAAAGAGAACAACAAAGAAAGAACGAAAGAAAGAAAGAAAGAAAGAAAGAGGGAGGGAGGGACGGAGGGAGAGAGAGAGAGAGAGAGAATAAACCTAGGGGTGAATGATAATGCAAATGAATCATCTCTATTAGTTAATTGGTTAAAATGGAATATACATTAGATCTAAACAACTGTTCCATTCATCAATATTATACAAAAAGAGATACATTGTACATTGTATTAAGTCTCTCTCTCTATATATATATAGAACTAATTAGAAGAAATAGTTGATATTCCCATTAAGATTAAAAATTAAAACCATTTGGTTATTATTAATTTTTTAATTCTGATGTCAGTCAGTCAGTCAGTCAGTCAGTAACAACGTGGAACTTCGTACATACGTATGTACGTACATCAGTTCAAGTTGCCATACCACATTACCACACAGATACAATTGTCAATTCAAATCCCATAGTAGTAGAAGTAGTAAAAGTATAAACAGTAATCTGAAAGATTAAGGTTTGAAGATGTTATTCAAGGACTATAATCCGGTGAAATAAATTTGGAAAAAGAAAAAAATAATAAAGGGACATGAAGAATTCAAAAGATCAGAACATTATCCAGCTGTTTAAACCATAACAGATAGAGGTATTAGTTTAAACTGTTGCATCATAGTTTAACCATACAAATCCGCCAATTCTAGGAAGCATAAACAGTCAATCAGTCAGTAACAACGTAGAACTTCGTACATACGTATGTACGTACATCAGTTCGAGTTGCCATACATCACATTAGCACAGTGATTCAGTTATCGATTCAAATCCCATAGTGGTAGAGGTAGTGATAGGGAACATTAGGGTTTGATAATGTTATTTAACGAGTATAATCCAGTGAAATAGATTTAAAAAGAAAAAAAAAGGGACATGAAGAATTCATAAAGATTAGAGTTTGAGAGAACACAAAGAGTGAATGTATGACTGTACCATTGTAAACAATTTTTAGCTATATCAATTCTGATGGCAAACAATGAAATTCAAGATACGTGTTTCGTCTTATTTGAGACTCATCAATTGCATAGACCTTCATTTCAAAGTTGATGTTCACTTCGAAACTTCAATCTAATATCGTTTAAGTGAAACGTCATTATATTATTCACTTAATTAATGAGTTCTAATACTAGTCACCATTATCATTGCTTATGACTTCAGTCAGTCAGTCAGTCAGCTGCAACGTAGCACCAAGCACATATATACATCGATCTAAGTTGTCATACCGCTTGTGACTTAAGATAATGAGAACAGAATAAAAATATGCTCTGAGCCATGTTGGTGATAGATTCAGAGTACTTCGTTAAGGTCTGTGTGACTATTAGAACCAATGGTTGGAGACTCTTAATGACATAACTAAGAATCGATCACAATGGCATCGGTGTATACATTCTCTGTGTTTCCTTAAACTATGAGATTAAAATTGCTTCATATCTTTCTTTCTATGAACTAATCCTATCTTCCTGTACTATCTTCTTATATATAATCTTTCTTCTAATATATTACAACCATTGATTCCGGAATTCATCTTGCTGTGCTAATATAGTATGGCAACTTAGACTGATGCATATATGTACCTGATTCTACATCCTAACTGAATGAATGAATGAATGAATGAACAGTAAAGTGTGATAGTATTCTTCACATTATATTCACTATATACATGTAAATATGGAATTCTTAAAAGTTACATAATAATTATTGTATGTACATCTAACATCTTATATGTAAACAGAGTAAATTATATTTAAATAAGATTTCACTGCATTATTACTAGTCAAAAATAAACCTAATGAATCACAGATAAGTTTTAGGTAATTTGAGAACGGCTGAGAGTAAGGAGAGTTCACTATCCCTCTGCAAATCTACTCACATGGCTACACGTATACAACCACTGACAGGGAAGTCTTACTGACTGCCTTTTCGAAACACGAGGGTCGTTTACAAAGCCAAGAGGACTAAAAGCGAATGTTCGGCGCTTTAACTGGGTTGGTGGATATGAAGGATCCACCTAGGGGAGTTGGAAAACCCTAATTCACATGGACTCCACTATCCGAACGAAACAAATAGTGTATAAACAAATCGTTAGTCACCGGCTAGCATAAGATTGCATCTCCTAAAGTTGCTCCACTGCCTTATGAATCGGTGAATCATCTGTTTCGATTTGGGTACCTAAGCAGTATCCCAGCCCTTATACAAATCAATGATAACTGCTACTGGCCTCATTGTTATTGTGTAGCGCATATGTATTTAGTGTTTCCTTGTACCGATATTTATGTGTTCAAATAAATAAATAATATCAGAAGGGGTTTTTGTCGAGATTATAGCAAATTCAATGGTTAAAATCATGAGTCAGTTGAAGCCAAACCACCATGGAACACTTAGAAGCACTGGACAGCTGTTTCATCCTATTGTGGGACTCTTCAGCAGTGCGCATCCACAACCTCGCCCCCTTGTGAGATCCGAACACAGGACCTACTGGTTTCGCACGCGAGCACTTAACCACTAGACCACTGAGCTGGCCGGTATCCAATGGTGTTAATGTCTAACTTCAACAAATCCACGAAATTGACCGACACATATATAAATAAATAATAAATAACCTTCAAAATGTCAAGATTTCATTTCAAAGACTATTTAGGCTTTCAGTTATAAGAAAAATAGCATTTTTCTTTATCTTCATACTGTAGTCATGTCCATAATATCAACTATTTCAAAGTATTATCTGAATACTGTATAAGCAAAGATGGATGATGGTTATCAGTGGAATCTAAGACAATGGGAACGATACAAGCAAACAATATCAAGTGAATTTGAACAATGTAAACAGAGAAAACATACACTTGAAATAGTGTTACGATCATAACATTTATGTGCATATTTTACAAAGAACCATATTATTCAGAAGGCGGTTTTGTGGAGATTCTAGTAATTTATTAGTTGAATTCATGAATCAATTGAAGCTAGACCTACCATGAAAAACCTGAAATCACAGGATAGCCATTTCGTCTTAGTATGAGACTCTTCAACAATGCGCATTCATAATCCCTCTACGGGATTCGAACCCATGGTCATCTGTTTCAACAATATCATCAGCACAAACTTCAGGTAGAAGTTTATCGTTTAAAATAATAATGAATGCTTCATGATTAAATTATCCAGCTCAAAGAACTAAACTCTATCAAATTTACTATCTACATAAAGACAAGACTAAAAACTTCTCCTTAATATTTCAATAGATCAACTGTCGTTTAGTATAAACAATCGAACAATAACATCCATTCCTAATTATTATTATTATTACTTAATTATTTGAACACATTAATATTGGTACAAGGAGGCACCAAATACATATGCGCCACACAAATCTCATTTGATATGTGTGAGGGCTAAGATACTGCCCGGGTGCCCAGACCGAAGAAGGTGGTTTTCTTAGTGGGCCACACTCCGAGACTTTGACCTAAACATCTGATCCACAAGGCAGTGGAGCATCGTGAGAAGATGTAGTCCTATGGTAGTTGGTGACTAACGACTGGTTCATACACCATTTGTTCCCTAAGGATACTGAAACCCATGTGCACCATTAGTTTTAGGATCCGGTTAAAGCACCGGACATTAGCTCTTCGTCTTCTCATCTCCGTAAACAACACCCACACCACCAGAAGGCAGTGAGTAAGACTTCCCTGGCAGAGGCTATACACACGTGGCCATGTGAGAGCATTTCGAGAGCGAGAGCGGACTCTCCTCACTCTCAGCCGTATCAGGGCATTCTGGGGGCGAATAAATGAATGGTAACTGTTAGGATCTATTTATGTATAGGGCAGGGTTATGACAAAGAAAAAAACTACAGGTACCTCCAGGCTGGCTAGTACTAGTTAACACATCATCAGTTTGGCACAATGCCAAAAATTATATAAGGTCATTGTTATAATCAACAAAGCATAAGAATAGAATAGAAAGAAAATGAAAATCATTTTTAAACAAACCATTTTATTCAATTGTTTCTTTTCAATTAATTCACGTTTCCAATGTGGTACAAGACCCCATTTCTTTAATTCATCCTATAAATTGAAATGATTAAAAAATTGGTAAACAATTATCATAATCATTGAATCATAGTTATATGAAATAGAATTTAAAGTTTCATCATTTAAAACAATTACGGATGGTAGTGTGATTTTGTGGATTGATTGAAGTCAGACATTAACATCATTGAATGTCGGCCAGCTCAGTGGTCTAGAGATTAAGTGTTCGCACTCGAGACCGATAGGTCCTGTGTTCGAATCTCACAGGGCGGGATCGTGGATGTGTACTGTTGACGAGTCCTATACTGGGATGAAACGGCCGTCCATTCCTTCCAGGTTTCCAATGGTGATCTAGCTTTAATTGACTCATGAATTCAATTATTAAATTACTATAATCTCCACAAAACCATCATTTATTACTTCTATTCAATCAAATTAATTAATGCATCAACAAATAGTAGACATAAATGTATGAAGTGGATAGTGCGTAGAACATTTGATGAGAAGCACTGGGTTCGAGTCCTTGGGTAGACATTAATACTGTGAGTGTAGATATATTCAGTTGATAAGACTTAAAAAAGGATGAAAAGCATTTTCTGGATACTACTTCTTATTTATTTATCATTTGAACATATCAATACTGGTACAAGAGGGCATCAAATATATATGCGCCACACAAATCTTATTTGATTTGTGCGAAGGCTACGATACTGCCCGGGTGTCCAAACCGAAGTAGGTGGTTTTCTTAGGGGGCCCCACACCCGGAACCTTCGACCTGAAGGTCTGATCCACAAGGCAGTGGAGCATTGTAAAGAGATGCAGTCACATGCTAGCCGGTGATCAACAATAGGTTCAAACGTCATTTGTTTCCTTAGAATTCTGGAGCACATGTGCACCATTGGTTTAGAATCAAGGTTTTCCAACTCCCCTAGGTAGATCCTCCATATTCATCAATCTATTCAATGCATCAAACATTCACTTTATGTTCTTTCAATTTCGTAAACAACACCCCTAGTGATGAGAAAGCAGTGAATAGGACTTCCATAGTAGTTGGTTGTATACACGTTGCCATATGAAAGGATTTAGAGAAGGTGAGTGAGTTAACTCTCCTCACCCACAGTTGTACCAGAACATTTAGGTGGCATAGGCATTCATTTGAGTATAAACATGAAAGTTTTTCAATCATATACACATACATGCACTATATAAACTTACTGCATAAATATTAGCTGCATCACGATTTTTTCTTTCTAATCGATGTATTTTCCAATCCGGTAGACCAGATGAAATAGGATGATAACCTGGGATTTGAGTAGCATCAACTATATTTTATCAATATAAATATGTAAAGAATAAGAGAGAGATATAGGAAATTCAATTGATAGTTTATGTTTATAATGCATTACATCATCCATTGAAGAATCAAAGTTTAAATCCTATTGAGAGAATTAATTACATTAAAATTTCAGGTATATTTTGTTGATAAGTAATATTTGCCCCCCCCCTCTAATGCCTTGGGGTACGATTGAGAGTGGGGAGAGTCCACTCAACCCTCTCGAAATGATCTCACATGGCCAAGTGCATACAGTTACTGCCATAGAAGTCCAACTCAATGCCTTCTCGAAAAACGAATGTCTGGCGCATTATTCGAATTGGTAAACAAGGAGAGTCCATCTAGGGGAGTTGGAAAACATTGATTCTAAAACAGTGACGTACATGAGCTACAGTATCCTAAGGGAATAAATGGCATATGAACCAATCGTTAGTCACCGGTTAGCATGTGACTGTATCTCCCTACATCGCTCCATTGCCTTATGGATCAGACTCTTAGGTCGAAGGTTTCGGGTGTAGAGCATATCTTTTCGGTGCCTCCTTATACCATTATCTATCTAAGGGATTAATCATAGAGTTATAATGCTACGTATTAATTCAATAAAGGTTTATATACCATACACCTTTCAGTCATAATTATGTCATATGAAAGTTAGGAACAGTATTCAGTTACTCAAATTGTAAATAAATGAAGAAAAGTTTGAATTTGTGCAACTCTAATGCTTTAAATGTAAAGGCGTTGACTATTAAATCTTTATAGCTGTTTCATATGATAGTCTAGTTTTCTAATCATAATGATTCAATCAAATTTTACAGGTTGTTGAACTCTTTCTCTATGATAAGAATAAATGAGATCAACTCATGGTTCAAAGTTATACAGCTATTTATACTAGGGTATAATAAAAATAAAGCGTTTCACTTATATATCCAGGCATTTGTAAGAAAGATAGAAGTTAGAAAAATCAACTTTGAAAATGTCACATTTCACTATGCATCATAGATTTCCGTCTCTACTCACAAGGTGTAAGAAGTAGGAAAGTAACATATCAAGAACGACAAAAAAAAATAAAAATAAACGTTGAGTAATCGAAATCAATTAGCTATGGTTTAATTTCTCCATTTATGCTCCCCCCCCCTAATGTTGCCTAATCCAGATTACTTATTAGATATCACACGGAGATGTGATATTTGTCCATACATTCTTATTATAATTTATTCAAACACATAAACATTGGTACAGAGAAGCACCAAATAGATATGCGTCATATAAATCGTTCAATACGTGTGAGGGCTTGGAAACTGCTTAGAGCCACACCCAGAGCCTTCAACCTAAAGGTCTGATGCATAAGGTAGTGAAGCGACATAGGGACCAACGATTAGTTCATAAGCCATTTGTTCCCTTAAGATACTGGAGCCCATATGTATCATTAGTTTGGAATCAGGGTTTTTCAACTTCTCTAAATGAACTCTTGATATCCACCACATATACAGAACAACATTTGAGGCTATTACTGAGGGGTTATTACTGAAAATATATATATTCTGCAAAAATTTACTTCTAATAAAACTAACCAATATTAAATTGATTAAATATAGTCAATGTTTGTGGATCCAAATTCATTGATTGTACATGAATAAAAGATGAATCTGAAATTGTAAAAAAAAAAAAAACATTATCAATTTAAGGTAATGAATGAGTATTATTACAAACAATATTAAAAGGGAACATTATAGTTTAGGTTCGAATCCAGCGGGGGGGGGGCAGGATCGTGGATGCGTACTGATGAAGAGTCCGACAATAGGACGAAAAGGCCATCTAGTGCTTCAAGGTTTTCTATGGTAGATCTAACTTCAGTTGACTGATGATTTCAACTATTGAAATTATTCAAAATCTCCACAAAAAATCCTTTCTGATCTGAATGAGACAATTATTGAAAAGTAGTAAGAACTAGATAGCTATTTTGTTTTAGTATAGACTATACTAAGAGTTTTCATTCAATAAGCCTATCATAGATTGAGTCGTAGATCTTCAATTCCTATTCAAAGAGTTTAACCTTTACATTATTCAACACTTAATGATGTACATGTTCAATATTAATTAATTTATCAAATTGTACAACCAAGTTGCAAACTATTGTTAGGCAGCTCTATTTCATAGTCGGATTGACGAAGATTAATTCAATTATGCATCCGATGTTTGTTAGCTTAATGAATGTAAATCAGAGATTAAACAGACCATTGTAAGTATAGAAAATCTGTAAGTCAGTAAGTTATTCAGCTACAACATAGGACCAGGTACATATATGCATCGGTTCAAGTTACCATACCACATTAGCACAACAAGATGAATATCGGATTCATAGGAATAGTTAATTCAATAGTGGTAATATATAAAAGAAAGACTGCATACAAGGATATAGTACAGGAAAGAAGATTTCGTACGTAGAAAAAAAAAATATGAAGCTATTTTCATGTCATAGTTTAAGGGAACAAAGAGAGTGTATACACCAACGTCATTGTGATCGATTTTGAGCCATGTCATACACAGTCTCCAACCATTGGTTACGAGAGTCACACGGACCTATACCAAGTAGTCTACATCTACTAACATGGCTAAAGCTAGAAGTTAGTAGAGAATCTGTAAATAATCATAAGATTTCAATAGTGTCTAAAGTATTAAAAATATGAACTTAATAAGGTAACACAACGATAATAGACAAAAAGAGAAAAGAGGAAATTCAACTAAAATATGAGCACTACCGGACCTTAAACACATCCATGTACACAAAAACCAAGTCATTTAGCTTGTTTGCTTTAATGACAACATTCAACTAAACTCTGATCCTATGTTTTGTGCTTGTTAATAGTATTGGATAAGGGATACCTGTGATCTTGATCGGACTGATCCTACTAGTAAGGTTCAAACTCATGTTAACCAGATTCACAGTATGAAATCTTACAATTCAGTAATTCGAGGAGCTACAGGCTTCTTGTAAGAGTGATATAACTAGATTGATTGATCACAATATAAATTCTACGCTTGATTGAATTGTATTATTTTCTTAATAAGATACAAGCTTAAATAATAGTGAATTTTATACAGCCTGGATAGATCCATTAGTTGAAATTCCAAAAAGAAAGAAACGAACATCTTATATCTTACTGATGATCACGATAGATCTTTATCAGATTTAGCTTTTAATCAATAGTGACAGTTATCATGCCCCCAAATGCCCTGGTACGACTAAGAGTGGGGAGAGTCCGCTCACCCTCTCAAAATGCTCTCACATGCTCACGCGTATATAGCCTCTGTCAGGGAAGTCCTACTCACTGCCTTCTCGTGGCATTAGTGTTGTTTACGAAGGCTCGGGTTGTGGCCCCCTAAGAAAACCACCCGCTTCGGTTTCGGCACCCAAACAGTATCACAGCCCTCACATATATCAAATGAGATCTGTGTGGCACATATGTATTTGGTGCCTCCTTGTACCAATATCCGTGTTGACAGTTATCATATCCCAGTAGTACATTAAATATAGACTGGACAAATGCACTGATTATTAAAACTTCCTTTCGTTTGCACTGGAATAGTTCTGTTCAACAGGACAAGATACTATCAAAAGTAGTATATTTCTATTTTATTTACTTTCAACAGGAAGGTATTGTTATAACTTGTGCCCTATGTTCCTATCAATTTAATAGCGTAATGATACCGGCAATTAGAGAACAATAAATTATAACCAAGGACGCATAGACCAGTACGACAAGTCTACAGTCTTATCGGTCGTGCTACCCGCCTAGCCCTGACTGTCAATTCCAGAATACCAATCTCAGCTTCTACGATGTGAATCATTTATTTCAAGGATACTGGGTTTATATACCAATCAAACAGACCACATTGTACCATAAAATAGGGAACAAAATTTGTACAAGATCTAGCCAAATGTGGCTGTGAATGTGGGAGGTAGTAATCAATAGACAGGGCATAACTCAAGAATGGTAAATCGTATAATACTCATTCATAGGTCAAAATAAAGCTCATAATAAAAGGAAAACAAATATGAATAGTTTAATTACTCAATGATTATACGATGAAAATATACGTATAGTATTGGTCCATAAATAGATCCCAACAGTTACCATTCATTATTCTCATTGGAATATAACAGCTAGGTGACTAATGATAATCATCATAATACTAATGAAAACTAACTTACTCGATGGACAATCAGAAGATGAACGATGTTGTGACAAGGTACCATTAAGTGGATGAACAACATGTGAATTCAACTGTTGATGATATTGTGATTGTTGACTGTGAATATGATGATTTGTGGAATTGTTTACATCATTAGTAATAGTACCACCATGTGAAGAATGAATACGAGTTTGTAGTTTTGATAATTCATTAGGTATATTGCCTATTATGAGAAGACAAAACAAAGCAAAACAAACAATTAATCAGTTGTAATTTTACAAACAGATGCCCCCAAATGCCCTGGTACGGCCGAGAGTGGGGAGAGTCCGCTCTCCCTCTCGAAATGCTCTCACATGGTCACGCGTATATAGCCTCTGTCAGGGAAGTCCTATTCACTGCCTTCTCGTGGCATTACTGTTGTTTACAAAAATGAGAAGACGAAAAGCGAATGTCCGGCGCTTTAACCGGGCCCCAAACCAATGGTGCACATGGACTGGCTCCAGTATCCTGTGAGAATAAATGGCGTATGAACCAATCGTTGGTCACCGGCAACCATGAAACTACATCTCCTCTCGATGCTCCACTGCCTTGTGGGTTAAACCTTTAGGTCGAAGGCTCAGGGTGTGTCCCACTAAGAAAACCACCTGCTTCTGTTTGGGCACCCCGACCAGTATCACAGCTCTCACACATATCAAATGAGATTTGTGTGGTGCATATGTATCTGGTGCCCTGTTGTACCAATATTTGTGTTCATATAAATAAATAATAAGTACAAACAGATTAATAAAATGTAATCATCACTTTTTTTTTTCTATTTTTCGGAGGGATTATAATTTATGGAAGAACCAATCAGATTCATGATAACAGGTCTTAGATTTCGGCGCGAAATTTATTCACTTATTTAGCTAAATAGAATCTTAGCATTTTAGCTGATGTCAGTTCATGATGAAAATTTTATATCAAATCTCTATGCCAAAAGATCAACTATAAATCACAAACTTTATCCTTTACACAAGTTTAAAACTTTCATTTAGCTCTAATCACTAGGTGGATATTCTCAAGGCTATTTTAGCGTCACTCAAAGGTTGTCCATATAATATTAATGTATTTTCTTATAAACAAGGTTTACATACTTATTCACACCTATAGGATAGTAAACGATAATAATAAATGTCAAAATTTATTGGTTAGTAAGTTGTCAATACGTTAACCTCCATCTGAAGCCCCTTCTAAAGTTACTTTCAGTCCTAAGCTCACGGAAAGGAAGAAGCTTGATATGTGGCTACCAACATCATCACGTAGAAAAAAAAAACTTAACAAAACGTCAACCAGCAAAAAAATCACACTTAACTATTGATTTGATGATATCAGTAACTTTTATATTCTAACAAAATTAAGTCTGTAATCGTATGATCTAGTCAATAGATTATCTTAAGTTTACAATGAGTCAGTTTACTTATCTGGTATACAGTTTATACTCTATTATATGCCAATGTATGTTTTATATTTCACCATATGAAAAACGGTGAGACTATAAATGATGGATCGATTTGTGTGAGGGCTACGATACTGCGCGGGTGCCCAGATCGAAGCAGGTGGTTTACTTAAGGAGCCACACCCCGAGCCTTTGACCTAAAAATCTAATCCAAAAGCAGCCACATGCTAGCCGGTGACCAACAAAAGGTTCAAGCGACATTCGTTTCATTAGGATACTGAAGCTAGCCCATGTGCACCCTTGGTTTGGGATAAAGATTTTTCAACTCTCCTAGGTGCATCTCCCATATCCACCAACCTGGTTTAAGAGCCGGATATTCACTTTCCATCGTCTCGATTTTCTAAACAACACTACCACTATGAGAAGTTAGTGATTAGGACTTCCCTGGCAGTGATTGTACGCACATGATCACTTAAGAGCATTTCGAGAGAGAAAGCTGACACTCTCCCCACCCTCGGCCTGTTCCTTTTGCAAATGCCGATCGATTATCTTAGATTTCATTGTTCTTTCATTTCCACAGCAATTACTCTCTGTTCTTGTCCTCTTTTTTTCTATCTTCTTCTACTATCGGACATTTCACTTTCGATTAATGATATATATATATACTACTGATATCTATCAACATTAGTAAGACACACCACCCTAGTAACTGATTCATCTTAACCTACACAGATAACAAATTATTCATAAACTCTTCCCAAAAGGAAAAATTCAATCTCCATAAGTAACTATCTATCTATCCATCTATCTTAAAAACAAATTTCTCATTTGAAACATTGAACATATATATCATCTATTGTAAACAAATGGACTATAGAAGATAAAGCCTTTTAAAATTAAATGATTCTAATGATGATTGTTACATTAATTCACTTGTAAAATGAAATTGTTAAAATAAAAACAAAAATTATAAGCAAAAGATAGATAGTGGCTAACAGTGAAATCCAGGACGCGCGTTTCGTCCTATTTGAGACTCGTCAACAGTGCGTATTTATGATGTTATCTCACGAGATTCGAACCCAAGACTCATGATCTTAACTATTAAAATTATTATAATATCCGCAAAAACCCCTTCTAATACAAATCAGCATATGCTCACTAGTGACTGTCTCCAAGAGGTATTTCCTGGAATTCTAGTGAAAAGCTGTGACCAGTGGAGTTCAACCGGGTTTGTTGTGAGATACTAACTCATTGAATGCAATAGTGGATATGTCCCTCAATTTCGTGGATTGGTTGAAGTTAGACATGAACACCGTTAGATGCCAGTCTGCTCAGTGGTCTAGTAAGTTATGCGCTCGCATGCGAGACTGATAGGTTCTGGGTTCGAATCTCACAGGGTGGGATCATGGATGTGCTCTGATGAAGAGTCCCATATTCTAAATGTCTTTGGGTTGCTCGAAGATTCTGGAATTCTACTAAACATAGTAGCTGTACAACAACCAGCTAATCAGAACCTCTACATGCGACATTTCAAATCTTTGATGCTGTCTGACTAAACTCAAAGTGAACGCTGATTAGATGAAATGCTTCCTAATGTTTCCTGATCCTTGCGTATCTTTTGCAAGAAATTTTCTGGATCATTCCAACAAGGAGTTGATCAAGTAAGGCAGTAATAAGTAACAACCTACTCAGCATTGCATCTTGAATTTCGCTTGGAAAATCTTAAAGTTGATTGTTTTAATCAATAGAATATACTCTTATTAAAAGAATGTGTATAGAGGAAAGAAGAGAGTCAATAGGTAAAGAGAATCACAATGACCTTTAATCTAGAGGCAAGTGCCTAACCACTGGACAGTTGAGTCAATAAACAATAGATTATTTATGAACCGATCAATATTAGACCACTATTAAAAATCTAGAGGTCTTGGATAGCCATTTCATCTTAGTGTGAGACTTTTCAGCAATGCGCTTCCACGATCCCATCTCGCGAGATTCGAACGCAGGATCTATCAGTCTCGCATGCGAGCGCATAACTTACTAGACCACTGAGCAGACTGGCATCTAACGGTGTTCATATCTAACTTCAATCAATCTACGAAATTGAGTGACACATCCATCATTGTCTTTAGTGAGTTAGTATCTCACAACAAACCCGGTTGAATTCCACTGGTCTCAGCTTTACACTAGAACTTTAGGAAATACCTCTTGGAGATCGTCACTAGTGAGCATATGATGATTATAATCAGAGAGATTTAATTATGTTAGTTTCGACAGCTTTGTACTACATACTGTAAGCCACCTTAATATCACTTAGATTACTGCTAAGGGCTTAGTATATGAATTTTTGTTAAGTGCAAAAGAAAGACAATGTGATTAGACTATTATGGTTAAGTGAATTATTCCATTTAGCCAAAATCGATGTTCACATATACTTATCTGTCTGAAACAGTGTATTCACTTATGTTTATCCATAGGATATAGTGACTATTACTTAGTTTTAGGCAATGTAGATTACTATACAATAGTTGCTTATTTGTTTCGCATAGTTCAGCTAGTTAAGAGTTAAGACCCTAACACAATAACAGAATCAGACCACATAGTATAAAGTACGAGTATGTATTCATAAGTATTTAACACTTCCTAATTGTTCATACTTCTGAACTTGTGTCTTCTCATTGTTATTTAGGACTGTAATTGATCAGTCTCTTATTGGCATATGTGTATCCTGTGAGGATTGCCTAGATATTGCCTTAAGCAACAAGCTTTATAAGCAAACATGGATAGTGGTTAGCTGTGGAACCCAGTTTGACGTACATTTCGTCCTACTAGGGACACGTCAGATGGATGTACCTTCATTTCCGAATTGATGTTCAATCTGGGACTCAAACAAAGTACCCATTGCACAAGCAGGTGGCTATCAGGACTCAATAGCTAAGTGGATAACGCGATGGAGTTTGAAGCCGACAGTACTGGGTTGGAGTCCCAGAGTGAACATCAACAAGTCTAAGATGCAGGTACATTCAACAGACGAGTTCCAAATAACACCAAATATCTACTGGAACCTCATCATTAATATGATCAAATATTTTCCAATTGTTATTATCATTCATATAGAAGTACCATTATATTTATTTATTTATTTATTTTAACACATAAGTATAGGTACAGAGAGGCACCAAGTACATATGCGCCACACAGATCTCAATTGATTTGTGTGAGGGCTGTGATACTGCCCAAGTGCCCAAACCGAAGCAAGTGGTTTTCTTAGGAGGCCACACCCCAAAACTTTGGTCTAAAGGTCTGACCCACAAGGCAGTGGAGCATCGTGAGGAGATGCAGTCCCATGGTAGCCGGTGACCAACGATTGGTTCATACGCCATTTGTTCCTTCAGGATACTGGAGCCCATGTGCACCATTGGTTTGGGGCCCGGTTAAAGCGCCGGACATTCGCTTTTCGTCCTCGCATTTTTGTAAACAACACCCCAGTAGCGAGAAGGCAGTGAGTAGGACTTCCCTGGCAGAGGCTATATACGCATGGCCATGTGAGAGTATTTCGAGAGGGAGAGCGGACTCTCCCCACTCTCGGCCGTACCAGAGCATTTGGGGGCGAAGTACCATTAGTAAATTCAATAAAGAGAAGAAAGAATAAAATAAAACATACACCTATTTACAAATGAATAAATCAACTTACCATTATTAGAATTAAATGTTGTACATGAAGAATTAGTCTGATAACATTCCTTTGGAAGAACTTTCGATGAATTAGACTGATATGATGAATTACTCGATAAAGAACTAACATTATGATTGGATAAAATAAAGAAAAAAAAGATGTAATTAAATAGATTATCATTATTATTATTATTATTCTCTTTATTCAATACCAAGCATTCAGTACAATACAGAATTAATTCTTAGCCCAGAGTATTTCAACAAATTTCCGTTACTTATATCCTGACGATTGCTAATGAGATGTTAACAGTTCAAGAATTGATGAACACAGTGGATCTGATATAGATGTAAAGACGCGGATCGTAAAAGCAAGAACAGCATATTTACAACTGAAGAACATCTGGAACTCAAAACAATTAACAACTAACACCAAAGTCACAGTTTTCAGTACATATGTTAAGACAGTTCTACTGTATGAGGCGGAAAACTAGAAAACTACGAAAGTCATCATCCAGAAGATAAAGGTGTTTATTAACAGTTTTCTACGCAAATACTTAAGATCCGTTGGCCGGACACTACACTATTAGCAACAACCTACTATGGGAGAGAACATATCAGATCCCAGTGGAAGAAGAAATCAGAAAGAAGCGCTGAAAGTGGATAGGACACACATTGAAGAAAGCACCTAATTACGTCACAAGATAAGCTCTCACATGGAATCCTCAATGCCAAAAGAAAAGTGGAAGACCAAAAAACACATTACGCCGGGAAATGGAGATAGACATGAGAAAAATGAATAAGAATTGGATGAAAGTCTTCCTCTTCTCCTTTGACCTTGAGGATTCCAAGTGACAGCTTGTTTTGTGACGCAGTTCGGTGCTTTCCTCAATGTTTGTCCTGTCCATTTCCACTCCACCTAGAGCCATCCTGAGACTACCGCCGGTCCAAAGCTCAGATTGGTTTGACGACCTCATCTTGTAGAAAACTAACTCACTAGAATACGCTAAGCAGAACAATTAACTATAACCGTATATGAATTACTTGAAAAAAAAAACCAAAAGAGTGTAGATACATACTACTAGCAAGTAATATACAAAAAATAATGTTTATTTAAGAATGCTGGTCAGCGACCTATACTCCTCCATGAGAGATAACAGGAGTAAATAAGTAAGTAACTTTGATTCTTGTGTAATTATCTCTGATATATAAAATTGACAGATGGAAATAAATCAATAATAGAACAAAAGATTCACAATTTAGTGTAAATCACTTTTAAACACTTTTAATAAACAGTGCATTGTAATGCTCAATGACTTCGATTAGTCGCTACATTATACATTGATAAATCATATTCGATTATATCTAAAGTAGGATCACAAATTTGAATCAAGAACTTATGCACTACTGAGGCATCAACGATCCACTAATTCAAACCCGAACTTAACGTGGAAAAACGATACGTTTAACCTGTCATCTTTCATTAACCATAATTCCCTTCTGTAGTATGTTTTGGTTTGTAATCAGTTATTATTATAACCCTTATGTTTTTCATTTTTCGTACATATCTGTCATGTGTACAATTATCTTACATAATTCTAACCCGTAAATTAGTTCTCTAACCCCATGATTATTATGTAACTTTATTTGATAAGTATCATTTTTAAGATATGATTGAATATTAGAAATGGTTTTGCGCATCCACGATTCCGCCCCTCACAAGATTCGAACCCAAGATCTATCAGTCTAGCTCACTGCTGAGAAGTCCCATACTAGGACAAAACGGCCGTCCAGTGTTTCCAGGTTTTCACTTGATATTGTTTTACTTCAATCTTCCCATTGATGTTTAGGATTGCAATTGATCAGTTTTATGTTGGTATATGTGCATACTATACGTAGTGCCTCAATAATACCTTAATTTACAAGCATTATAAGGAAAGATGGATAGTGACTAGTAGTGGAATCAATGACATACATTTCATCCAAAACTCGTTCTATATTGAGGCAATCCGCACAGGATGCACATAAGCCAATAAGAGACTGATTAATTGCAATTCTAAATAACAATGAGAAGATACAAGTAAAACAAAACCAAATAAATTTAGGCAAGTGGCTATCATAACTCAGTTTTATTAAGAAATCATAACTAATAATCTTAATCATTTCGAGATAATGAAGCAGTTATTCATCAACGACAATATCATGGTCAATAGTCAACTGAAAACATGAACTATTGAATTGTAATTCAGTAGTTTAAAAACACAGTTCACCATGATAGTTGACAATTACAAGTTCTAGACTATCATTTTATACATATTGTAACAATTGAATTTAAGTAAAATAACTATGCACTGTTTTCTGATTTTCAATTATGAATTAAAACCATACATACAAAATGATACGTAGCTAATGCATTTATTGAATTATAGAAGTATAATATACAACTACTAGCTAAAAAGTACGCCTTAACCATCTCTTCGATTGTACTGAGATAGATATCTGTCTATACCCGACATAGATTAGTTGGATTGGTTGAAGTTATACATGAGCACCGTTGGATACCAGCCAGCTCAATGGTCTAGAGGTTAATCGTTTGCACGTGAGACTGAAGGTTCTAGGTTCGAATCCCGTGAGTGGGATCGTGGATACTCACTGTTAAGGAGTCTGGTAATAGGACGAAATGGCCATTCAGAGCTTTCAGGTTTTCAATGATAGGTCTAATATCAATCGGTTCATGATTTCAATCAAAAACTTAATCATTCATTTAACAAATGGTTGCTTTTATATTCTTACTATAAATTTAGAATTTAATAACAATGAATTGACCTATTTTGTTTTCTAATCAGTAATTAAGATTTATACATCCCTATAATGAACATAAATGCAAAAGAGGAAGGCTAAAGAACACACTGCATCAAGAATTGGAAGCGGACATGAAAAAGATGAATGGCAAGTGGAAAGAACTGGAAAGGATTATCTAGAATAGGGTTGGATGGAGAGTGCCGGTTGGTGGCCTATGCTCCTCGACGAGAGATAACAGGCATAAATAAGTAAATAAACGTAACAAGATACGAGAATTATTATTTTTTTATTTGAACACATAGATATTGCTATGAGGAGGCATAATATACATATGCGCCACACAAATGTCATTTGATTTGCGTGAGAGCTGTGATACTGACCGGGTGCCCAAACCGAAGAAAGTGGTTTGCTTAGGGAGGGCACACCTGAAGCCTTCAACCTAAGGGTCTCATCCCCAAGGCAATGGAGTAACGTAGGGAGATGCAGTCCCATAGTAGCCGGTGACCAACGATTAGTTCATAGGTCATTTGTTCCCTCAGGATACTGGAGCCAACCAATGTGCACGATTGGTATGGAATCAGGGTTTTTAAAATCCCCTAGGTAGACTCTCCGTGACCACCAACCCGCTTAAAATGCCGGGCATTTGCTTTTCGTCCTCTAAATTTCGTAAACAACATTTGCGCCACGAGAAGGCAGTGAGTAGGACTTCCATGGCAGAGGTTATATACGCGTGGCCATGTGAGAGCATTTCGAAAGGGTAAGCGGACTCTTCCCACTCTCGACCGTATCAGGACATTTGGGGGCAGACACAAGAATAATCATAGTTCTATTTTAATTAACCTCTATCATTATTTAAAATATTTTACACAAATGGAGACAGACACAAAAAGAATGAACAACAATTGGATAGAACTAGAAAGAAAAGCTAAAGATAGAATGGTTTGGAGAATACTGATTGACAGCCTATGCTCCATTGGGAGCAACAGGTGTATGTAAGTAGATATCAATAATTATAACAAATGAAACTTTTATTATTCATTCATTTAACATTCTGTTATAAATCTGTTAAGTTTTTGGCACGATACAATAATGGGTGTTCCTCTTGTTTATTTGTTTTTGTTAGGCTAGTTGTACTCATATCTTATAATTACAGTAACACAACTCTACATCAAGGTTATACAAATTAAAAATGATAGAAATGTTCAATGGATTGTAAATAATTATTACACTTAAACTAAAAGTATTTCCTAAATTCATTTAATTAAATGATGGAAATTATGCTAGAGTGGCACTGGTTAGTGAATCTCTCCGAACCTTTGACCTAGAGGTCTAATTCCATAAGGCAGTGGACCGACGTCAGGAGATGCAATCCCATGGTAACCGGTGACCAAAGATTAGTTCATACGCCATTTGTTCCTTTAGGATCCTGCTGCCCGTGTCCATCAACCCGGTTAATGCGCCGGACATTCGCTTTCTGTCCTCTCAATTTCGTAAACAACACTAATGCCGCAAGAAGGCAATGAGTAGGACATTCCTGTACTAACAAGAATTATTGTTCAATAAAATTCATCTTACCAATCAATCAGTCAGTTAGTTAATACCTATATGTAAAGCCCTAGTACAAATGTGTATTGATCAAAGTTATAACACTATACCAACATCATGAAATGAAAATGACAAGATCAAAACCATAAGACAGAATCAGTGATTGTGGGAAATACCAGTTATTGGTGAAGATAGAATAGAAAAGATGGAAAGTATGAAATATCATTTACATCTAAGAATTAAGGGAGAATAAGTAACGAATGAAGTTGGGTAAGATTATAATTTATGGACAACATTTGAGCGACACTAACGTGACCTTCAGAATGTTCACCTACTAACTAAAACTAAATGAGGGTTAAAAAGCAGTATGAGGAATCAGAATTATGATTTACAATTGATGGTAAGAATTAGGTTTAGGTTATTCATCACGAATTGACATCAGCCAAATAGGTGAATGAATTTCGCGCCAAAATCTAGGACTTGTTATCTTATATCTAAATTGGTTTGTTCATAATTATTTATTTATTTTATTTTAACACATAGATATTGGTACAAGGAGGCACTAAAAACATATGCGCCACAAAGACGCGAGGGCTGGGATACTGCCCGGGTGCCCAAACAGAAGTAGGTGGTTTTCTTAGGGGGCCACATTCCGAGCCTTCGACCTGAACGTCTGATCCACAATTCAGTGGAGCATCGTGAGGAGATGCAGTCCCATGGTAGCCAGTGACCAACGATTGGTTCATATGCCATTTGTTCCTTCAGGATACTAGAGCCTATGTGCACCATCGGTTTGGGATCCGGTTAAAGCGTCGAGCATTCGCTTTTCGTTCTCTCATTTTCGTAAACAACACCCCCGCCAAGAGAAGGCAGTGAGTAGGACTTTCCTGGTAGAGGCTGTAAACGCGTGGCCATGTGAGAGCATTTCGAGATGGAGAGCGGACTCTCCCCACTTTCGGCTGTATCAGGGCATGTTAAACATTAACTTACTAACTATATATCATACCGATTTACCGTGATATACTTTATCACTGTTATTATTATTATTATTATCATTAGTATTACAAACCGAAATGATAAAACCGATGACTAACTCACCATTTATCATTTACAAACTTTCCATTAATATATAATGGATCAATAGACGATTTATGATGATTGGACATAGTAGTTGTAGTAGTAGTAGTAGTAGTAGTAGTAGTAATGGTAACATTGATAGAATTAGACAAACATGGATAAGGTAAATTAGATGATATATTATGATTTGTACAGATATTCCCTTTTAATAATTTCCCCGATGAATATGAATGATTCATATCGGATAACTGAAATAAACAAAATGAGATTGAATAAACCAAATAAAGGGTAATGGTATTTTCAATTATCTTTTTCTATTCTATCATCTTAAAAATGATTATAATCACACACACAGAGAGAGAGAGAGAGAGATTTTGTGGAGATTGTAGTAATTTAATAATTGAATGCATGAGTTAATTGAAGCTGGATCATCAATGAAAAAAAAACCTGAAAGCACTAGACAGTTGTTTCATGCTAGCATGAAACTCCTCAGAAATGTGTATCCACAATTCCATATGCGCGATTCGAATTCAGGACCTATCAATTTAAAGGTTAAGCATTCACGCGCGAGATCAATAGATCCTGGGTTCGAATTATGCGGGGGTCGGGATCGTGGATGCACACTGATGAAGAGTTTCATGCTAGGATGAAAAGACTGTCCAGTGTTTTCAGGTTCTTCATGATGGTCCAGCTTCAATGAACTCATGAATTCAATTATTTAATAAAAATGATATTCAGATATCTAGTTCTGACTCAATAAATCATTGTAACATAATGCAGAAGTATGATAATACAATTAAGTGATCAAGTATTCAGTTTCAGGTTATAATTTTGGTAAATAGCGATGCCGGCTCAGTGGTCTAGTTGGTTAAGCGCCTGGAGCGAGACTGATAGGTCCTGGGTTCGAATCTCGCGAGGAACGGGATCATGGATGCGCACTGCTGAGGAGTCCCATACTAGGACGAAACGGCCGTCCAGTGCTTCTAGGTTTTCCATGATGTTGTCTAACTTCAATTGATTTATGATAACAAATAAACTAAACATATTTTTTATTATTTATCCACTTACATGATTTTGATTTATATTTCTATTTAACAAGGGTGATGATAATGATGATGATGATGAAGAAGATGTAGTTGACATGGCAACTTCTTGTATTGTATTATTTTGTGACATGAGATTGTTTGATGTAACTAGACTAGGTGAATATTGTGAATGAGTAGATAGTGTTGATTGATTGTATTTGTGATTAATTGATTTTTTTACATGATTATTATTATTGTTGTTATGTAGTATACAATCATTGATTGAATTTGGTCGTATTGTAGATGATAAAGTACTTTGTACATTAGATGTTGCTAAGGGAAATTAAAAGTAAACATAGAAGGGATAAGAATTGTACACTGCAATGATATTATTATTATTATTATTATTAAAATGTCAGAGGGTTTTAAGTAGTGGATATGATGACATTTGACATCCAAATAGTTGATTGATAACGTCTCAAACCATGAATCTATATGACTTAGGTTTAAATCTCACAAGGAGTACCAGTTCCTTCAAGATTGTAAATACATTTGACTAACAAATATTACCTATCACTCAACTTAAGTCGATTAGAATTCCATACCGACTACCTCTATTTAAAGTAACAGACAAATAAGACATTGATCTCTACTCATTGGTCAATTAATTGTGATTACATATCAGTCATACAGGAGGTCGATCGCAGCCTGGATAGCTCAGTGGTAACGTCTCTGACTGTGAAGCTACGTGACACGGGATCAAATCCGTCAGGGAGCACCAGTTCCCTTAAAATTACAGGTACACCTTGCTGACGAGTGCCAAGTAGCACGAAACCCGGGTCTAGGGTTCCCTGTCGACCACCTCCAACCACCATCTAATCTCATCATAGTGTCGAGTCACCTAGACTGGTGACCACATCGCAACATAGTCAATAGCATTCAATCTGCACTAATAAGGACTTGACACACATGACATTAATCACCACCCAGTGATCAATCAATTGTGACGTTAAATCATTGTCTACATCATGATTGATTCATAACCCATAAAATTTGAACATCAATTTACAATATTTGGTTGAAACGTTTAACTTAATACAAAAATTTAATAGTTGAATTCATGAGTCAATGTAAGCTAGACAACCATGGGAAACCTGGATTCGTTGAAGTTAGACATCAACACCATTAAATGCCGGTCAGCTCAAAGGTCTAGAGGTTAAGCGTTCACGTGCGAGACCGATCGGTCCTGAGTTCGAATCTCGCGAGGTGGGATCATGCATGCACACTGCTGAGGAGTCCCACAATAGGACGAAACGGCCGTCCAGTGCTTCCTGGTTTTCATTGGTGGTCTAACATCAATCGGTTCATGATCTCAATCAAAAACTTGACAATCTCCACAACACCTGAATTGAGAAAAACTTACTGTTGCATTGATTTGATATTTTTGCATTACTCATAAGTAGACCGCCAAATTTACGTATTATATCTTGTACTGGTAATGTAGTGCATTCAATTGAGTGAGTATTATTATCATTATTCTCCTTTGATGACTCCACTGAATGTTCCGTCTAAGAAAAGAGAAAATGCACACATTAAGATGAGAGAGAGAGAGACAAATAAAGGAGACAACTGAAATACGGAAAGAATGATTACTGGGAGACTGAGCCAATATCTGAACATTAAAGAAACTAAGAAATATCTAAAATATACTGGTCAGTCAGTCAGTAACAATCTAGAACTTTATACATACGTACGTAAATCAGTTCAAATCGCCATACCACATTAGCACACTGATACAATTGTCAATTCAAATCTCATAGTGGTAGAGATGGTAAGAGTATAAGCAGTAATCGGAAAGATTGGAGTTTGAAGATGTTATTCAAGGAGTATGATACAGTGAAATAAATTTGGAAAGAGAAAGAAAAAGAAAGGGACATGAATAATTCAGAAGATTAGAATTTGAGAGAGCACAAAGAGTGGATTTTGAGCCATGTCATTCAAGGTGTCTAACTATCGGTTGTTATCGTCTCGCAAATCCCGATCAGATAGTCTACACCTACCAACATAGCTCAGTCCGCATTACATATATACAGTGAAAGATACAAAGGATGGAGTATACTTACTTTCAAATGATCTGTTCCATTATTTCCACTGACCATGGCATTAGATGTTATCATAATGTCAGAAGTAGGTGTCCCCATAATATCATGATGTTTAGGCCAATTCGGTAAACTTGTTAGTCGAGTAGATGGTGCTCTTTGAGGGATTGATGGTTTTCGTGAATTAGTTGTAGGTGTATTATGATGAAATTGTTTTGTATGATATCCATTATTTGCATTATATGAATTGATAGTTGATTCTCCTTGACATTTAGGCTACTCAGAGAAAACAATAAGACAGAACAGATAGATTATCATTGTAAACATATTGTATTCAAGTTCAAGATAGTTTGCCATTACTTTGAGCTAATTTAAATCGGGAAGTGTTGTTAGAATGCTAAAGTCGACAATTCATAGACTGATTTTTCACTGAAAACTACAAGGGAAGTGAACAGCTCTGTTTCATCTCATAGTTTGAAACTCTATAAAAATGGTAAGCATTTATAGCTTACGCACATAGAGTCGAACCGTAAACTTTTAATATGAAACTACCAGGTTAGATAAATATGGTACATACCTATTTCTAAATGCGATCAAGTTGTGATTTAACGAGACAATCAACTACTTATGTTGATGGGTAAATAACCGCTACCACGTGGCTATTCCGACTATATCAACGAAAGCCGACCGATCACAAAACTCAGGTTGATCCGAGTTCCTTCCAACTACACTGAACCACCTAACTAAGAAGTAAAACGGCAGTCTAGTGGCGTGCGGTACATTCATTGTCTTGCCAGTTTTAATGTCGGTATGTGTAGTAAAAACAACCATACAATGATTATGGTTAAAGTGAGCTGTGTTTACAGTTGTTGTTTTTTTTTCACTGAGTTTAAAACAGAAACCATAAATACCCAACCTCAAGAAATGAAACACATTTGTCAGTTCTCTCGTTTTTCACTATTCTTGACCAATAATAACTCCCCAATTGAATAGGTATGCAAACGTTCTGAGTTTAAAGTATAATTCGGGGGAAAAAAACCTCAGAGAATATACCAAATCTCCACTTACATCAAACGATTGACACTGTGAATACCCATTAGTAGAAGGAAAGCTGTGTAGATGCTTACCGCCATCCAATGTTGTTAATGTTGAATTGGTAGTAAAAGGTGAAAATGTTGTTGATAAGAAGTGATTTGTTAACAATGTTACTGGTTTGGCTGAGCCTGTTGTTGCCTCTGCTGTCGGTATTGATAGTAGAGGAGGCGGCGGCGGTGATGGTGGTGGTGGTGATGGTGGAAGTGGGAAATCCTCTGAAGCAAATGCATCAGGTGGAGGCAATGGAAATGAAGATTCTGTGGAACAAATGAAACAGATGATTTAAGTTTATAGAAAGAAATGATTGTAAATCATGAAGTACAGAGAGACATAGATACAGATAGATTTATATGATGATCAGGTAAAACAATAAATATCAGTCTTACATCCAATGGTTGAAAAAGAGAGATTTATGGAAAAGCGTCAGATGATTTCGTTAATCACTTATCCAGTTATCAACGTAGGGTCTGCTGATATGATTCAACTGATCAGACCCTCTTATCAGCATAACAACAAGAAATCCAAAAAGAAATACTGTGAAAACCGGTTAAAATCTAAACTTCAAAAAGAGTAGATGAGATTGAGTAGTAAAGAGTTAAGAATGATGCTTTAGGATAATCATGATGTTTTTAACCATAACGTTTGTATCTTCTAAAGGGACCTAGATCAGAAGTTAAAAATTTCATGAACTGATACAATGTTTTCTCACTTTTAGCTTGTTACACCCCCCCCCATCAAAGTAGGCGGAACTTGTGAACACGACGAAGATCCATAACCTTATCAATCACATTACACTATTTTTACATACTTCTATACACTTAACTATGGCATTACTCACTCAATGGTTCTACCATTGTACAGAAAAAATACAAGACAGAAATTAACAAACCATATGGGATGTATGTGAAGATGGATAGTTGCCCGCCGTCCTTCTCGAAATGCTCTCACACGGCCACGCGGATATAGCCTCTGCCACGGAAGTCCTACTCACTGCCTTCTCGCACCATGGGTGTTGTTTACGAAAATGAGAGGACGAAAAGCGAATGTCCGGCGCTTTAACCGGATCCCAAATCAATGGTGCACATGGGCTTGGTCCAGTATCCTGAAGAAACAAATGGTGTATGAACCAATCGTTGGTCACTGGCTACCATAAGGCAACATCTTCCCACGATGCTCCACTGTCTTGTGCGTCAGACCTTTAAGTCAAAGGCTCGGAATGTGGCTCCCTAAGCAAACCACCTACTTCGGTTTGGGCACCCGGGCAGTATCACAGGCCATACACAAATAAAATTTTGTGTGGCGCATATATATTTCGTACCCTCTTGTACCAATATCTATGTGTTCAAATAAATAAAAGGAAACAAATAACGTATCAACTTATTGTTGGTCACCGGCTACCATGGGATTGCATCTCCTAACATTGTTCTACTGCATTGTTGATTAGACCTGTAGGCTAAAAGCTCCGGTTGTGACCTTCTAAGAAAGCCATTTGCTTCAGTTTGGGCGTCCATGCAATATTCCAGCCCTCACACACATCGGATGACGAAGTGTATCATATAGATTTGGTGATTAGACATATCAAATGAATGTTCCAACACCATAAACAGTATTGATCTATGAATGAACACTGGAACCTAGCAATTATTATCCAAAATTCTAAACTTTTGTGTACTAGGCTATCAAGTCATAATATAGCTAGAGATTTCAAGTTGGTTCTTTACATTAAACAGGATTAATCATTCTATGTTATCTTTCTTTTTACTCCATATCTTACTTGTAGTGGTTTAATTGACCTAATTATTGTTTAACAAGTCAACCAAGAAATATGGTTAATGGCATTGGATTGTTCATTACATACCTTGTGTATAATGATAAATCAGTCTAGACTTGTTTATTTTTTATTATGTATAATTAATATGCACCCTATTAACATTAACCAATAATAATGTACTGTAGTAAGTAATAAGTGGAAATACAGAATGAAATTTAGAGATTATGAGTCAATTGAAGTTAGAACATCATGAAAAACCTGAAAGCATTAGACGGCTGTTTCGTCCTATTATGGGACTCTTCAGAGAGTGCGTATCCACAATCCTGCTTCGCGAGATTCGAATCCAGTAACTATCAATCTTGCGAGAGAGAGAGAGAGAGAGAGAGCTTAATCACTAAACCACTGTTAATTTTAAATAGTATATGGAATTCTTTCATTTAGTTCATGTCAACTCTAAGACTATTATTGATATCAAGTGATGAATTGTTGAAATATGAACTCTTTGAATAGATCTCTTGATATTGTCTGCATATACAAGTAGTGGATATAGTTCCATTTCAATGGAAGCAACATCAATGAGTCTATATTTCTAAAAACGATTGATCAATTGAATCTTGAATGTGAACAAGAGAAAAATATAAACCTTTCAACAAAATATAGCTATCATAAATCAATAACTTAATTCAGAATACTCTGATATTTCATGACTATGAATATCAGGTTTGAGTTTTAATCAAAACATCAACACTAGTTGTTACTATGTTTAAAGTGATTATGAGTTCACCTAGTCTGAGAACGGAACAAAGACTCTGTGACCAAAAATCAATAAGCTAACTATTCTGATACATCCCAGCGCCGCTAACTAGAAAGAATTACAATAATCCTTTATACATACCGTTTTTTCGAGCCACACTATCAATAAATAACCTTTCTCATTGTCATCTATATTATTATTACTTCAATTCATTTGATATTCCTCTTGTTAATTTCATCTTCTTATGCGCATAATACAAAATTCATATTAACTTCAATAACGGCGTTGGAATTCGTACTAAATGTAACTTGATAAAACAGAATTCAACGATGCTGATATCGTGCTATGTATAGAAGTTGCTCGCCAACCCTATTGACTTGAATGCAGTGTTCTTGAATGCTGTTGGAAGTATGAGGGAGGTTATCACTTCCCAGTTGCCCACACTGTGGAAGGGTTCTTCTGGAGATACGTAACAAAGAAATTAGATTAGAGGTAGGTCTTAGTGACCTGAGAGCGTGACCGCAGTGCCTAAGGGATAACTGCTTGAGGTCAGTCACATATGATGTTTTTGTGGGTAATTTTCCTGGTGACTCCGAACTCGTTGATATCTTACCGCTGGAGGTGTGAATTTTTAGTGTCGACCTATTCCAACCCTACCCGTCCTTGTGGGAAGGCAGCATTGCTGTAATGCTGGTTGTCTGAAGAAAACACCTTACTACTGTCACACCTCTCTACAGTCAGCAGTACAACTTCATATATATACTACTAATAATGCTACTGCTAATAAGAAGTATTAAACTATGAGCGAATAATCATACTCTTTCATCATTTTTACAGATCATCAACTTAATATTAGTTCATAATTTATTTTATATTCAAATTAAGATAGATTTCCACTTTGGATCAGTGCTTCCATGTTTTCCATGGTAGGTCTAGCTTCAATTGACTCATGATTTCAACTACTGAAATTACTCAAAAATCCACAAAACCCCTTCTCATAATAATTATCTCTTCACTAGTGACTGACTTCAAGAGACACTCCTGGAGTTCTAGAGAGAAGCCGTGACCAGTGGAGTTCAACCAGGTCTGTTGTGAGATATCAGCTCACTGAAGACAATGGTGACGGTGGCGCAAATTCGTGGATTGGTTGAAGTTAGACATTAACACCGTTGGATGCCGGCCAGCTCAGTGGTCTACTAATTAATCGCTCGCGCGCGAGACTGATAGTTCTTGGGTTCGAATCTCACGGGAGGCGGGATCGTGGATGCGCACTACCACAGAGGAGTCCCATACTAGGACGAAACGGCCATCCAGTGCTTCCAGGTTTTCTAGGGTAGAGTAGCTTCAATTGACTCATGATTTCAACTATTAAAATTACTAAAATCTCCACAAAACCCCTTCTGAACATATTTTTTAAAAACTTTTCCGGTAAGACTATAATTTATGGATGACCTTTGAGTGACACTAAAGTGACCTGCAGAGTATTCATCTAATAACTAGGACAAAATGAAGATTATAAACCAGTGTGAGGAACTGAAATTACCATTTACAGTTGATGGTTAAGGTTAGGCATTACATTTAAGGTTTTTATCACGAACTGACATTAGATGTAATACCAAAACTCTATTCAGCCAAATAGATGATGAGTGAATTTCGTGCCAAAATCCAAGACCTATTATCTTATACCTGATTGATTCATTTATAAATTCTAGTCTCGCCCCCCCCCAGGGTCTTTAGTCTCGCGCGCGAGCGCTTGACCTACTAGACCATTGAGCCAGCATTCAATGGTGTGCTAATGTCTAACCTCAACCAATCCACGAAGTTGCGTGACTATCTTCCATTGTACTGAGTTAGACACCTGTTTCTATCCGACACGAATTAGCTACACTGATCCCGGCTTCTCACCAGAACTCTGAGAATTTTCTCACAAAGCTAATCACTAGTGAGCATATGGTAATTATCAGTTTAAGGGTTGTGAAGATTATTAAGTTTTCGATTAAGATCATGAATCGACTGATGTTAGAAAACCGTTGAAAACCTGGAAGCATTAGACGACTATTACATCTTAGTATGGGACTCCTCAATGGCGGTGCACATCCACGATTCCACTCGCGGGATTTGAACCCATGGTCTTCAGTCTCGTGCACGAATCAAATAGTAAATTAACTTAAATTGTACATGTTTACATTTGATTGGTGAATATATTTGTTTGTTTACTTTACTTTAAAATGACCTTAAACAATAGAGTGGAAAACTATGAAGATTCTTAATTCATTTCGTTTCTTTAGTTTTTGTTTTCTTTTTTTTTATTTTTCTCGACAGCTTTATCATAAAGAGATGAAATAAGAAAAACAGAAATCTTTATTTATTTACCTATTTGTTTCTTTAATATTCAAAAACAATGTTGACCTTAAATTCAAAACTGTCAATGTATATGCTTGATGAATAAAGGTTCTTGTTAAAGATATTGACCAAGTTATAAAAAAAAACGGTATAATTATTAAACAATGATAGATAGTGATGAGTAGGAGAATTCAGTTTAATGGATGTTTCGTCCTATTTTAAGACTGATCAGTTGGATATACCTTTAACTTAAACTTGTTGATGTTTAATTCTGGAATTTGAACTCAGTAACGTTAGTTTGAAATGTCATCGTGTCATCCACGCTTGATTCTTCTTCATTTTGGATGTTTGTTATCTTTTGTGAATTATTCTTTATTTTATTTTATTTATTTCAATACATAGATATTGGTACAAGAAGGCACCAAATACATATGCGTCACACAGATCTCATTTGATATGTGTGAGAGCTGTGATGCTGACCGGGTGCCCAAACTGAAGCAAGTGGTTTGCTTAGGGGGCCACAGCCAGAGCCTTTGACCTAAAGATCTAACCCACAAGGCAGTGGAACATCGTAAGAAGATGCAGTCCCCTGGTAGCCAGTGACCAGCGATTGGTTCATACACCATTTGTTTCTTCAGGATACTGGACCAAACCCATGTGCACCATTGGTTTGGGATCCGGTTAAAGCGCCGGACATTCGCTTTTCGTCCTCGCATTTTCGTAAACAACACCCCCGCCAAGAGAAGGCAGTGAGTAGGACTTCCCTAATAGCGGCTGTATACGCGTGGCCATGTGAGAGTATTTCGAGAGAGAGGGAAGGCCCAACCCTCTCCTGGCCATACCAGAGCATATGGGGGGGGGCCATGAACTATTCATCAAACAGGTAGTAATCCAATTATATATAAATAGATTTTAATGCTTAAGTAACTAGTTTGTTTTAATTCATTGAATAATCTCTAATTCAATGGTGTATCTGAATGATTCATATTAAATTTCTAGACATTTAAACTATGTATTGTAATTATACAATTGATTATAACTAGAAAAACTATGAAGAAAGTTCTTGTGAAAATAAATGACCAGAGTTATTTAATAAATCGATAGATAATTTCTTGTTAGTAACAATTTACAGTTTATCATTTGACTTCTTAAATGTCACAGATAACATATACAACTAACCCAATCAGTCTGTCAGCTACAATGTAGGAACAAAGTACATATATGCATCAGTCCAACTTGCCATACCTCGTTAACACAACAAGATGAACATAAAATTCATAGTAGTTACTTCAATGGTAGTAATATATAAAAGAAAGATTGCATATAAGGATATAGTACAGGAAGAAAGAATTAGTTGGTAGGAAGAAAGATATAAAGCAATTTTAATCTCATAGTTTGAACGGAAGATAAAGAGTGTATACACGGACACCATCGTGATCGATGATGAGCTATGTCACACAGTCTCCTACCATTGGTTATGATAGTCACGCGAACCCCAATCAAGTAGTCTTACTTTATTTATTTATTTGAACACATAAATATTGGTACAAGAGGGCACCAAATATATATACGCCACAAAAAAACAATGAGAATTTAAACAGAAGGGAAAAAAGAAAGGAGGGTAAGGAGCGTAAAAAAAGAACAATAACGAACAGATTAGTGTAGGATAGTGTAATGGTAGTAATAATGGGGGAAACGAAAAGGTACAATCAGAAGAAATCTTTCAGTTAAGGAAGAAGTAACCGCTTTTTATGAAGAAATTAAAAGAAGGTTACAGCAGGATCGCCACTGGCTTCTATTCTCAGCCATATCTGATAACGTCTCTAGCCACTGTGATACCATCTCTCGGACCCCAGCCAGGGAGTCGTAAAGGACGAAAACAAGCCAGCTCTTTGCAGCTTTCCTTCATACCACGACACCATGTAATACACTGACCACTTCTCCGCTTTTCCAACCAGTCCCAGAGTCGGCAAATAATGCACGACGTGGAATTCTCTGGGACGACATTCATAAAAAATATCCAAGCCACAGAATTCGATGTTTCAAGACGATGACACCGATTGGATTGTCGTCTCTGTGCCCGAACACATGATGCTGAACCTCCGCATTACTAATATGGTGTCGCCACTAGATGTCAGCAATCCTTCGGAGACAACGATGATCAAACACAGAGAGTCGTCTAACATCCTCAACTCGGAGAGGCCAGGTTCCACAAGCATAGAGCAAAACTGCTCTCACCGACGCGTTGTAGATCCAACCTTTTACAGCCAGGCTAACATCACGAAGGCGCCAAAGATGGCCCAGATTGGCATAAGCCGCTCTGGCTTTCACTATACGTGCATTGATCTCATCACTCACGCCACCACCAGCACTTAGGCAGCTACCTAGATAAAAGAACTTCTCGACTACTTCTATCTGTTCACCATCCAAAGTGAGTACAGGATTGGAATCCTGCCAGTCTTGTAGAAGCACTTTGCACTTCGAAGGTGCAAAGCACATATCACACCTACGGACATTGATTGCCAACTGATTAAGTGCGGATTGGATGGCTTGGGCATTATCGCACAGTAAGACAATATGATCTGCATACTCAAGGTCTGCATCTACCGATATGACTCAGACTAGAACTTAGCAACTCTAGACTGGTGCCACGTTTTGGTTTGGCCAACCCTAACTTTATTCCAACCATTCCCAACACTAGTCAGCATTGCGTGTCGTGGTAATCGGTGTTCAGACATATGTAACACGTGGCCCAACCATCTCAGTCGATGAAGATTTACAACCTCATCAACTGATTTACCATCATTCCCTAATGCCCTGCGTTTAATCACACTATTGCTTACTTTGTGATCCCAGTAGATGCGAGCTATACTTCTAAGGCATGTAACTCAGTGTGAAAAAGAATGTGTTTTAATTTCAACTTACAATATTTTCGAACAATTTTTTTCTAAAAACAAAAACGATTGTGTCTATATCTGACATAACTTGACTACTAAAACATTAACTCAGTCAGTCAGTCAATCAACAACAACGTAGAATTCTGAACGTACGTACATCAGTTCGAGTTGCCATATCATATTAGCACAGAGATACAATTATCGATTCAAATTCCATAGTGGTAGATATAGTAAAAATATAAGCAGTAATCGGAAACATTAAGATTTGAAGATGTTAGTCAATGAGTACAATCCAGTGAAATAAATTTGGAAAGAGAAAAAAGGGACATGAAGAATTCAGAAGATTAGAATGTAAGAGAACAAAAATAGTGGATGCATCTGCTCACACCATTTCAAACAAATTTCAGCCATGTCATTCAACGTCTCTAACTATCGATCGCCATCATCTCGCGGATCTCTACCAAATAGTCTACACCTACTAACATGGTTCAGTCCACTTGTCAGTGACTTCATGGATTTTTACCATGTTTCGGTATAGCCACTCCACTCCTAGCTTTTTTCCAACCTACTCCTACACCATAAAACATTGCACGTCGAGGCAGTCAGTGGGTGAGCATACGTAACACATGTCCCAGCCATCTCAACTGATGAAGTCTCACTAACTTAAACAGTACGATACCTTTAATAACGCATAACAAGTTATAAATTAATACATTAGGATTATGAAATATCACATAAATTAGCACTTAAATTCCATAGTCACAATTTTATCCATATATAACAATAACTTACCGATTAATGTTAGACCACCATTGAAAACCTGGAATCACTGGGAAGCTATTTCGTCCTATTGTAAGACTTCTCATTGTCAGTGCGCATCCACGACCCCACTCGCGGGATTCGAACCAATGGCCTTCAGTCTCGCGTGCAAACGCTTAACCACCTCCCAGACCACTGAGCCGGCATCCATTGGTATTAGTGTCTAACATCAACCATCCCGTGAGCGGGATCGTGGATACGCACTGCCACTGAAAAGTCCCATAATAGGACGAAACAACCATCCAGTGTTTCTAGGTTTCCAACGATAGTGTAACATCAATCGATTCATGATCTCAAATCAAAAACTTCATAATCTCCACAACTCCTATACTAATAAATAACATACCGATTTGAGTACAATCATTTGTAAATGTACATAATGATGTTGTTGTTGTTGTTGTTATTGTTGGATAACAAGAAGAAGAACAATTGAAATCTAATTGACCATATTGATGATTCATTTGTATTGAATTATCATCATAATATTTTCTTATCTCATTTATATCATTCATATTATTATTACTATTATGATGATAATAATCATTTACATTACTATGTATAATAGATGTTGCATAATTCATATGAATAAATGATTTTAATTCATTTGATGTATTCAAAGAAGATAATTGATTTGATAATGATGGAGAATTTGTAAATGTTGAATAATTGAAATATTCTATTGAAGGAATACTAGTTAAAGAAGAAGTTAATAATTGTTGTTTCTTTGATTCAATATCATTATCATTATCATCATCATCATCATCATCATCATAGGTAGCAATAACAGCATCTAATTCATCTATTGAACAACGAATTTCACTTCTATTCAACAAGGAATACAAACAAAAATAGAAAAAGTAACATATAGACAAGGTAAAATAAGTTTTACTACTATTTTGATACAACTCCGTCTGGAGCACCTCTTTTGGAGTACTACCGGTCTCAAACCCGAATAAAGGATGAAGGTTCAGGATGGAGTTAGCGACCTTATGGTGAAAGCCAAGTTCCTTCGGCAGTCATGAGGCTGATACCCCTTTATGACAACTAGAGCAACCATTAATTTAGGTACATGGAATGTTCGTACAATGTGGAAGACCAAGAAAGTCTTCCAAATTGCTGTAGACTATTTTTATACATGATAATATTTGACTTAAGCAACCAAGAGGTCATATAAAAATCATTAGAGCGATATTCCTCTTGGAGCTCCTCTGGAGCTATTGCCGGTTCCCAGGCTGGATAAAGAAGGAGGGTTGGACAGGGAGTTAGCGATCCCATCCCCGTAGAAAACTAACTTGCTAGAAGAACGCTAACCAGAAAAAAATAATTCAAACCATTTATTGAATTGGTGATTAACAAAATCTTGGAATGAAAACAAAAAAAATCCTTTATGATTTTACTATTTTGCATCATCTATAGTGAGGGGGAAATGTTCGGATAACTAATAAACAAGTACATTTTTCAAAACTTAGCATGACAACTCTATACGCAACCAACTAGTTATCACTGTAGATAATAAGAGAGAGTAAAATTAGGAAATCACTTGATGAGGTTGTATATCTGCATAGACTAAGACTACACTGAAGCTTAGTGGTAACTAAAGTAAGAGTGGGTAACCAGACAAAAACTAGTTATTACACACTGGTCACTATACTATGCTGCTCTTTGTTTTCTTTTAACATTTCCTCCTATGTTAACTGCTCATCTTAACTTTGTATCACTACAACTTGTAATAATATGTATGGATCATAGGCAGTTACACAATATCATGCATGTTAAATAAGTACCCAAATAACCTGATATGGTTGAGAGTGAGGAAAGTCAGCTCTCTATCTCTCTCCTAATCCTCTCACATGACTACGTGTATACAACAACTCTCACAAAAGTTCTATTAACTCCATTCTCACATTAGGAGTGTTGTTTAACAAATCGACAACACGAAAAGCGAATATCTATCTCTCTAACTGGGTTGGTGGATACAGAGGATTCACCTAGGAGAGTTGGAGAACCCTGATTCCAAACTAATGGTACACATGTTCTACAGGATCATGAGGAAACAAACATCGTACCAACCTATTATTGTTCATCGTCTACCATGAAACTGCATCTCCTAACTTTGCTCCGCCACTGCTTTATGGTTTAGACCTTCAGGTTAAAGGCTCAGAGAATGACCCTCAAAGAAAACCACCTCATTCGGTTTGAGAGTCCGAGTAGTATTCCAGCCCTCACACAAATCCGAATACGAAGTGTGGTGCATATATTTATGGTGCCTCCTTATATCAATATTTGTGTTTAGATAAATAAATGTTAAATAAATCTAATTCAAAACATGGAGAAGAAACTTCAGCACATAAAACTACAACTTGAAGTACGTAGGATTAGTATTGATAGTACTCATATTCAACAAAATGCTTCAAATAAACTTGGTAAGAAGAAATGAAGGTCTAACCCACAAGGCGGTGGAACATCGTACGAAGATGCAGTCCAATGGTAACCAGTGACCAATGATTGGTTCATACGCCATTTGTTTCTTCAGGATACTGGAGCTAGCCCATGTGCACCATTGGTTTGAGATGTGATTATATCGCCGGACATTCGCTTTTTGTCCTCTCATTTTCGTAAACAACACCTGTGGTGTGAAAAAGCAATGAGTAGGGCTTCTGTGGCAGAGGCTGTATACGCGTGACCGTGTGAAAGCATTTCGAGAGGGAGGACGGGCCCACCTCACTCTCGGCCATATTAGGGCATTTGAGGAGGGGGGCAACTTTGTTTACAAACGACACTTAAACCTTGGAAAAACCAATGACACGATCTAGCTATTTAAACTATGATACACAGAGGTAGGAAGCATAAACAAGACAATATACAAGTATAAAACATACCGATTACTTATCTAATAATGATTAATAAATGAAATATCTATACAAACCAACTAAAATAAACTTATACTTACTACAGACATCAATAAAGAGTTCAATAAAAAACTTTAACCCTTATACTAAGATTACATTTTGATATTTTCAGTAAAATAACAAATAAAACACAATTTGACATGGCTAGCAACAAGAGATTTAACTCACTTTCAACTAGATACAAGTACTATCCTTTAAAAAAAAATGAATTTCATCATCATCATCATTATTATTATTATTATTATCACTATTGTCAGCACCAATGAGTTTATATCTATTACTTATACTTATATACGAAAAATGAAACAAATAAATAGTGGATAATAGTCTATAACTATATTCATGTATGTATAGATCTCTCTCTCTCTCTCTCTCTGTGTGTGTGTGTGGGTGTGTTTGGGTGAGTGAGTGAGTGAGTGTGTGAAAATAACTTCCAAAGTAATCGGATAAAGAAACAAACAAGTAGACATAACAAATGATTCACAAAATGTTTTTCTTTTTTCTTTTTTTTTTGGTATTTTCTCTGTTATTTAATATCATTTAAACTTGAAACTATTCTATCTTTATTCTTATGTATTCTTATGTACACTATCCATTGTTTACATTGTAGTTTATTATTACAATACAATAAAATAAATGAACAAAATGAAACAATCATAATTATTCGTTTCTATAAATTAGGACATAATTGAAAATGATTTCAAAAAAAAAAAAAACAATCTAAGATAAAGAAAGATTATTATAATCACTATGAATGGTGATTTAAAAAAAAAAAGGTAAAGGAAACCATAAAAAGTTATAATATAGTAAAAATATTTAGATGTTTTATACTAAATGAATTGAATATATGATGAGTTGACTTTGTATTTCTAGACAAAAAAAGATGTATTGTGATATTTATATGAATTTAAACTACTTATATATATAGATAGATTTAGATATATATCTTATGTTAGTACTTCTAACGAATAATACGAAATTGGTAACTAAATATAGATATGTTAGTTGAAACTATTACCAAGAAAATCCTAATCATTGCGAATGTCCAACACTTTAACCAGATCCCAAACCAATGGTGCACATGGGTCGGTTCCAGTATCCGTAAAGGAACAAATGGTGTATGAACTAATTATTGGTCACTGGTTACCATGAGACTGCATCTCCTTATGATATTTCACTGCCTTGTGGATCAGACCTTAAGGTCGAAGGCTCCGGGTATGGCCACCTAAGAAAACCACCTGTTTCGGTTAGGGCACCCAGGCGGTATCACAGCCCTCACACAAATCAAGTGAGATCTGTGTGGCGTATATGTATTTGGTGCCTTCTTGTACCAATATCTATGTGTTAAATAAAAAATAAATAAATTCACCACTAAGGGGAGTTGGAAAACCGATATTAAACTAATATTACACATATGGGCTGGCTCCAGGATCCTGAGGAAACAAATGGTGTATGAACCAATTATTGGTCACTGGTTACCATAGGACTGCATCTCCTTACGCTGATCCACTGTCTTGTGGATCAAGCTTTTAGGTCGAAGACTCGTAGAGTGACTTCCGAAGAAAACTACCTGCTTAGATTTGGGCGCATCGGCAGTATTAAAGATTTCATGCAAATCGAATGATTTATACGATGCATATCTGTTTGGTGCCTCCTTGTACCAATGTTTATCTTTTTAAATAAAATAAAATAAAAACTATCACAAATCAAAAAGTATCTAGATTGTTGAACTCATGCAAATTACCTGAATTTGAAGATGAAACCCAGTATGTAAAGATTGATTAACTTTACTACAAACGATACTTCTGATGTTTACAGAGTATTCTTGGCTTACGACTTTCGAGGTATATTTTTTTACTGTACATAGATAATAATTAAAGTGAACCATTGTAATTCAAATATGACTGGATGCTGTGTGCCCATTTAGAACAAATTTAACAAAATGTCAGGCAATACTTAAAAATTCTCAATGAACTACTAGACTACTAGTATTCACTGTTGAATGCCTTGTATTAAGTGGTTTATAGTAAAACAGTCAAGTTCTATGAAGTAAAAATATTGTACAAATCTATATAATCGCGCTTTCTAATGATTTTATCCCCAAATCGGAAGACTCATCACTAAATATGAAGCATCATTTAGATTCACCAACTCACACAATATGATATGTGTAAGATCATGGATCGAGTAGTTGGAATTCAGAGTACTAAACATTTTGAAAAATATCCAAAGAGATAACTGTAAGCTTTTAAATGATCTTAAATGAGAATCCTTGTTTCTTAACATTAACATCTAAAAACACTCCATATTAGTGAAATTACATACTGCAAACTAGGAACACAAAATAATGGCAATTTTATTTCACTTTGAGTGAATATGTAACAATACGGAAGCAAAAATCAAGGGACAATCAATATCGTAATTATTCCCATTCTAACTATTGACCAGTTAATGGCTAGATAGAGGAAAATTTATGAAAATTGGAAGACAATGAAAAAGAAGAAACATGGAAAAATTAATTTGCCCTACTAGCAGACCTACGAAACTAAGTGCTGGTAAAATAAATATTGAAAACGCGATAATTTCATACACTTCATATACTAGACCTATACTCGTGAACACGTAGAACAATATTTTACAGGTTTGTTCACGAAAGTACCAGATGTTTTTTTGTATCTCAATTTTCATCGATTATAAGCCAACCAAAAAAATACTAACAACCAAACGATAACTAATTGAATAAAATAGTTGCGAAGGACCGCGGAAGGCTAAAGTTGTCTCAGGTTCTATAACTCATTAAAATGAACATGAATAAGAAACCCATCATTTGAATAATAACACCCTTCAATATTAGTAATGTTATGATCTACCTCTTCGATACTGCGAATAAATAAAATATTCCTGATATTCGCTGCAGGGGATAAAATGAACCCATTAGCATCTGAAAACACGGATTTTTATTGCATATGGAGTCGACAATCAGGGTAAGTTTCTAATAAATAACGTATTACCTATTAACTGCCCCTTTTTGCAGATATTCGCTAATAACTTTGGCCTTACAATGAAAATATGTGACCAGCGTTTGTCTATTATAATTCTCCGTGTAAAGTGTGATTCCATCTCCTGTAAATAAATGTATTTAACTATTTAGAATTTTCAAACCAAGTCCACTGTGTCTAAATGTTATCTGTGGTGAAAATAGGGGCAAATATAGAATTTTAGGCTAAAAGCATATAATTGTGCGTAGACAGTGTAAATTGAGGTGAAAAACAAACGATGAAGCACACTTTCAAGTGATATTTTGAACCCACAGCGACAAAAAGGGGAAATGTTTATCTATATCTCCACGGCAGGCGTAAAAGGAAACTTTTTGACGCGTTCCTCTTTCGTATCCCACGTGTCGTCTTAGCGGATGTCTCCTTTACTGCCCGTCATTTCGCTTGAACCACTGTTTTAAAAGAAGCTATAGTTCTTAACAGAGGCGATTTTACAGTATCTCAATTTGTTCGTTGATTAAAAACTAAGAGCAAATATGTTTGTCATACATTTACAGTAATGTCTGTTAACAGACATCTACAACTCCACAATATATTAGAAACTACCCAAGAAGTTATTACAAACTACATGATCCATAGAGAGGCGAAAAACTGGCATTATTTAAAGCTTAATTAGAAGCAATCATACCCATTCAGAACAATCCAACCTACCTATTTTGGGGAAAATTTTGTACGGTTTAGGTAGGGTTTGAAGAAACCACTACAGCAAACTTTAGGAAAATGGTACAAAATCCCCAAAATTCCCACAGGTCTGGGGAAACTCTCCAAAATATTTTGGGGAATTTAGGGTTTTCCACAATATTTCCATAGGATCTGATAACAATTTGAGGGTTATCCCCTCCAAATTTCCCTAAACGACCATAATTCTTGTAACTTTGCAGAAGGCTCCAAAGCTTTCCCAAGATATTGAGCACGTGTGCTCTATTGTCGCGAGAACAGACGATAAGGTCATTGTTAAAAATAAAATATTAAGCTAAGGGAAATAATACACCGAAATGTCGTAGGTAATAAAAAAAAGTTAGCTGTGAAGATTTTAATCTTACCCAAAGGATCTAAGAGAAGGACGAGGAGAATGATCATGATGATTTTTACTTAGAGGGGTATTAGGTAGATTGACTGAGAGTAAACCTAAACCAGATTCCTCTCCGATAATTAAATGGTTACTGTCGCAGGAAATTTCCGATCTTATCATTCCCTTTTTTTAGATCTTGGCATAGACAACACACACTAGCGAAAGTTCATTATCCTTAAGTTTGACCTTCAAATGTCAGAGATCGCTCCTGAACAAAACTGCAATTTTCAATATTCAAACGTTTTAATCGTAAATTACCCAATTGTTCGTTCCTCTCAATCTACATACAGATATCTGTAAAGCTTTGAATATTTCTTGAATTGGATAACCAATTATTCTTTCCACAAACCTGAAGAGTGAGGAAGATTTTTTGGCTGAAGAATGTAAATGAGATGTGGAAACTACTGTCGAAATAGTGGAATGAAAGTCATATTTCAACGCTATAATTTTTAAAGGAGTACAAGAATAATAGAATGGTACTACTGTTCACCGTTTACATGTAGTATTGAAGAGAAATGGGTCTCTACTAACCTAATGAAGTATCCTACGTAAGCCTGCTTGAAAACGCGGTATATATTAGGGCTTAGATAATTCCTCCTAACGCTTAGAATCTACTGCTTACAGCAGTTTTTATGAGTGCCCAACTATTCGTTAGTAAATGATGGACATAAAAGAGACTCAGGAATTCTGCTTGGTAACATTTGAGGTCTATGAATTCCAGTTATGTAGCGTATGGTGTTTATTTGTAAACTGTACGTACAAATCTAAACATCTTTCAAGATCACTGTGATTATTACGGCACTAAGTACATTCTATGCTTTTCACAGGTTGTAGTAGCTGACCTGATGTTATATTATTATTCATGAACTAGGGGTGAGTTACGGTTGCGCAACTTATTTGCTTAAAAACACGTGATTTGTTTATTTACCTATTTCCATTGGAATGCAATAGGAGTGAGACTTCACAGACATTACAAACTGATTCATCGTTAGAACTATGGCTCAATGTAATTGTTTACAGAAGACTCATCTAACAACAGCTTCTCCAAAGCTTTTAAAAAACATGCTGGACGTCCACTTTAGTCTCATAACCACTTCCAATATTTATTAATCACTTATTTATTAATCGTTTACTTCTTCGTCTAAAAAATGACAGACTACAACTCAATATTACCAATGCGAGTTTTAAATGAGAACCTGGTAAGGATCTTTGTTTGATATTTGATTGTTTATAAAACTTCCTGAATAGATTTGTAAATCTGATGCTATTTTGTTTTGCCGAGTTAGCCGTTGCAAGAAATTTGTGAAGCACGAGCCCCTTAGCACCTAGTTCAGATGTAATAAATTTAAATTATATATTACACATGTTTGTTATTTTCTTGGAAAACCTTCAGACATGAGCCTTCTTTCAACCTACACTAGCCACCATGACGTGTCAAGGCGGTTGATGGACGGACAGGCGTTACACATGTCCTAAATGTCCCTGAGTCTAATCTCATAGTTTCTGGTTCAAATGCGCTATGATATGCAAGCAACACCTTAACCTGTGAAGCTCTTCATTTTGTAGTCATTTAGATCGGCGATGTTGTCGAAGGGCTCTCCACTCCAGTGGCCCGAGATCTGACTCCAAGTGGATCGCATGAATGATAGTTTTCAAAATATATATGTCGCCTATCCTCGTATATAATCATAGACTTAAATCGCGTTAGTCAATAACGGAATTATTTAATTCAAATACCGAGAATGGACTTCTGAATACATATGTTTTGTATATGAGGCGAATAGAATAGAGAGAAGCGAAAAGACACCCAGTGGAGATGGTGGGTAAGACAACTCCCCTTTAACCAAACGTTAATCAATATTTATAGTTACACGAAAGTAAGTTACATACATGTGATGAGTAATTAAATAAGTAGTGTACACACACAGTCAGGATTGATAAGCGAATAATCAACAAGGTCAGAATGTGACTCAATTAGAATGAATAGATTGAGCTGTCTGAAAGCTAGAATAGGGTATATAGGCTTAACATAATAAATAACACTACAAACCCACACTAACGGAACACTAGTAACTCAAGGAAAACCTGTATGGTTCCTTAGATCGGTCAACGCACTCGCTTAGCTTTTTACCGAGAATATTACTACAGTTCTACTAAACATTCCATGGCCTCCTTATCTCCATCAAAGCAAAACAATATATATTTGCTGTACACAACAGTTTTATTTTTCAAAAGTAAGACAACAGTAAAAAATTGCAGTAGATACACGTGGCGAGACTTGTCTTCATCGATTAACTGAAATAGAGAATATGGATATTAGCTTCACAGGCGCATTTAGATAGACTAGTATCTATTTTAAAAAAACATGTGGACTTACTGCGCAAGACACTTATACTGGTACTATGAATGTTATCGAAATTGAGTTCTCCGAAACACTCAAGTTGAAAGACAGTTCGAAAAGTAATTCGAATAGGAAGGTCGAAATTTCCAGGTACTTTTTATTGAAAGGGTGAAAATATTGTGTACCGTTGACATCATGCCGTAAAAGAAACATAACTTTGCGACCGATGAACTTTGGTCTGCAAAAAAGTGAGCATATTGGTATTTGATTATCCTTTTACCTCCTGATCTGATTTTTGGCCTACCGGAATCTTATTGGTCTATTGGCACGTAGTCTGGTAGCGGTGTTCATAGTCAAGCTCAACTCGACACCACGCTACATTTGGTGAGCTAAATTTTGGAGCACGCCCAAACTTCGGTCAAATTTTCTTCAACTGGTGAACCTACATCTACGACCACTTGGCAATCGCAACCAAACCTTCCAAAGAAGTCAATTTTGGTGAGTCTATCGCTTATCTATCCACGTCTGTCATATATTTTCATATTATTTTTAACATATAATATGTTTGATATGACAGATAACGATAAGAATAGTATTAACGTAATAGACTCTGACGTACAGGTTATACACTTTCGACCTGTATCTTTTATTCCTCACGATCCCGAAGTTTGGTTTGCTGCTATAGAGTCTCAATTTGAGACCCGTCATATTACAAGCCAACGGCAGAAGTACGCCTACGCTCTCGAATGTTTACCGGGAGACCATTTAGTAGCTGTCCGTGAGGTTGTCCTCAATTCCAATGTGCCCAATGTTTACGATCGTCTCAAGGAGGCGATCCTCAGATATTTCCTCCCATCGAGGGAGGAACGATTGAGGACGTTATCAGCACGTCACCCCCTGGGAGATGCTAAACCGAGCCACCACCTCACGCGCCTGCAATCTCTTGCAGGACCCACGGCAGCCGATTCTGAAATCGTTAAAGAACTGTGGCTCGAATCTCTACCAACATTTATCCAACCTACAGTTACGGCCCTGCTCGAGGACGCACCACTGAAACAGGTAGCCCTCACAGCAGACAAAATTATAGCTAGGACTGGCAACCGAGACAACTACGTAGTTGCCTCAACGTCACGTCCCAAAGTCGATATCGACGGCAGCCACTCCCCGGCTCAATGTGACATGGGAGGGTGTATTCACACACGTCTTAGTTTTCGAGACCGTTGTAACGTACCCCAACCCTACGTCCCTCGAGTCCGCTCACGCTCTCGAAAAGCCATCAACACTCGCTCAACGAGGGCATCTTCCAAGCCACGCCAAAAGGCGGCTTCGGAAGCGAGTGAGGGTTGGTGCTGGCTTCATCGATCCTTCGGATCTGGTGCCCGCCGTTGTCGAGCCCCGTGCTCATACAAGGCGGGAAACTCCAAAGCCGGCGAGTAAAAGCGGCCGTACTCGCCGTCCCTGCCCCCCCCCAGGTTGGCCGTTTATTTTACGTGCACGATTATCGCACAAACGCTAGGTACCTAGTGGATACAGGTGCCCAAGTTTCTGTCGTACCACGAGGTAGCATCAAGTTACAAGCTACAATGCTTCGACTACGCGCTGCAAATGGCTCAGCCATTCCATATACGGTACACGACAACTCGCGGTCAACCTGGGCAACCGACGACGGTATATGTGGACGTTCATCATTGCTGATGTTCCCACAGCCATACTAGGTATTGATTTCCTACAGCACTATGAATTGCTAGTCGATTCACGTAGGCTGCAGCTAATCGATACTTCGTCGAACAGTAAACTCATGGGCTTTAAAGCTCACACAAACGCGTACCGAATCCTCGGCACTTTTTATTCGCGTGACGATAAATTCCACGCTTTATTCCAGAAATTCCCAAGAATAACTAAACCACTCGAGGAGATTTAATCGGTGACCAATCGTGTGGTACACCACACAGTCACCCGCGGACCACCAGTCATGGCAAGACCACGCCGACTGGCACCGGACAAATTAGCCTTCGCTAAACGTGAGTTTGACAATTTACTATCTGCTGGTATTATTCGTCCTTCTCACAGTCCTTGGGCTTCTCATTTACACATGGTGCGCAAAAAGGATGGGGTTAGTCGGAGACCATGCGGCGACTCCGAGCATTAAACGTAGTTACGCGCCTTGATAGCTACCCCATCCCCCACATACATGACATCACGGCATCGCTCAAGGGCACGACTATCTTTTCTAAAATCGATCTGGTACGAGCATATCACCAGATTCCAGTCGCTCTTGAAGACATCGAAAAAACTGCTATCACGACTCCGTTCGGTCTGTTTGAGTTCCTACGAATGCCATTTGGATTACGGAATGCTGCTCAAACTTTCCAATGGTTTATCGATAGCATAGTACGAGACTTGGATTTTGTTCACGTCTATATTGATGACCTGCTGATCGCATCATCAAATGTAGATGAACATTATCAACACCTTACGCTATTATTCCAACGTCTTTCGGATAATGGAATAATAGTCAACCCAGAGAAATGTGAATTGGGTAAATCAGAAATAATATTTCTGGGTCACATCATCAGACAAGAGGGTATTCTGCCTTGCGAGGACAAAATTTGAGCAATCAAGGAGTACAACGTCCCGTCTTCAATCAAGGAACTGAAGGCTTTTCTCGGTTTGATTAACTTCTACCGACGTTTTATCCCTCACGCGGCAGAACGGTTACAACCATTAACCGATTTACTACGCGGTAATCCACGCAAATTAGAACTGAACGATACCGCAC